TAATTTAGGAGTGGTTGATAATATACGAGCTAATCTATCGCAGATGTTTGAGTCTAATGAAGACGACTTGTTTCAAGTAAAGTATGAAAATACCACTTTGATTGGTGATGAATATATACCTGGTGGTGCTGCTCCCTACTTTAAGAAGAGGAGTCAATAACTGCGTTGGTGTAATTTTAGATAGTGTATGTATACGTTGTAACAATTATTGTAAGTGCTATTTTGAGATAAATGATGTTTGATTATATTACGTCTTCATTCTCTCCACAGAGGGAAAAAACTTCTATAGATAGTTATGTACTAGTATAAAAGCAGCAGCACATAGAGGTTTTCGCCTGAACTATTGGATATTATGTAAATAGGATATCCTTACGGAAGTACATCACCTGTGCACGTGATTTGAATGTTACAAAGTTGGTTTTTTGTGCACAGTTTTAAATTTTCTGGCGAAGATCATCTCAGGTTTACTCTTCAGAGCCAACAGTATTACACCATGGGCAGCACTAAATCCAGAGGAAGAAGAGCCGAGAAGAAAGCAAAGAAGTTGGATAATACAGAAGCTTTAGAGCACAAGAATGATACACAGTCTCAACCAGAGAATGTGCCTAATACCTTCTTTGGTCTTGTTGATGCAAGTGAAATCGATTATTTTAAACAAGCAGAATCTACATTGAACATCAACGCCTTTGAAAGCGATGAAGACCGAGAGGGGTTTATCAACTCAGTGTTGGAGGAGGCACAGGGCAAGGAATTGAAATTGGTTACTAATCAGATATGCTCAAAGTTGATGGAAAGATTGGTGCTATTTGCAAACACACACCAATTAAAAACAATCTTTGAAAACTTTTCCAACCATTTTGCTTCTCTAGCATTTCACAAATACGCCTCGCATGTGTTGGAGACATTGCTTGTGAGAGCGGCAGCATTGATTGAAAGAGAAATTTTGCAAACTGATGATGTCAAGTACGAAGAGGAAGACGGGGTAGTCATTGAAGATCGTAATGATGCCAAAACTGTCGAGGAGTTGTTTATTGCCATGGTGAACGAGTTCAAGCCTTATTTGTTGACAATGATTGACCACCAATATGCTTCACACGTGTTGAGACTTTTGATTTTGATTCTTGCCGGAAAAGAGTTGCCATCTACAACGATATCAAATTCAGTCTTGAGATCCAAAAAGTCAAAGATTGCCAGAAAGATGATTGAAATCAAGGATAATGAAGACTTCAATAGATCTTTTCAAACTCCGCCTTCGTTTAAAGATGAGCTTCGTGATTATATTCAAGAATTAGCAAAGGATATGGACACTAAAAAGGCGAGGGAGTTGAGCATACATAAAATAGCTTCTCCAGTAATGCAGCTTGTGATCCAGTTGGAGGGACTCGTTGACCGTGAACGTACAATGTGGCATCTTATCTTTGCCAAACAAAACGACGATAGAGTTGCCGACGAGGAGGCATTTGTTGAGTACTTGCTATCTGATCCAGTGGGATCCCATTTCTTTGAAGCCATTATCAAGAATGATGGGGCAAAGCCTCAATATATTGAGAGATTATACAAACTTTATACGAAAGATAGAGTTTTAAAGCTATCCAGGAGATCTACGACTGGTGTTTACATTATACAGGCATTATTGTTCAAGTTGAAGCCGGTTGAGGTGGAGTTCATATTGGACCAGATCATTCCTGAGCTTTCCAACTTGATTTCCATAGCTGATAACCAAAACTTGGATTTAGCTCAAAGGGTAATCGATGCATCGATTGTGCGAGGCAACTACTTAGGAGATGAGATAATAACCCAATTGTTTATTAAATTTGCTCCCAATTATGACTATTCAAACCCACAAACTGACACTTCTACCGAGTTTATTGAAAACGTGCTACAATTGACGGGATCTACTTTAGGAAACACTAGAGGTGATTGGCCCACTGCAGAAGAAAGAAAGAGAGCTTTATTTTTGGAAAAATTGATGGAACTTGACAACAGATTTGTCATATGTACCTGGTTGAACCTTATTGCCTTGCCAGTTGAAAAGTTTGTCCAAATGTGTTTCCATGGTGTTTTTTCGCACGTCGTTGAGAACTCCTTGGTTGTTGACAAAGACGAAACAAAGCAGGTACAAATTCTTCGGAAAAGGTATCTCAACATATTCCAAAACCAAATAGTCGCATTGTCTTGCAACTCATATGGGTCCCACATTGTTGATAAATTATGGAACTTTACAGTTTTGTTGCCCATGTATAAAGATCGGATTGCGTCAGAGCTTATGAATGATTCACATAAAGCCAAGGAAAGTCAGTACGGTAAATTAGTGTGGAAGAACTGGTCCATGGAACTCTTTGCTAGAAAGAAGTATGATTGGAAGCAACTTGTCAAAGAGCAAGAACATGAATTCCATGGCGGAGAAGAGAATCAAACAAGGGCCAAGAAGCCAATTGAGTTAAAAATGGAACGATTAGCTGAAGAAAAGAGAATTCAAGCAGAAAAAGCAGAAAAAGCTCAAAGTGGGTATAATAAACGTAAACTAGACGAATTGACCGGTGCGACAGAAAAGAAGCAGAAGCTAAGAGGAAGAAGACGTGAATAAGGACGTATATAAAAATAATCTATTTACAGGTCTGTTTTTGTAGTGATAAAATACTCATTCAATGTTTTTTCATCAACGGCAGTAGGACTCTCAACAACGCGGTCAGATCCCGATTGGTTTTTTGGAAATGCAATTACATCTTTTATGCTTGAGGTACCCACGACCATGGCACATAGCCTATCAAATCCTAATGCCAAACCAGCGTGAGGCGGACAACCCATACTCAAAGCCTTTAACAAATGACCAAACAATTGTTCATAATTGTTTACGTGTAAAATCTCCTCGAAAATGTATTGTTGTAATGTAGCGTCATGAATTCTTCTTGATCCACCGCCAACCTCAACTCCATTAATCACTAAATCGTAATGTTCGCCTCTAACTTTCAAGGGGTCTGTTTCTAATAAATCGTAATCTTCAGATTTGCACATTGTGAATGGATGGTGTGTCGATTCAAATTTGTTTTTATCGTACTTGGGATATGGATCATTGATGTTGTCAGAAGTTTCAACTGGGTTGAATAAGGGGAAATCGACGACCCATGAGCCAACAATAGTTTTATCACCATTGTAAATTTCAATTAGCCCATTTGCGCTCCGAATCGGGCGTTGCCACTTACCAGGGAATTCTGTTATTGCCAATTGTCTAAATTTACCCAAGGGTGTTGGATTTTCATAAGGAAGTTCAGACCTACTTGAAACAGCTAAAATATCACCTGGCAATAGATTCAATAATTGATGCATCCTTTGCAAGTCAGCTCCATTATTCAGTTTCATGAAATGTTTTTGCAAAAGTAACTCATACCAGTTCTCTGCATCTTCTTCCGACCTGATCATAAATACAAAAGGTCTTCTCCTCGAGTAATTTAATTCACTGGTGAATGCTTTTGGTGGTTTTGAGGCTTTTGATTTGGGGTCAAATGCACCCTTCAAGACACATGCTTCAACGATGGGAAATGCTAGATCTTCAACTGCCGTGAAAAACTTTTCAAGACTGTTGAATGAAATGTTGGACCTCAAATCTGGTTTGTCAATACCGTATTTCTGCAAAGCTGTCAAATAATCCAATTTTGACAACCGAACTCTCTTGGCTGCATCTTCGACTTTAACCAATTCACCATCTTCATTCACAGTGTACATATTAATTTGCTTTATTTTTTCCCACACTTCTAACACTATATCTTCCACAACTTGCATCACCTGATCTGAACTATTAACATAGCTCATTTCCAAATCTACTTGGGTAAACTCTGGTTGCCTGTCAGACCTCAAGTCCTCATCCCTGAAGCACTTGGCAATTTGAAAATACCTTGTGAATCCAGAACTCATTAGAATCTGCTTGTACTGTTGAGGAGATTGAGGTAAGGCGTAAAATTGTTTTGGTGATCTCGTTGGGACAAGAAATTCACGAGCCCCTTCTGGTGTCGACTTGAATAGTAAGGGAGTCTCAATTTCGACAAAATTGTGCTCATCTGTAAGAACATTACGAACTAGTTGCGCGATTCTACTTCTCGTTCGTAATGAGTTTTGATAGAATGCAGTGCGTAGTTGCAAGTATCTAAATTGAGGTGGTAGATCTTCAGGCCGAGTTTGTTTCAACTTCTCGAGTCTTGGAGCGTCAATATTTGACAGATTCAATACCTGAATATCATTTAGAACCAATTCCCAGCCTTTTGATTCACCTTCTTTCAATTGTTTTGCCTGCACATATCCCGTAACACTGACAGACTCTTCAACGGTGAGACTTTTCATGGTGTCAATGATTCTGCTCTCGGTTGCATCATTAGCTATGAATTGAACCTCTTCTCCATCACAATCACGCAAAAATCCAAAACTCAATGTTGGCCGTATTCTTGACTTTTTGTGTATATGTCCATTTAAAGTCACCTTTTGCTTCTTGTTTATAAATTCATCAATGTTTTCAGTAACAGCTTTTATCGTATTGGTAGCCAATGGGAAATTAAATTTCGCTAGCGTGGATAACTTGTCTGGTAGTTTTGACAAGTATCGTCGACTATTTCGAGCAAAAGTCGGAAACATAAAGGACTTTTGGAATGTAGTTTTATCGAATGAGGTTCAAGCAGAATTTGGAATTTTTTTTGATTTTTTTTCGGTGCTGCCGAGCCGCACTACATTTTTGTGTAGTTTAGACCATTTTCCTGCCTAAACATCAGACTCATGCTAAGGTATTATGCAAACTGAATCACTTGAATAAACCTTTATTGCCATGTGTAATAAAATGGGCAGCAAAAAATTGTCAAATACAGCAGTCCTAGAAGCAATATTCAGGAAATAGAAGCTGCATAGATGCCAAATGCGTTGGGAGTTGCATTGACCCATAAGTTTGCAATGTTCTCACCGACCCGGAACAAATAAGTGAACCATAAACTCTAAAACCTTGTAAAACTGCCTTGTACCAACCACTACCAAATTAAACATTTTAATTGGGCGAACTGCAAATGTAAAAAAACTCACAACGGAATGCATTTAACTAAACAAAGTACATGTTATTTAAAGGCTAAGTCGAGTTTTAAAATGAATAGAAAGTAGTCGGGAGTAGTTGTCTAGTTTTTCTCTACTTTACTGTCTAATTACTGGCTTGTAGAATAGGGTTGAAGCAAACCATATTTAATGAGTGCTTCGAACAATCTCGTTCTTCCCTTTTGCAGGAAAAATCAAGTGATCTGAATACATGAAAAGCTTATGTAGCCCATGAAAGCTTCTTTAACAGATTTATGCAGTTTGTGGGGAAAGAATGAGTAAATTTATTTTGTCAAACCTTAATTGCCAAATCAAATGTGGAAGAACTTGCCTGAAAGAGTGTTTTCTTACCCCAAGAGATTTTATACTAACACCTCTCGTTCATCTTCATTGAGATGCTCTTTTTGATTGGAATAAACAAACAGAAGAATCCAGAGAGTGTGCATAGAAACCATTTATGGATAAAAGGTGGACGTTTGCCAACTACAACTGGCTAAACCTTTGCAACTGTTCTCCACAAACACAAGTGTTGTGTAGCTTCAAAAACATTTGTTGATGTTTTTTAAAAACCTTACCAATTACTAATAAACTTTTCGAATGACTTTAGAAGACAAAAAATGCCACCTGTTTGCCCAACAGAGAGTATTATTTCAGTAGTATTTGTCTAATGAGTCAAACCTTAAGGTTTTTACTGAGTAATCATACACCAATTCAAATGCAACAACCAACCAGGACGCCTTTACAACTAATTGGGGAAGGCGATAGCCGTATTATTATCTCTACGCTTTACCCATCACTCAATTTTATTTAAAGAAAGTAACACCTTATCTCAGTTTATACAGTTCAGTTACTGATACTTTATATGAAACTTTAATATCTTGTGGGTTGCGACGATTATGGTTAGTAATCACAAGGGATGTTGTAAAGATAACTTGGAACCTCGATCAGGCTATTTAAGCAATATCGATTTCCATAATGCCGATCTAAAGTATCATTTAGTGTCTAAGAAAGTTTTTCAAGATGTCAGAACCCCTTCAGCCAGTCACCACAGAGACAGCGGATGAACACAACCAACATATTGTTAGTCCACCTACTTTCACTTCAAAGGCTATCAAGGAGTACATAAAGACGAGATTTACATCATTATGGGTAGGTAAAGAGGCGTTGAATAAATACCCCTGGTACGAAATTTGCAATCCCTTTCACCCATTAATGGGATTGACTGCTCATCAATGGAATTTTTTCTTTTTGGGCTTTTGGGGTTGGACATGGGACGCGTTTGATTTTTTCATTACAAGCTTGAATGTTACAAACATTGCCGAAGATTTACAAGTGTCAACTAAAGATGTTACTTGGGGGATCACATTAGTGTTGATGTTCAGGACAGTTGGGGCTGCTATTTTCGGAGCTATTGGGGATAATTTTGGTAGGAAATTGCCATATATTCTCAATATGATCTTGCTTATGCTGATTCAAATAGGAACCGGGTTTGTCACAACCTATTCCCAATTTCTTGGTGTAAGAGCCTTATTTGGTATTGCCATGGGAGGAATTTATGGCAATTGTTCAGCCGAGGCTCTTGGGGATGCACCACGGAAGGCAAGAGGCATATTATCGGGAATTTTCCAATCAGGCTGGCCAACTGGCTATTTACTTGCCGTATGTTTCCAACGGGCATTTGAAATGACTGAGAAAACCTGGCAAAACATGTTTTTCTTTTCAGCAGGTGTACCAGTTATATTCATTATTTGGAGACTTTTCAATTCTGAGACATATGTTTATCAACGCCAGAAAGCGAGATTTCATGAAGGGGCAATCCAGAAGGAGTCAAAGATAGCTGAGTTCAGGCATCAAGCATCAAAGGCCATGAGAACTTACTGGTTGATCATCATATACTTGGTATTGATGATGTCTGGCTTCAACTTTTCATCCCATGGCTCACAAGATTTGTATCCAACTATGTTGACAAGTGAATATGAATACGGTAGAGATAGAGCTGCAGTGGTTAATGTCTGTGCCAATTTGGGAGGAATATTTGGTAGCATAATCATATCCCACCTTTCAACGTACTTTGGCAGACGTACGCTTATTATTTGTGCCAATACTTTTGGCGGTGCATTCCTTTATCTTTGGGCATTTAAGCCCACTTGGATCACCGCTTTCCTCATGCAATTTGGGACTCAAGGTGCTTGGTCGGTAGTGCCAATACACTTGAATGAATTGGCACCTCCTCAATTTAGATCTTTTGTTGTTGGTGTTTCTTATCAATTAGGTAACTTGATCAGTTCAGCTAGTGCAACCATTGAAGCCACAATGAATGAAACGTTGCACGATTTGGGTAAAACAATGGCCATATTCGAGGGAGCTGTTTTATGCTATTTGATACCTATTGTGTTTATAGGTCCAGAGCATAAAGGTGCAGAGTTGGGAGTTGAGAGAGATGATAGGATGTGTGATAATGACTTCGTGCCAGAGGATAGGAAGGGTTCCGATGTTGAGATGGTGCCTGAGATAGTCGAAGATGTAAAGCAAGAGAAGGCTTAATGGTAGATAAAATGTAGGTTTAGGAAATAAATGTTGACAATTATGAATGTGAAATTATGGCTGCGAATAAAGAGTATTATCAACACCCTAAGTTTACTCTACTTGATCTTGCCTAAATACAGTGATTGGTCATCCCACATAGTTTGAGTGCTTTGCTACTGCAACTGCAGACGCGGAAGCCTTGTCATAATGTTACCCTTTTGTTCCAGGTACGCACACTCCACTTCTCCTTATTGGATGCATAACAAGGCTTAGTGGCTCCCAATGTCGTAAAAATATGTCTTCTGACATATGTTTTTCTTTTTCTTTCTTTTGCTTTTGTTTTTTTCGGTTTTAATTGAACACAGCCGAATGCTTAGATCTGTCTTTGAAGTAAGCTGATTGTTTTGTTTTACAGTGGCAAGTATAAGTGATAGATGACTCTAAATCAATCAGCAACAGCTGCTTTAGTGTAGTAATTACCTATAGCCTTGCAAAACACACTTTACAATTCAAAAAGACACGTCTTGTAAATTTTGTCTTCTTTGGCTGTTGTTTGTTATTGTTTGTGCCTGAAAAGTTTTTATTTATTTGTGTGACATATTTTTTATTATTTATTCTCAAACGTACACGCCATATTGTAAAAATAGATTCTCCTTTTATCAAGTGGAGAGAATATATATATATGATCAATCAACGGTATTCATTTGTTTTTTATTACCTGGGTTCATTTGATTGTTATTTGATATCAGTACAATCTATATCTTCCTTGCCAAATGTTTACACTTAGGAAAAGAAAGTTGGTGTATATCCTTCTTGCTATTACAACATTCTTGTTGCTAGCGCTTCATTCAAAGTTAATCAACCATCCACAACTACCCAACGCGGACTGGTCACTCACTTCGTTTGGGGAAAAGTTTGACTTTTCTTACTTGCCAAACCTAAGCGATAGTTTGAAAAACACGTATAACCTGTGGAATTTGAAATCTTCCAATACAGACACACTTCAAGCGGCAATAATTGAACCAAATAATGTCCAATTTAACTTTGTTAACAATGCCAACAACAAGGGAACACCAGAAGAGGTGGTTGCCCGGACTACTAAGAAATATACCGAGTTGATGAATAAAGAAGTGGGCAAGCCACAAGATGCGTCATTGGTTCCACCACCGGAGGATAAACTGACTTATGATCGAGCAAATGCCACCATCTTGGCATTAGTTAGGAACTCAGAGTTGACCAAGATTGGACAAAGTATTAGGAGGTTTCAAAAGCTGTTTAATGGCAAATTCAACTACCCTTATACGTTTATCAATGATGAGCCATTTTCGGATAGATTCAAGGAAAGGATCAAAAAGTATACTGAAGATGCACCAGTGGAATTTGTCACCATAAAACCAGAGAATTGGAAGAAACCCGATTCAATAGACGAAGCTAAAGAATCTAAGGCTATGCAACTTATGTATGATCACAATGTCGCCTATGCCAAGAAGGGATCATATCACAACATGTGTCGTTTCTATCTGGGTCAATTTTACAATGTGCCTGAACTACAAAAGTATAAATATTATTGGAGAATTGAACCACAAGTGCACTTTTATACCGATGTCACTTATGATGTTTTCAAATACATGGAAACAACAGGGAAAGTATATGGTTTCACTGTCGGTTTATACGATATCGAAGAAACAGTAAAGACCTTGTGGCCAGAAACTTTGAAGTTTTTAAACACAGGTAACAACTACAAATATGTAAATAAAAATGGAAGTTTCCAATGGTTGTTGGAGAACTTGCAAAATCCAAACAAGAATAAAGTTGCTGGTGGTTATTCAACGTGTCATTTCTGGTCAAATTTCGAGATTGGTGATATGGATTTCTTTAGAGGCGAAGCATACAATAATTGGTTTAAGCACTTGGATTCAACAGGTGGGTTCTATTACGAAAGATGGGGCGATGCACCGGTACATTCGATTGGTGTAAGCTTATTTGCTGATAAATCCAAGATTCATTGGTTTAGAGACTTGGGATACAACCATGATCCTTATTACAATTGTGCCAATACACCATTTACTTCACATTGTCTAGTGGGTAAATTCAGTCGATACGAACATTTAAATGATCAAAATTGTTTAATCAATTGGCTAGAATATGATGAAATTAAAGATGTTTATAGTAGAAGTTAGAGCTACATATACAAAACAAAAATGTACAATTCTGTGTTTTTACAATTTACTTTTGTATCATAAAATAATTCTATATGACTCCTCTAACCAAGTATATAATATCACCATTTTTCAATATGCTTGACTTGTCTGAATTCTTTACCAAACTTGGCTCATTCTTGCTATCGTCAACTTTGAAAATGTTCAACTTTTCATCAGTCTTGGTTGTCAGATTATTCATATTTGGAATATACAACTTCTCAGCTATCGAGTCCAATGATTTACCAATGACCCAGCTTTTGGATATAAAAACTGGTTTCTTATCCTGGTCAATATTCATGGTGGTATTGGGGTCTTTAACATAAACACACCAAATGTATACTCTATCCGATAAGGCAATCTTGGCATCTCCTTGAGCATATTTTTTCAATTTTGCCATATCTGCATACTGATTAGTTGTGGATGATTTCTTGCCGCCAAATAATTTCGATAGAGATCCTCCTCCACTTGAACTCTTTTTATCCTTTTGCAAGTTGAGAAACTTTTGAAACTTTTTAAATGCATTGGTTCCCGCTACGTCTCCTACTCGAAACTGCGTTTCTTTAATTGTTGTAGGCTCAGGACTCTTTAATCTAGCATCTATTATCCTTTTATCAGCTTTTCTATCGGGAAACAATGATTTTGATGAAACGGTTGACGAAGAAGATAAAGTCCCATCATAGGTTGGTGCTTGATTATAAAATTTGTCCTTATGTGGGCAGTGATGTTGTTCCAAAGTTCGGTGGTTGGAACAGTACGTCTTTTTACAAAACTCACAAGTGAATGGCAAGAAGTCTAGCTGGTTGCAATACGAACAATTCTTACCAATGTCCATAATGCCTTGGTCTTCTGGCGGTGGCGCCTGGGTTTTATCAATGAATAAATTAGCAACTGATGACATGATTAGCGGGGTGTAATGTAAGTGACGGTGGAGGTTAGTATTTGAAAAAAAAAATAAAAAAAGAATGAAGGGAAACTTGGCTCAGTTTATATAGTTTTTATTTTTGGATTAGTAAAGTCAGTTATTTTGGTGGCAAAATGAAGTCAAAAGTTGATCTGCTGTCATGGAAGAGAGTGGCGTATAGATTTTGATTTTTTGAGTGACAATATTTTACACAAAAAGAAGAAAATTAAATTTTCTAGCATCGATCATCATCAAAACATTCATACACAAGCAAGGCCAACTTCAAAGTGTACGCGCTTAAACAATGTCTTATGATCTCAATATACCGTGGCCCTGTAACAACTACAGCACAGCACCAACTGCACAACAATGGACAGACTTGAAAAATACAATCATAACCAACTTGGAGCTAGGCATAACTCATCAAGCGATAAATTTCACCATTGACGAATCAGTGAAAATTCCCTTCAATACACCTGATCGAATCAATCCAATCAATATAAGTGCCCTAAATGACGAATTAAAACCAAACTTCCCCACTTTGAACCTATTCACACGAGTCACTTTAATCGTCAATGATTCATCAAAGTTGCAAGGTGTAGCGAAATTGCAAAACCACTTTGATTTATTTGCAATACAACCCGCCAACGAAAAAGCCTTACAATCAACAATACTAAACATTGAATGTGATTTAATAAGTTTGAATTTAGCTAATAAGCTACCGTTTTTCTTAAAGTTCAAAGCAATTGGTACTGGTGTTTCCAAAGGTATCAAATTTGAAATTAATTATAGTCAATTGGTTAGTGGTACTCTGGGATATTCGTCCGATGTTAGTGGTAACTTGATCAAGAAAAATTGGTTTAATAATGTCTTGCAATTGATTAGAAGTTCGCGATCTAGAGGATTGGTGGTATCTAGTGGTGCACAAAATCCACTTCAACTACGCAATAGTAATGACATTTTAATATTGTTAAAGACTCTTGGGTTGAATTCCAGTAAAGCCAAGAGCTGTATCACGATAAACCCCGAAAAGGCTTTAGTCAATGCAAGATTAAGAATAAAATCTTATAAACAAGTCATTAGCATTGGGGATAGGGACTTGATAGACAACAAGGATGAAAATAGTGCAAAGAAACATGATGCTAGTGGATATAAACGGAAGCACGATGAGACTGCTTCAGGCCTGTTATTGAAAAAGTACAAGAGAGATGCATAAACTGATGAAATAACAATAACAGTGCAGAATTAAACAGACACGTTACATTATACTAAAAATATTTACCTCTTTAGATATTTATGCGAGTAACTGCTTTTTAGCTGAATATGGATGATTTAAGTGGCTTAATCTTGCTAGGATTTTCTTCTGTAGCCTCTTTCTCTTGCTCCTTCGGTTTTCGAATAGGAGAGGTTCGTGATGGTGGTCGATGACGCTTGTTTTGAAGAAATATAGAGGGTTGCAGTTGTATTCGTTTCTTCTTTAATGTATTTGATAATCCATCCGGCGATGATGGTGGAGATGGAGATGCTTGCTTTCCTTTAATAGGCGTCATCTTTGCAGTCGATGATTTAGGTGGAGTGGCTGGTTGTCTCCTTGACTGATCAAAGAATGTAGTACGTCTAATTGTAGTGGTGCTTGATCTTGGCGCTCGAATAGGAGCAAAATCCCTATTCTTGAACGCACTGTATGGATTGTACCTTCTCATTGCATGCGTCCCAAATATGAGTGATCTATTTTGAGATTCTCTAATTGCTTTGCCTAATATGGTATTCTTATTTATTGGCGGAGTTTGTCGTTGAAATCCATTCTGGAACGGCAGTCGACTTCTAACAGAGGGATCTCTTCTTATTTCATCGACAGCAACGATCTTGTTTTTAGCTTTTTCTTTATTCATAGATTGGTTTAAATGTCGTAACCTCTTGGCTGAATCTTTTCTAAACTCATCTCGTTGGCTCACATATTTGTAGTATAATGATTTGTACGGCATCTTTTCAAATTTCAACTTGCTCAACTCCAAGGGACCTATTTCTGCTGGTCGATCAGGAAAATCTTTGATTATGAGCTGCTTCCATAACTCATCACTATGTGGTGTTAGTTGTGTTGATAGTGATTCTAGTTGGCCTAGTTGCTTGGCTGACATTAGACTTAAAACCGATGCAAGTAAATGGTACGGCGTGGTGCCTACATCTTGTAGTTGCGATATATGCCGTTTTATACATCGCTGTGATAGATGTAGTAGCGTCGGTAGACCACTTGGGTGCTTGTAGTTTAATCTCGGGTTGTGGGAACTCATCGATGGAGTGTGTTCTCTTGTGGTGGCAGGCAAATATCAACCGTCTGGGAGGATGAAATACCAAAAAGTGCGCGCTACCTCATTGGTTACCGAGAACACAACATGGAGAAGTTTACCAGACCCTAGCAGGATTCATAGAAAGCCCTCCACATAGAAATTGCATAAACTCACACCCTACGATTGAGGCTTTTATTTTAAAACAAACTAATGATACATACAGAAACAAACATATTTTGAGAAAATTAAAACCTAATAACCAATTGATGACATAACTCCATATCCAATGGTAATCACACACAAATATGCAATAATAGATGCTGGCACACCTCTTGAAATAAACTGATTCACAGTGAGGTAAGGTCTTCCCAATTCATCCCTCATACTAATGGCAGTCACATTGGGGAACCCTGAAGTGGGCAATGCCATTGCACAAGATGCAATTAAAGCCGTACCTAAAATCAATAAATTTGGATGTGGTTTAGGTAAAGCATCACCGACTTCCTTAACTAATGGAACAATAATCAATGCCGCCACTGTGTGGGAAACAAACGTGGCAAACACAAGGACAATGACACCAAAAATAAGCAATATGACATAGGCACTATAGTCCATAATACGTTTTTGCAATGCAATGGCAATTGTTGACAAAAGACCAGATGAACCAATGGCTTTACCCAAGGCTATACCACCCATCGCCAACACAATGATAGACCACGGGTAGTTGTTCAAATCATCAACTGTGAGTAATCCTGTGGCGAAAAACATTACATAGGCAAAACAAGTCACAATACCACTTGAACCCCAATTAACTTGAATTTTTTCAATAACACACCATAAAAGAATAGTAATGATTGAGATCAAAAGGACGAAGTATTGCTTGGTTGTCAATCTTTCTCTAATTGGGGAGATCTTAGTCAACTTGAGAGTATTAATCTTGAATGTTGAAATGAGCAACAACCAAATAAAGAAAACGGCAACAATTGTAGTGGGCAAACTAACTTCAAGCATCTGCCAACCTGGGTTGGGTGTCATTTCTTGTAATGCGATAACATTTTGTGGCGAACTGATTGGCGACAGCATACCACTACAATTGGAAGCAAATGCAATACCCAAAATTAATGCCTTGGTAAATGGATGGTCCGAGGGAATGGTCTTGAGCATTGGTCTAACCAAACTCAATGCAATGACTGGCGCTGCAGTGTTTGACAAAAATATGGAAAGGACCATTGATATAATCATGTTGGCAAGAATAATATTTCTTGGTTTGGTCCCGGCAGCAGCTAAGATCCATGACGAAAGAATCTTGGCCAAATTGTATTTTGATAACGCAGCAGCAAGGGTAAACCCACCAAGTAAAATCATAATCGTTGAATTCCACATTGTACCAAGAATATACAGCGAAGCATCAGAAGCTGTCATTGGCTCATCAGTGCCACTGACTTTGCAAATTTTGCAGGTGACAACAAGTAATGGAACAAACATGGCGGTTGTATGTAATGGAATAGCCTCAGATGCCCACAACATGGCACAGGCAACCAAGACAGCCAAACTTCTTCCCTGAACTGGGTCATTAAATGTCTTGATGGTCATTAAAATGATAAACACCACTGCCGTTATGACAATTTTCAAAACTTGAGTTGTAAACAAAAAGGCTGGTAGTGAAACAGTTTTGCCACTTAAATACCTGGGGAGTTCAATTTCCCTCATCTTCATCTTCATCAACGAGTTGGTGACATTACCTTCTTCACCAATCTTGCTGCTTTGGACCGCATTCTCATCCAAGTCTAGATTATACGATTGCTTTTCCAAGGATAACAAGTCTTTCCAAACGGTATTTCTTTCAAATACAATATGATCACGTAAATGAGAGCGTAAGTCGTTCTTAATTGGCTCCAAGTCATGTTTAGTGCTATGGGAGTATAATTTACCCAAGGAAAACGCATAAATTCGTACAACTTGGTCGAGTTTGGTGTCAATAGTTTCAATTGTTTGTGGTTGGAATACATATGAATGTAAAGGCAAGAAATGCTGACAAAAATCTTGAGTTATTGAATACCCACAAACTTTATCAAATTTCTTACAAATTTTGGCAAACCCAACTCGATTCAATTCAATGTATGATTTCAATTCGGACAATCGAATATACATTGCCAAACACTGTTTCTTCTTTGTGACTGAATATTTATGATTCTCATTGAAATGGGCTTCGTCAAGTAATACTGAATCGGTGTTACTATTTTTGTCATCATCATCGTCATCATCTTCCTCATCGGAATCATCGTGTACAACTTGTACTGAAACGCTTTGTTTCTCCAAATCAGCATTATGGTGTTCTGGGTCGTGACTGTGATGATGATCTATACTACTACTATGGATGTGCCTGATTTCTGGCTCAGATTCCAAAGCCTGCTTCATCCGAAGTTGTTCACTTTCACTATTCAATCGACCATATTGATCAAAAATATCCTTTTCGATGCCCTTATAAAAGTCATTGATTTTCGACAATTCAATCAACAACTGTTTGGTGAATACATGTAATGGATCAAACTCCAATGAGTTTGGATTAGCAAAGGACTCGTTGGGATCATTAATAAATTGTGTAATCACATCGTCAACATTTTTGAAAGAGGCAGTGTCGTTTGATAAACTGTCAACTTCAGCAGTATACGAATACGCATCTCCATTTTCACTAGCCTCCTTGGCATCTTTATTATTTCGTTCGAGATCAATGTGGTTTAGCTCAATCTCGCTAGCACTGCTACTGTTATTACTATCCAAGATAAGTTTATTCTTTTTAAGTCTTTGCAACAAATTAAGTTTCTTGGCCAACCGATTCTTCATGCCTCCTGCATTTGCGGTTGTCTTGGCATCGTTAATATCGTTATAACTGTCTGAACTTTCCTCAATGGAATCGTTATTGTTATTACTACTTAGCGTGTGCGAAGAAGCTGAATAATTGGCTTCGAAATTGTCCACCAATTCAGTTACAGTGGTCGTTTCTTTTCCAACAATATACCCTTGGTCTTGGTTCCCATTATACGCAATTTGATCTTGTTGTAACTCATATATGGTTTTTTTCAATGTTGAATATTTCAAGTAATACCAATCAGGTACAGCATTAAATTTTAAAGAATGGGCGAACTTCATTCCTTTAGATTAGCGAAAGGTAAATAAGGAATGTATGTGCTTTTGGGCTTCTTCGATAGACTGACGATATTATTATGAAAATATGGGAAAGTGAAAAGCTTTCTTCCTTTTTTTTTTTTTTTCTTGGGTTGGTAATGGGTAAAGGAAGAAAGAATATACGGATGAGGGGGGGGGGGGGATAGTGGAAGAAGTGTAATTAAAATTTTGTTTATAGTTTTTTAGGAAAGTAGAACAAAGGGTATAATATATTTAGTATGTATTTAGACCAAATGAAGTAATACATCGTGTGACTGTTAAAATACAAGAAGAAAAACAATATTAGAAAAAAAGAAATAAAAAATAAAGGTAAAAAGAATTTTTTTGTGTAAATTTTCGGCGTTTATGAAAGTAAAAGGAAAGACAATAGGGAATGTGAGATGAGATTAAGAAGAAATAGGAAGAAGACGAATAGAATGAATAGGAGAAGAAGGAGATGTGAGACAATAGAAACTAACAAAAATGGAAAAAGAAACTAAAAGTAACAATACAACAAGACAAGTTGATTGAATGGAAAAGGAATCAGAGATCCAATGAAATTGCCTTTCACAATCAAACACACAAAACATTCAAAATGAACGAAGATCGCATTGGGTGAAAAAAAACATTAGAAATTAGCTAAGCCGACAATAAATGTATAGAAAACTAATTGCAATTTACAAGTTACATGTTCCAAGTCCCATCGGATTTTTTTTTTCAATTTCCATGGGAGATTTATTGGGCGTCATGACAATGGTAGATATATTGTTTTCATTTCTCTTCACTACTTCTTATAAACTAGAAGCACAAACTGGGAATAACTTTAACCCGTGTTTTTCTTTTATTTCATTTTCTTGAGTGGCTTTTTCTCCCACAGGCTTGGCTTGGCTTGGCTTGGCAAAGTTTTTTTTGTATTTTTGACATATGTTATTTTACTTAAGGCGTTATAATAAAACTGTATGTTCAAACAGATACGAAAAGCAAGTTCAAGTACCCCTGGCAAAGTTTAAAAGTAGGAAAGTAATTATATAGTAAATCAGTGAACTAAAACTTTATTATTATTTAGTATACCTAAAAGAATTCTGCAGTCTCTGAACATATCAAAGTGGAAACTGCCACGACTATTGCACTATATCTGATATTCAACTTGGTAGCTTCGACTCTAATATTTAGTTCCTCACTAACTAGCTCTGTTTGTGGTGGTGATACAGCCCCAGCTGAACCACTTTCTATCAATGTTGGGCTGATAAAGTCGTGGATGAAAGGAAGGAATATTACTTTTAGTATTAGTACCATCGCATAATAGATTTCTGACTTGCACATCTAAATCAACAGACACGCAAAAGCCTTCAATCACACAATAGTTGTTGAGTGGCCCTCAAAAAGGCAAGGAGAATCCAATTTTCCAAGTTGATGGATTGACAATGACTTTACAGAGAGAAGGTAAATCCCAGAAGAACATGTTAGTGAGTGCCTATATTGCTGCTCTACATATGTACAGCTGTCAATCATCATCTCTCTTATCAGAGTAATTTACTTTGGCAACTTTTTCAATACAGTTGGTAGCAGCTGAACATGACCAAGACATGTTACAGTTAATGACTAGTTTAAAGAATTAGAAGCCAATGTATCAAAACTGAACTTCTTATCATAAACTGCTTCACACAAGCGTTGCTTTAAAGATGACCTACGATAATGCTAACTGATTAATCGATGTTATACCCTCAGCGCCATATCCATTTTATTACGAAATCTTAAATTTGCCAAATTTCTCGTGATCTTTCGCTCTCTGTGACTAACAAAAAAAATTACTACACGCTTTACAAGCACTCACTCTGTTCAATAAAGTTACTACAACAAAGTCTTCAAATGATTCATCTGTCATGAGTGACTTCCAAACAAACATTCACGAGGGTGAATACGTATCAACTGCGCGAAGCAAACTACCACTTAGCCAAGAAGCATCAGTTTCCGATACAAAAGTGCTTAGTCCAAGAGCATATACTCCAGTACGATTGAATAGTCCTCACATGTCGATGGCAGAGCTAGCTATTGTTAATAATAATATACTTTCATCACAAGGATTACAACAACAAAGATATGCAAATGCAAGTAGTGAGTCAAATCAACCACATAATCTCCAGCATTTTAAAAACAACAACAATAATAATAATAGTAGCGCCGCAGCCCCAACTTCTCCGACGCCACAGTTTTCCAATTTTGACAATGGGCAAGATATTATGATAAACTCTCCTCCATTGCTCCCATCAACACCAAGCTCCTTCGATGTCGATGGAATGCCAGTTTCTACACCGGCAAACCTACCGAAACTTGTACATAAATGGACCCACACCCATTCGATATTGTGTTGTATTGCATCACCAGCTAATAACTTGCTCTTTTGCGGAACCCAAGATGGTAAGATATTGGTGTTCGATATGTTGACATACAGTTTGAAACATGAAATAAACCGGAGTGAAACCCCACACCAGAATAGTTCGATATTAACCATTTGTATAAATAAAAAGGAGGATACTTTATTTGTTGCCGGATCCGATTCTTTGGTGAAAGTATATGATTTCAAGACTGGATTTCAATGCACTCATATCATTTATTCGTTGGTCGATATTGGTGATATATTCTCCCTTGCATGGTGCGATAACTCACAGACACTAATTATTGGTGCTCAAAATGCCAGTATATTATGGTGTAAGTTATTTGTTGCTAATGGAAATGCCAGGAGAGTTAACTTGGAGAACTTGCCTCATTATAGATACGACAAGTTTTTTGACTCCAAGGGGCCTGGCGGGTCCCAAAATACGCTACAAACAAGGCACGAATTAATGAGGAAGAATTCGAGGAATTCTACTCCGGTAGACGAGAGCAAGCCTGTTGTGTCCTTTATTGAATGCAAGCAAGAGGATATTGTTAGATTTTCTCATAATGGATATGTCTACTGCCTTGATATTGTTGAGACTGCAATTGGCCATTTTGGTGAAGGAAAATTTCTCATTTCAGGTGGTGGTGATGGCGTGATTAACATTTGGACAATGAATCAAAATGGATTGAAGAAGTTGACATCACTACAAAATGATGAGTCGGTGTTATCTATGACAATACAAGGCTCGTTACTTTATGTCGGATTAGGTGACTCATGCATCAATGTATGGGACTTGTTAACTTTGCAAATGATTAGGTCTTTTGTATTTAGCAAGGAAGGCATGAATGAAGTCTTGAGTTTAGGTGTGCATAAGGATGCACTATACAAAGCTTGCTCCGGCTCAGGCTTGGTAAAGCTTACGATGAAGCATAAAAATGTTGCCGATAGTGTCATAATGAGTTCAGATCAAGAGGATGGGGTTATAAATACTGTTTCTACTTTTAAGCTAAACCATGAGGCATATTTGTTGGCGGGTGGAAACAAGTCTTTGACATTGTGGAATATTTCCGAGGATGACGATAGTACTGATGATTTCATGCAGAGTTCAGGTTCGACCTTGGCCACCTTGCCGGCGTTGCAAAAGGGTGTTCGTCTTAGTGACAACGATATGTTGTCAATGTTGAAAAAATTCATCTCCTACAAGACGATTTCCAAGAATCCTCTACTTTACCTTGAGGACAGTCGTCATTGTGCTAAATTTTTGTCACGTTTGTTGAACAAGTTTGGTTCATACCAGACGAATTTGTTGCCAGTGGAGAATGGGAATCCAATCGTGTTTGCCGAGTTTAAAAAGAATAGTACCACAACATCACCCAAACATGAAAGGGTTCTTTATTACGGACATTACGATGTAGTTGATGCTACAAACCATGAGGCTAGAGATTGGAGCACAAATCCGTTCGTGTTAACAGCAAAGGAAGGCAACTTGTATGCTCGTGGTGTTAGTGATAACAAGGGACCCACCCTAGCGGCAATCTATGCTGTTGCTGATCTTTACCATCGACATGAGTTGGGTTGCGATGTCGTATTTATCATTGAAGGAGAAGAAGAATGTGGGTCAACCGGATTTCAAAATGTGATTCAGCAACATAAGAGTTTAATTGGCGAAATTAATTGGATACTCTTGAGCAATTCATACTGGTTGGATGACGTTACCCCATGTTTAAACTATGGGCTCCGAGGACTCATAAATGCCAATGTTATTATCAAGTCAGACAAACCTGATCGTCATTCGGGTGTTGATGGCGGTGTTAGTCGTGAACCAGTTATGGATATGATGCAAATTTTAACCACTTTGCTTGATCCAGTGACGCAAAAGATTCAAATTGATGGGTTTTACGATGACTTGTTGTCGTTGTCACAACTGGAACAGGCCTTGTATCAGGAGATTGAGAATAGATTGCCACAAAATGTCGACATTGATGTGTTGCAAGCCAAATGGCGTCAACCTTCACTTACAGTACACAAGATACAAGTATCGGGACCAAATAACAACACCGTGATTCCACAAGTGGTTAACGCTACAATATCGATGCGTATAGTTGCTAATCAGGATTTGACGACGATTAAACAGAAATTAATTGACCATTTAAATTCAGCATTCAAAACCCTTGGGTCTGATAATCATTTACAAATCAATGTATTCCATGAAGCCGAACCGTGGTTGGGTGATCCATCGAATAAGATGTATCTGATTTTATACAAGAATTTACAATTGCATTGGCAACAAGATCCTATTTTCATTCGCGAAGGTGGATCGATTCCTTCTATTCGATTTCTTGAAAAATGCTTTGATGCGCCAGCAGCACAAATTCCATGTGGCCAAGCTAGTGACAATGCCCATTTGAAGGATGAAAAATTGCGTATTGTTAATTTGTTCAAGTTGAGACTGATTTTAAGTGATACGTTGAAGGAGTTGGGGGGTTTAACTTAGTTTCATCATCATCATTATTTATTTATTGCAGATGGAATATATATTTATTTGCTATAGAAGGACTTTGTGTCTTTGCAAACTATTTTCATCTCTGAGCTAGATTATACTGGCATTCAAGTTGGGCTTTATGTTTCGATTGAAGTAGCATACTCGATGTGATTTCCTATCATTCAACTTCTTATTCATGTCATGAACCACAGTGCTTTCAAAATACTCTTCATTTTCGTAACAATTCTCCTCCTCATCATCAAAGTTTGGATCCATATTAAGATTCAAATCACTATAACTGGTTAGATCTGCATCATCATCACACCAAAACCACGAACAATGGGCCTTGTTGTGCGGTGGCTGTTCATGACTTGGATTTGAATTTGAATTTGTGGTTATTATTGATTGGTTATCGTTTTGATCATGTAGTAGTGATTTACCGCTCGAAGATGAGGAGGAAACAGTTGTGCTCGTTGAATTGTTTCTTGGATGACCATCATATTGTCCATGGTTAGAGGTCCGACTAGTGTTTAGGTCTCGTATAATGTGCAATAATTCAACACATGATTTCTTATCATCAATGCCTAGTTTCATGTAGTGGTATATTTTATCGGTTGACTTGGCAATGATAGGGAAATTGGTAAATATTTTTGATATTCGTTGCCGTTTATAGCCCAGTCCCAATCCGATGGTGGTTGGCTGCTGACAACAAAATTCGGCAAATTGGCTCAAATTCGAATTGAAGCAAAACACGGTATCAAACTTCAGTTCATACTTCAGTGATATTTTGGATTCATCAACTATGGTTATATTACGCTGGTCAAAGTTTAGGTGGTTTAGTATAATCAACACCTCATTGATTTCTCGTTTGATGTCATTTAGTATAATACATGTACTATGGGGTGTGATATAAGTTGAGTGAATGTAGAATGGAAGTATGATGTCCCAGATAAAGCAAACATCGTGTAAACTGACAGTATCGGGGATGGGAATAAGTAACAGTTCAGGAACGTAAAGTGATCCCTGTAGCCCACCGTCTATATCCTCACCATAAGTTAAATTACAGCGACATGGAGAATCAAGGTGGATGCCTTCTAAATGACATGTGGAGTATGGATACACCAAAAACTTTCCTCGCTTAGACTTGTCATTAATGCTGTTTCGATGGTTATGTTGCTTGACAATTATTCGTTTACTTGGAACAACATTATGGATCTGATGATAAAAATCAGTGGGATAACTCAAAGCGGAAATTTTGACATCAACTTTGATTTTGTTGACACTGTTGTGGTTGAAATTGGAGTCGCAACTAGTCGAGCTGGTATTGAACTTGATTGTTTCTATTATCCTATTGCTTCTAGTATCATATACGCGTCTAATTGGCAATTGTGACGATAGTGAAGGCATTTATGCATTAGGACCCTGTTAATCGCTTTGCTTTGCAACTTCTTTTTTTTCTTCTCTCAAGCCTTTGTGTATAGTTGACCTAGGTGTTGGAGGGGGGAACAAACGAAGACTGGGAACAACTTTTGCTGTTGAAGTTGGACGTATCGATAGTGGGATTTGTTATTGGTAAATGTGAATAGTAAAGGATATAAGGAAATATAGAACTTGTATCGACATTTGATTTAAAAAGAAGAACAATTGTTTTGAATTTTGAACTTTTTAGTCCGTTTTTACAATTTAAAAAAACCCAAAAACATGAATTAGATTTAAGCAAAATGAGAAGTCGACAGGGGTCTTTCTCTGCGTATAGAAAAGTAGAAAGGGCAAAACACGTTAAAAAAATGAAAAAAAAGCTTTACAATGGGTTTGTTGAATAGAATTTCAAAACCGTTTACCAAAAAGCACAATGGACAAAAATTTTTTTACTACTTCTTTTTATTGTTCTTATTGTTTGTAGGCTTACTACTAATATGCACCAAGTATTAAACAGATATGCTTATGTAGGGAAGCAACTGTTCACCTGGTTAAACTGGGTAGAAAACCACATGATATACCTCTTCGTCAATTAAGGTTTAAGGGTGGTGAGTTAGTGGATCCAGTCAAGTCGTTCTGTTTTTTTGATATATTTTAGACGAGAAAAAGAGAAGCAAAGAAAGCCTCCTTCTCCCCACATACATTTTTTTTTCCATTCGTTACCAATCACAATAAGTGATGCTGTAGTCGTAGCGACGTAGGGTACAAGCATTGCCTTGCAAAGTAGTAGTGATTATGTGTTTTTACAGTTTCAATGTGCGTAATCCATCTACAACTCTCCCACGGTACAAAATTGAACAACCTTTAACGCTACGGCACAAAACTTTTCTATATTCGTCGTCTAATTTTAAAAATAATTGAAGGAAATAATAACAATACCCCAGTAGTAACAAACTAAAAATTAACCAAAAAAAAACTATGCCCAACACAGCTCACATTTAATGGTCTGTATGTTTTGCATATCTTCCCTTGTCGCTTATAGACAAGTGCTTCTTCTTCATCTTCTTTTTGGCTTGTTACTACGAATTTATAAACAGACACCGAAAGTTACAACTTCACGTCATCGGCAAAGCACTCGTATCTGATATAGTTTTTGATGAATATCAATATTTTTAATTCGAATGGAAAAGTACTTAGCTTATTGTACTACAACAGCAACAGCAACAATGCTACTCACAAGACAATAAAGAAAACAAGAAGGAAGTTTTAGACCTCACTATTCAATTCAAGGGGCCCCATACGCGAGAAAATTGTGTGTCCCCCCTGCGTATTATCCCTTCCTCGTTTAGCAAGTTTTGTAACTCATGACATCATCACCTTTTGACACAATATAAACTTTCCAGACTCTTGGCACGAGCAAATGGCAGACTATAGTGTAAGGCTCGCTAGATGGTTTATCCTACAATACACTTTCTATACCCTTGATAAGGTTAAAACAAACACAGTTCATAAAAAGATTCTTCAACCTCACGTTTATTAGCTATTTAAACAAATGGTACAGTACGATCATCTTACCTTTAGCCCCGCTCAGCCTTTCGTTTCCTCTCTTCTTCGTCCAACAATGACAATCTCATGGCTTCATTTATCATCTGTTGCTCAACTAATGAATAATCAGTAGCATCATAACTTGATGATCCCACAGTACTGGACCTTATTCTAGAATGATTGCTACCTCTGTGATTCTCCGATCCTTCATTGTCACCTTCAATTATTAGATTACTGGCATGTATTGCAGTTGCAGTAGCAGCTCTTCTGGCTAATTTGTTTCGGGCACTATTTAAAGTTTGCTCCCAATTGGGTCTAATCATATCAATCGTGGTTACACCAGGAGCATTTGCTGCCACTGAACTTCTTCTGCTACGTTGCTTGTTTTTCTTTTTTTGTGGCCATAATTTACTTTGCATCGAATTGGGTGGTGGTGGAGATGTAGGTGTAGGAGAACCAATACTCTTGCGATTCCTCACGGGCGATGGGCTACTTGCAGAATCATCTTCATCGGCAATAGCTTCATCATTGTCATTTGTAACACCACCTTCTTCATCTTCCAATATAGCACTCGTTGCTTTATAGTCTCCCGGTAGTATTCCTCCAACTCCAGTATGTATATCCAACGGAGCATCATAAGTAACTCCAAACTCAGGCATAGCACAATAGGGACAGCTGGCAGGCTCGGATATAAGTGAGTGTGGCTGTTCTCCAGCTTGATGATTCGATGGATCATCATGTGGTGGATGGGGTTCCAAACGTTTAATTTGAACAAAGCATTCAGTACATATTGGCTGCAAACAACAACGCGAAACATTTAAATGTCTGGGGTAATACAAGAAACAAATGGGACACTCACTGGGATTACGATACAATCTCAATAATAAATCCCTACTGGGGATATCTTTTGATTTGCCCTTGGAATCGATATATTTTTGTTCTTCATCCTTTTGAATCTCCTTCATTTGCATAATCAACAGTTTTAACTTGGCCTTCTCTTCCTGTCGTCTGTAATAATTAGCACTCTTGTGGATCTTGTGACTATCGGCATCTTCTTCTTCGTCGTACCCATTCAACTCAGTTGGTTCCTCCAATGCATGTAAAGGTAGTTGCGATAACAAGATACATAATTCGTTGTCGGTCCAGCTTTCGTCGAAATCTTGCAACGGTGTGAAAAAGGGCGATAATTCACGATTAACAATCAATGACCGAACTATATCAGTATCGAAATCAAGATTGGATTTATAAGTTCCATGTGGTGCCAAATATCCCCCATCGACATTTTCATCATATTTGACAATTAACTGACCATAATGATGATACTGTTTCTGATCTTTTTCTTCTTGACGTTTGAGTTTTCTCAAGTCAGACGAGGTTGACCTTTGGTGGATATGGACAGCCCCATTCGCGCTGCTTCCCTTGCGATGTTGCCTTGCATGGCGACCACTTGATGATGATGAAGAGCCGGTGGTAAAAGTGTTGGAGCTAGACCCCCCGCCATTATGAAAGTCAGAGACTGCTGAGTTTGACCTGCTTCTGGCTTCTTTTGTTGGTACATTGCCCATCTTGTTTGAAGGATACAATTATTGGGTTTGCTTTATGTGCTCTGGTAATACACTGTTGTACAAATCTGTTGTAAAGGGAAAGTGTGTAAAAACTGTTCAAATCTGATTTTCCAATTAATATTTTTTTTAAAAAAAAATATAAAAAATAAAAAAGCAAATAATCAAAAACAGAAACAAACAAAAAGAACAAAAAAGGGGGCAATCACAACATATGAGATTTGGATAAAATGTGGGCAATAATTTTAGTACTTTGGTTGCGTTTGTTCAGTTGTAATGGTCTTAGACAGTTGAAAGCTTAGGTGATACCAATCAGTACACTGAGAAGGAAAGAAAGAAAAAAGGAGAAGTAGAAGTAGAAAACTCGGATGGTTGAAAATGGGTATATGATGATTTTTTGAGTTATTTCCGATTTTTATAGCCCATCCTCACTTTGTGTTGATTTAGACCTGTTCTTTCTTTCTTTCTTTCTAATCACATGACTGTAGTCAAAGATTTGTAATCACAACTGAAGGAGCGATTACTAGCCATGGTTTAATGAACCACAGCTAGATAGAACCTAAACACCTAGTACTGCCTCTTTTTTGAAAACCAGAGAATCATCAATCAAAGCTAAGAAAAATATAGTATCGCTAAAGCCCAAGACAAAAGACAGCGTCTTTTGGATCTAGAGTCTTGTGGTTTCAAAGCTTACTCAGACATGTAGCAGACTTCTATTCCTTCATCTGTTTATGTAAATAATTTACGAGTTCTTCCTTAATGTTCTTTGCTGTAAAAGGTCATCCGAACACTTCAAAGAACAATAGGAAGTGCGTATAACAATCAAACTTTGTTAACCGCAAAGTAAAACACAAAAAACGATTCTACTACATCCGGTACCCGCGTGACATTTAACATAAAGAAAAACATTCACAATCGTTGGCACAGCGGTTACTTACGAACTAGCAGTTCTTTTCATTCTACACTCATTTTATTAATGGGCATGTAGATATATTATCTCCATTGTCTATCTATAATTATAAACACTATATCACTTCCCCCTTGTCAACCCGACACCTAAGCCGACTCCAATCATCGCTAATACAATCAAGATCCAAATCAATCCAATTATAAAACTAGCAATCTTTTGCAGTTTACTAAACTTTTTCACATAGATACCTTGATTTGAATCATTCACTTTATACCCCGTCATTCCGCCATAATAAGAATGGTGACGATCTTTGCCATCAAATAACCCAATAGTGGTGAGAAAGTAAATTGGCGGTGCAACCAATCCAACGAGCATAAGCAACGCAAACTGTAGCCAACTGTAAGATAGGAAATGATAGGAGGAGTCGTACTCTCCTTCTTGTTTCTGCTGCTGACGTGGGATATATGTTTGATCTCTAGGTGACTTGTAGGTATAATCATTGACGTGTTTTTCCGAATCAATCATATTTGATGATGGTTGTTGGTCACTGACGAATAAATTGCGCTTTGGTTGCGACAACACTAAAGACTCATTTCGAAAATGCGCGTCCTCTGGTACATCTGTTTGTTCTTGCTGTGATGGTGATTTTGGGATATCATGCGATAAATCTTGATGATTGCCGAATTCCCTATCCCCTAAAGATTGACCTTGACTTAGAGTCAAAGAAGCATTAGATACTCTTGCCGCAGATCTCGTGCCAACTCCACTTGACCCAGCTATAGAACCATCATGCGATTCCTGAGGTTTAGGTACAAAGGGTTCATTGGCAACAGGACTATTTGAGTCCGAGTCCGATCGAGTCAGCTGGGTAGCCTCTATGCGACCACGCGACTCATTTTGAGTATTTTGACTATTTCGATTCTCATATACCGACCACCGGTTTTTCGACTCATCATAATCCTTGTTTTGTATCTTGTACAACATAATTGGCAATTCGTTGGTAGCATCAAGCTCTGCTGTCATATTATTGACAGTATGACTACTATCAATTCTTGGAAGTCGTTGTTTTGGGGGTAAGTTTGGATAAATATTCTCTGTGGATGGATCTGAAAGTCTCCCAGGCACATTCAGAGTTGGTTTCGTCCAAGTATTTCCCAACATGGATCCAGGTCTGGATCCTCCTTCTCTATACTGGCTCAATGGACGCGGAACTGAATCAGAATTGTCACTACTTCTCGTTTGATCGTATGAACTACCAACCAAGTTACGCAACAATTCGCCAGATGACATGGATGAACGAGTGACGCTTGAGTGTTTTGTGTCTTCACTTTTCAACATGGTTTCATCAAACGTGTGTGTATTGCTGATATTGAGCACATTGGTCTTATTAGCAAGCGTTTCCTCATCGAAATGATACTCGTCGCCTCCAAGCGAAATACTATCAGACGCTTGTGACTGTCGGAGTACCGATGGCGGCAAATGTGGAGATTGGTGGCGCCCACTACTTGATGATGTATTTTGCAACAGACCTGCTATTGCACTATCATTAAGGGAACTTCTATTGGTGTATTCTGTTGAAGAACTGTGCCTGTTGTCGGAATAATTCACTCGTGGAGTAGCCAACGGAGTGACTGTAGGATCAGGATACTTGTGTTTTCCCAGTTCTTCAATCTCGCTGTCATCACTAAACATTACAGACGCTCTTAATGACGATCTATTTGTTTCGGCATTGGAGGTGGTTGTAGCTGTGCTCATATGCTTAGCTTTGGTCTTGACCGGTTCAATCTGATCACTGTGCACTTTGAATCGTAGCAGTACAACACTACCTGAACTATCTCTATCCGATCTGGGTGTTTTGGGACTGCTCTCATCTGATGGGGCTGACACTCTCTTGAAAATTGTTGGTGACTGTTGGTCCACCTTGACGTTTCCCCGTTTGAATTGCTCCTGTGACGCTTTAGCATCAATATAAAGCTGACCTTTGTCGCTAGGTAAGCGATCGACGCTCTGTGCTGATTTTGCTCCAATTGATTTTACCGAACCTTGCCGTATGATGTCAGACTTTAACTGCTCACTCTCATGCAAGGACAACTCTCCGCTTTTTGGTCTAAGGTCAGACTCAACAAACATACTTCGAGTTCTAGTATCTGAATCCCTATTATGATACTCTTGCAAAACAGAATTTATTGATTCATCAAATGTGTCATTGGGCAAACCTGGCAACTCAACGTCTTCGGAGCCTCCTTCGGGGTCTTGTACACTGCTTGTACCAGATTCGTCGGATTCTGTATCAGCAAAGTCGTCTACCGTTACCCTCTTTCGATTAGAAGTAGTGTACTTGGAAGGAGTGGGTGTGTTAGCACTGACATCAGACATTCCCGATGACTTCGAGCGAATAAACTTTGGTCGAAGGTTGAAATTTAAAAGTCGATTTGGAGACTTGGTTGGAGTTAAGTCGTGGGTTCCAGCTTGAGCTGTTGAAGGTTTCTGTTCTTTAACGACGTGAGGTTCTAATTCTGGTTCTTCGCTTATACTGTCAATGGAATAGGATGAAAGTCTATTTTTGAAAAAGAAACTCTTTAACGATTTGGTCGGCGAGGTGAATTCAGGCGCTAGTTTATGGTCGGAAGCAGATGTTGATGCAGTCTTTTGTTGATTCGGCGAGTAGACATCGTCAAACGTTTGCATTGAGGAAGAATTTGATGGTTCGATGGTGCCATGGCTCTCGCTTGGTCTCATTGTTTGCTGTGACTGTTGTGGCTGCGACAGAAGTTCTGTACAAGGTTGCTCTTCCGAAGAATGGCGTTCACTCTGTTTCACCTTGCCATTGTCATGGTGATCCTTGACAGCGTCCTGACTGTCCAATTTTTTCATGGCAACGGAGCAAAGAAGTAATGGGATATCAAAAAAGAAATTAAAGAATTAAATAGGATCTGAAACGGGATAATTGTTCAGCTCAGTTGGATTAATTGCACTGTAGGAGGTGGCTAACGTGTTGTAAAGTAACGAATGAATATTAGTTGGTAGATGTTGATCTAACTAATCTTGTTGTGAGGTATTAAAGGAGCGAATCGTGATAAAATGGGGTTGAAGTGGGTATGAGGGAAAATTTCTGTTAAAGCACAGATGATGTGGCTGATGGATGATGATCTTTAAGCACAGGGATATAGTGGCCTCTTGATAGGGATGCTGTTGGTAGATCTGACTATATGTTGTAATTAAATTCCTTTCAACAATAAACGAGAGAAAAATAGAAGAAAAAGAAAAAAAAAAAATTTTTTGTTTTTTTAATTTTTGTTTTGCTTAGATTCTTCCCATTTTAAGAGTTGGTTAGTATTACAAATAGCGTAACACTTGAAACAATGGTTTAGAGAGGTTGTGGTATGTGGTTTACTCGTTCAAGTAGATGATAATTGGTAGATACAATTGGTGCTAGGAGGTGGATCTGTCCATTTACAGTTAGGTTTTTTCCAATCCACTGTTTTTCTATACAAGGCGCTTATGTAAGAAGAACGAATTTGACATAAACGCGTTTGCAAAACGAAAACCAACTCTCAATCGGCTCACATACTAGTTGCTTACCCAAAATTCTATTCTGAAATACACTTCCCATTCTTTAGCCAGTAACTAGCTTTATATATTCACACTACGCACTTTTATACGGCTACAGTTGGGACTAAATTGAGGCCCAATCGTTTCGGTTAGTTGCCCTGTTCCCTGCTTTAAACGAAAACCACCTCATGGTCTGAGGTAGGATATGAATCAAGAATAAGCACAAGAAGTAACCAGGTAGTGATGTAGTGTCTGAGACTATGTTAGTTGTGTTGTCTTTGTGGATTTTGGTTGCAGTTGTTATTGATTGTTTGTTATTTTTGTCTCTTGAGGTGGTTGTTTACAATTGAACTCGTTTTGGGTTTATGAACATTAAAAACAAAACAATTTCTTTTAAATTTCTTTTTTGATTTTGTGATACTTACAACAACAAATGACAACCACCAACCACCAACAGCCAACAACATACTTTTGATTTTGTACTTTCAAAGTCAAAATAAACGACACTAAAAGGAAGGCACATGATTTCTTGTCACATGTCTAACTTATAAAAGTAAGGTAAGGTGGGCAAGAGTCTTTCAACGGTGTTTATTTACTTGGTCTCACGATATTTAATTAAGCTTCTACAGCTCATTTCAAGATATATAATTCATTTTTAACCATTGACAGCCGAGGGAAATTCACACTACCTTGTCTTTAAACAACATAACCACTCAAGAACAACTCTATTGCTACACGAGTCCAGCTCTACACTATTCCTTTTGACAAAAAACTTTACTTTTGATTTCTCATTCTGTTATCATGTAATATGAAAAGCTATACCGATATATATAAAAAAAGGTCAAAAGCAAAAGTATCACAGCACCGTGCAAACGCTGTGTGCAGTTAGAAAAGACATTAGTAAAAATTTAAGTTGAAAATACTGAAAAGTATATAGGATAACGAAGAAATGAATTGAAATTGGGTGTGTGTAAAATTTTGTTTGGCTTTGGTTTGTTGTTTTCATCAACACTGATTTCAGTTGGGTAATTATCAGTAGTTGTACTCTCTCCAAAACTATCTCATGTGTGGTATTAAAAGTTTCTTTTTTAATTTCAGGTATCATCGATGGGTGACACTTCACCGCATGATCTTAAACTTTAATCATCTCCGCTATCTTAATAGTTTGATCTTCTTCTTCTTCTAACTCTTCTTCTCTTCTTGCATGGATCTGCACTACCAACATTGGAAGTGACTGAGCCACTACCGTTACCAGTGGTCTTGCTACCACCAGTGGATGGTGTTGATGTGCCAGAGCTTCCACTTGATGAACCACTACATTCACCAGCCAAGGCAGCAAAAGCAGTTTCAGCAACGGTCTGTAAAGTTCCCCAGTTGAGGAAGTTTTGAAACAATTGAGTAATCAAACCAGACTCTTTCAATGCATCAATAATAGATCCAATATCAATCAAGTTGTTAGCCAACATTTGCTTAATCAAATCGGTAGCGAATGGAATATAAGCCGAGTTGGTCAAGACATCTTTAACAACAGATGTGGCCAATCCTGACTTGTATAAGGAGTCCAACAAGTTGTCAACAACATCATTAAGATCTCTCTTGTCCATGTTAGCAACAAAGGCGTCAAGACTGCTGTCATTGATATCTCTAGTAATCAATGATGTAACTCCTTGTGAAATCTTTTCTTCAACTTTTTCAGCCAAGTTGCTAATAACTTGAGCAGCAGCATTGAAAAGTTCAGAATACAATGAACAGTCACTGATCAAATCATTGATAACATTAACGGCCAAATTGGATGAAACCAAAGCATCCAAAACTGATTGTAATGAAATCAACCCACTCTTCATAACGGCGATCAATACATTGACAACAATTGGTTCAAGGTTTTGGTTAGTAACAAAGTATTCCAAAATCTTTGGTGCCAATTGAGATTGGTTGATAGCAGTCAAAACATCAGTCACAATAGCATAGTCTCTCTTGATGATCTCCATATCAATTGCGTCTCTTTTGGTTCTATAGTTGTCGATATGTGCTACTAAAGCAGACAAATCTGGCTCACCATCTCTTTTATCAGCGGCGAAGTGTCCTGGCAATGAGCTCAATGCTCTTTCAACATCTTGTCTAGCAACCAAGTTTGGTTGTTGTTGTTGTTGGTCGATTGAAGCAGCAGATGCAGATGCAGATGCGGCCAAAACAGTGGCCATAGTAGAAGCTGTAACTTTCATAACGAATGGATGCGAGTAAATTGACTAGTGAACGATTGAAAAAGACAGTTGGGATGGAGTAGGTAATTAAAACGTATTAAAGTGAAAAACCTAAATAGTTGACAAAGATGAAAAAAACCAGGAGGTGTGAAAAAGAAAAAGGAAAATAGAAAAAAGAAACAATTCGAACTATATGGACAATTTAGCACCCATTTATATGTTTTGACAATAATAGAAAAGTCCCTCGAGAATTTACGCAGATTGTCTCGAGAAAACAATAGCAAGACCCATTGACAAAAGAGGAAGCGAGGTTTGGTTAGAAAAATAGAAAAATAGTGTTTTGAATATGCCCTTTTTTTACGAGTGGATTTTGTATAATATTACTACAAATGGGTATAGCTTAATAATCATTTATGGTTGAGTTATTTCCTAATGGGGAAATGTATGTCATTTAGTTTTTTTGCAACACAATTCAATTTACTATTGATGAGTGGGTGCTTTCTATCTTTGTGTAATGTTACGCAAGACGCATTTTCTATTTTCGGTTTCCTAATTGAGCGATGGAAATGACGATGAGAAGGCTCTACAGTGTAAAGCCACCACTTAAACGGAGGGAACCAAAGGAATAGAGGGCTTTATGTCGGGAAAGCCACGACTGAGACGGGCCGATGACTCGTGGCTTCTCTTGCTAAGCTCAAGTTTGACGGGGAGCGCGATCGACATTAAGCCTGAATGATACGAGACCTAAGCCCAAACCCATATGTGCCAAGGGCTTTTTAAACTTTCAGTGCTCTCAAAAAGGGTAGAACCTTAAAATGTGAGTTTTGAGACAGGGGCTAAAATAGTCACCTTGCCGAAATTTGATCAACGGTGAAATATTTCACGACGAGATAAAACCTAGCCCACTTTGTTAGCGCCAAGTGTTCGTACTAGGAACTATATCGTTACACATATCAATACAAAACAACAACACTCAAAATAGAATAAATCGAAACATATCATGCTCTTTTACTTATTGTCAGTAGTACATTTTGCATTTTGGGGATTGTTTGTTAGTCGTAGGTTTCTATTTTAATTCTGCATTTTTTTTTTATTAATTTTGTTTTTGTGTGAGACAATTTGGTTCAACTCTTGGCATACTTACTCATTATGGATATGCATTTTTGCCATGAAAGGAAACATATGCAAAAGGACAAACTGCCAACATTTACCTTTACCCCGTATTTTTATTTTCAGTAATACTGTTTAATTTTAAACTGGTTTGTAATGGAAAGTGATTGGAGATGCAGACGGGGTGCGGATATTCTGCTGAGTTGGAGTATCCGCTGGCAATACAGCATTTTGGACCACAAGTAGGCAGAACCTTTGTCCGTCTTGTAACTACACATCTGGTACATATTGCTCAGCATCTCCTGGCCTATCTAAGAAGATTAGGGTCGACCAATCTTGCAGAAAAGAGATTTTGCAAGCTCTACGATATATCTTACCAAGCGAGCCAACATTACATTCATAACAATACACAACTGAGTCAACCACTAAGAGCTCCCTATTTCTTTCCAAAAAAGCTCATTAACGAAGTCTGTGTTTTCTTTTTGTTACCATCATGTGTGGACTTCTTAGCCTTGGATGAAGTGGATGGTGGAGTAGTGCGTTTGCCAGCAGCTGGTTTTCTCGTTGGTTTGGTAACGGATTTGGGCTTACGTTTGGTCACCGTATATCCGTCTTCATCCACTTCTTTAACTGTTTCCATATCATCTCCTACAGCGTCTTCCTGTTCCTCATCTTCAACAAATAGCTGCTCCTCTGGTTCGTCTGTGGCTGGTTCCACTTGAGCTTCCTCCTCCTTCTTCGATTCTTCTTCCGCTTGTGACTGATTACTCACCTCATTAGATTCTTCTGGCTTTGCATATGTAGCCTCATTGTCGTTAACAGAAACACCATTAGCAGCCACATCGTCTTCATCACTGAATTGAAAAGTGTCATCTCCATCAAAAATTTTCTCCAAGTCGGTCGTTGGTGGAGGCCGTTGTTCACGTTTAGGTTCCAAGTCATCATCATTAACATCATCACCCTCTTGCTCTTTATGCAAATTGCCCATAATAATTCTTTCCTTCGGCTGCTTCTGCTCTAGCTTACGTGATTTGTATTGATAAGAAGGCGCAGCCGGCTCGGTCATTGACCTTTTACTAATAGCGACAGGCTCCGATTTGCGTGAAGTGTATGCCGGTTTGGATTGTTGGCTCTGTTGTTTTCTCGAAACATAGGAAGATGATAAACCGGAGCTCTTTACCTGCTGCTGCCTCTTTTCCTCTGGTTTTCGTATTGGTGGGGAGGCACTTGGTTGTGCTGGAGATGTTTCAGATACATTTTGAAGTGATACTGTATCAAATTTAGGTCCAATTATAATCCCATTCCTTTCATACTCTTTGATTTGACTTAGCAGACTTTTAACCTTTGATTCTTCCAAAGCAATTTCGTTTTTGGTGATATTCAAATCTTTCTTCATTACGCAAAACACATGAATAGTTGAGATACTTTCAAACTTTTCCATGTCATGTTTAAGCTTCTCTTCATTTTCGGAAAATTTTACAGCTTTAATGCCATCTTTATTCACCCCAGTAATAACAAACGATGCTGATACCTGTTCTCTGTTCTTGGTGTAATATTCGTATAATGTCTTTTTAGCTTTTGATATTGGGATATTTAATTGACGTGAAAACTTGTGGTAAGAAACTGCCTTAGAATTGAGGATTACTTCATTAGCCAAGTATTCCACATCTGAAATGGGTGCTTCCATCGTCATGGGACTCTGACTGGGCATGGAGGATATGCTGGTGTAGTAATTGATTTTTGCTCCTTGGTTTTATTTTTGTTTTTAATTTTTTCTTTTTTTTTGCCTAACACGCGTCACAGCATGATTGCAGTTGTAGAAGTCCAAATACTACATTCAAAAGACTGTTCACGAATGAATAAATGAATTTATTAAATATATACCCTATATAAAAAGAAGAAACAATCACTTAGAAATGAAAAGGACTCATTTAAAGTTCATCCTTTGCAGGAGTGGGTCCTGTTTCAGTTTCGATCTGTTTCTTGTGTTCCAAATATGCCGCCCTCTTCTTTTCTCTAGCCTCGAGATTACCTTCCAACGGACCTTCAATCATTTCAGGAGTGACTCCATTACTTATCAAAGTTTTCCAAGTCTTGATATTTTCAAACCCATTTTGAGCAAACTGATAGTCAAGAATTGCCTTTTGCACATCTTCTTTACAACTGAGAACAAATGGACCATATTGAACAACTTCCTGGTCCAATTTCTTACCACCAACCAAGATGAACTCTAGTTCATTTTCATCTGTATCGGAATTAGCGGTGTTCTTTCCACTAATGTGATCACCTTCCCCGTTGAAAAATACATTTTGAAACTCATCAACTTTAGTATCATCGTTTAAAACCAAATGATTACCTTTCAAGACGTATAGGAAGTAATTGAATCCTTTCTGTAATTCCTGTTTAAATTCTCCACCAGCTCTAACCTTGTAGTAGTAGTAGTTGATTGGTGTGTATGCCAAATCTTTGATAGACTCAACACCATAACTTTTACCGCTAATAACCTTAACTGTAACCTTTCCATTGTCAGCTTTAACCTCAGGAATCTCCCATTCTCTTAAATCTCTATATCTTGGTTTAGCATCTTTCAAAGCATTTGGTAAATCCACCCACAATTGTAATCCAACAGTAGGAGAACCATCCTCATTAGGCACTGGCATTTCGGAATGAACTACACCTTTACCAGCGGTCATAAATTGCAAATCACCAGCATATAGAATACCCTTGGATCCTGTGAAATCCTCGTGGGCCATAGCACCATGCAATATCAATGTAATTGTTTCTTGTCCCCTATGTGGATGTTCAGGGAAACCATTGGTGCCGGAGCTTGAAAAGTGATCAAACATTAAAAATGGATTGAAATTTCTCTGGTTGATGATACCAATGGATCTACGAACTGTAGCTCCAACACCTTCGGCTTGTTGTCTTGCTGTGACAATCTTTGAAACTGTTCTGGCGGCCATGTTTAAGTCTATAGTGCTATTGTTGTTAATTAGTTGTTGTATAGTTTTTGTATCGCTTGATGATATGATACTGGGAAAGTAGAATAAAACTGTTGTGATTAGAAAACTTGAAAATGCAATTGAGTGGGGGAGAAAGTACATGTATTTATACTTGTGGAAATCGAGGGTCTAGTTGCTTTAATCTATCTCTTGGTACTATAGTATACAACTTTGAGAATGCGTGTGTTTGTAATCCTTCTGCCAGATTTCAAATGTGTAATTGCTAATCCAGGTAGAATTTTGGAGAATATATAAGAATGCGGGTTATTAAATTTCAGTTATTGATTTGGTGAAAGACTTTCCACTGAGTAATATGTGACTAAAAAAAAAAAAAATGTCCCTGTTGAATGATGCTCCTACTCTCATCTTGTAATCAATGTCATAGTAGTTGTATATATCCTTTTGGTAATAGTAATAGATTACTAAAATGAGTAGATGTATCAAAAAAAAAAGAAAACTAAATGACACAAAAGAGTTTGTAATGGTTTAGTAAAATACCAAAATAAAGTATATGCACCTGCATATAATGTATTCTCATTTGTAATTCACGAATTCTTATTTGGTCAAAAAAAGAGTGTTACCACAGTTACTTTTACAGCCATAGCAGATCAATATCTGGGTGAAAATCCAGTAAGTCGATGGTAGTTTACATCGTGTTCAACTAAGAGCCTTTAGAAAAGTACATCACGCTATCTTTTCCCATGACCAACTTCTTCAAAATTTGGTGTATTACTTAATTGTCATTTTGCAGCTTTTAGTCACATCAGTAGAAAATTTGCAAAATATACTCGAGAGATAAGGTGGGACCTAGACATAAGAACAACACAAAATTATCCAGCTAATTAAACCTGTTTGCATCATCCTTCCATCTAAATCGAGCGGCTGAACCTGAGCTTGTCTATTTCTTTCTAGCAAAAGTATACACAGTATCCCAAATTACCTCAACCTTTGTATCGTCTTTCCATCCCATTTCCTTCTTCAACTCGTCAACAAATATCTCGGCAATGTCATATTTGTCACCGTGCTCTTTCATCCAAGTATGGTAAGCACTCCAACTTTTGACATAATTTAAAAACCACGTCATATCAATGACTTTACGAATGAATAACGGTGTTTTGGTAACATAAGCATCTTCATCATTGTGAGGTGATCCATCACGCTCTGATACGTATTCATGTCTTACTATATCGTAAAACAAATCACTCGGAGGCGATTTTTCTTTTAATAACGAGCGCAAGTAATCGTGGCCCGGTTGTTGATAATATGGACCCATATATCTTTCAAATTCATCATCGGGATTCACCTCTCTGGAAGAGTTGTAAGTATAGTTTTCGTAAATTTCATTTGCTTGGGGGTACCCCACAAAAACTGGATCTTTGTAAAACCAATACGCTAAAGTACCATTCCGTTTTAAAATTCTGGCCGATTCTGTGTAAAATTTTGCATGATCAACCCAATGACAGCACTCGGCACCGGTAATTAAATCAACTGAAGCAGGCAAGATCCCTGAGGGTTGCAATTCTGCTGACCCAATTGTAAATTCAATTGTCTTGTTTTCTGGAAGTTTTGGAATGTTTGTTTGACATTGTGAAATCATTGTAGATGATGGGTCGGTCCCAATCACATGGTCAAAGTATTCTAATAACTTGAAAGCTACAAACCCTGAACCACAACCGATATCGACTGCAAGTTGCGTATCTCCTTTCACCTTGTGGTAGTTAATTAACTCGCAGTAGAATGGTTCGGGGTAGTTAGGTCTTGAATTATCGTACTGCTGAGAGTTGAAACTTGTTTCGGCATACGTTGACATATCAGGGACTCTTTAGTAGTTAATTTACGTGTTTTTTTCTGTATAAAGTTAGTTGCACTGGGCAGTAGGAAAGTTCATGTTTATATAGAGGAGAAAAATTCCGGAGCGGTATCGGCGCAGCTTATACTCCTTCGCGATTTTTATCTGACATTAGAAATAGGACCCAACCCATTTTCTTCGTAGTTGACAAAGCTTATCTAAAGTTGTTGTTTCTTTTAGAGAGCTCATTTTCAATTTATCCGTTTCTTTGAAGTTGAATGCAAATTTGGTGTACATTTTATTAGAATTTTTTAATGTCGAGCTCCTTCTAGTACTTAGAATTCATATTTCAGCTTCACTTTTTCAAAATCTGTAAACTAAACATCCACTTCCAGGATTTATGGTGCTCTGAACTTAGTCTTCCTCCTTTACTCTCATTGAGGAAAAGGAGGAAGTACATGTAAATGCAAAAAAACACCAACAAACGAGACAACACAAAAGCGAGAACTTGCGATAATCAGAAAAATCAATCTTCCATCATCGTACAACAGAGAACTCCAGCCCTCACGCGATGTCAGACTCTAATGATCATAGCAACGGCAAAGACTCAACTGATATTGACTCTTCTTCGTTTGCTAGTATTCTAGCGGGTGTCAAGCGCATGAGAGATGAATATGGTGGAGATTTAGCTGACAATGACATTACCATACAAAAGAAACCCCAACCGCCACCGCAGCCAGCACCTGACCACACCCCCACTGCTAGTTCATCAGCTGCACCAGTCCTGAGCACCATCACTACCGCAAGACAAGTTTTAGAAACCCAAAAGGCAACATTAGAGAAACCTACTGCAAAACCAGTATCTCCAGCTCCTCAGCAATCGAGACACCAGTCCACCTCATCACAACCCTCCACATCTGCCAAAGCTGGTAACCAAATACGATCTGGGAGACAACCTCAGCAACCAAGGTCAGGTGGATTGTCCGACATACTTGTGCATAAATCACAAGAGAAGAACCCTCTATTGAGTGAGTCCATGATGAAAACAACTCCCTGGGTTTTTGATGGAAGTATTTTATCTGATTACTACATAAGTCCCACTTTCCAAATCCTTTTCTTGTCACTAAAATATCACAAGTTGAGGCCGGAATACATTTGGACAAGGTTAAAGAAGTTGAATAAAGGGTCCAGTATAGTTGAGAATCGGAAAGATAATAATCTACGCGTCCTATTGGTAGTGGTTGATATTGATTCACATCAAGAAGTGTTGCGCAAATTATCGGACTTTTGCATCAAGCACGATTTGTCATTGGTGCTAGCTTGGTCTTTTGAAGAAGCAGGTAATTACATTGCATTGGGTAAGCATTTCGATAACGCTCCACACCAAGCAAAACAAAGTATACGAGGTTTCAAAGGAACAGACTACAATTCAAGCGTAGTTGAGGCATTTACAGGAATCAAATCAGTCAACAAAACCGACGTTTCTAATCTATTGGCTAATTATAAATCGGTCAAGGAGATGGTGTTGCAATGCAGTAAACATGACAATGAAATGATGGGAAATATACCTGGCATGGGTGCTGTGAAACGACACAATTTGAAACAAGTATTTCTGGAGCCATTCGTATTGAACAAAACTTACAAGGAGTAGCAAAGGGCTGATGCCGGAGAATACTATCTTGCCCTCGTTTAGGCTTTGGTTTCTTGTTCCTTTTCCATTTCGATCACTTTTCTTCTCAAAATCAAATTGAGACCATTTAACAACTCATTCTTTTGAACTAGTATATCTTTTAATTTCTTTGCATCGTCGTCAAGCTTTTTTATCTTTGTATCGTACACCTTTTTAGCATCTTCTGCCTTTTTTTCAACATAGTACCCTGTACCAATGTCCACCAAATAATCTTGCTTAGTAACCGCTTTACCAGGTATATATAATGAGCTTGACAATGGTATCAACATTTCGTCGGCTTTGGATTTCTCTAGATTGTTAATACTCGTTATACAATCTTTCAATTTTAACTGCGCTGTTTGCAAAGCTTGCAAGGATTGCGTGAAATGGTTAATTTCCTGATCAATGTTTTTACGAAGCTCCACCAACTGTTGTGGCGGAAGTGAGTTTAGGTCTATCTTTTGAGGCTGCGACATGTTTAATTAATGGATGGGATGGAGTACAATGGTTAAAATTGGGTTCCTTTCTGATGTGTTTAGACGTTTTTGATTTTTTTTTTTTTGATTTCTTTTTTGTTTTTTTCTAATCAGTAGCATAATTTGCTTTCCAACAGCATCTACTGATCATCAATCACCATAAAACATCAAAATGGGTAATGATGGTGGCACAATTGCCAAAAGGCAGGATATATTATCACTACATAACTCCAAATCCACATTTACAGAATTTGCAGAAGACAAAGGAGAAAATAAGGAGCAAATCTTGTTACAGAGTTGCGCTTTTTCAGGCCTTCCCTTATACAAAAACAACCCTGTAGTAGGTGACTTCAAAGGCAAGCTATACATCAAGGAAAAGATTTTACAGTACTTGCTAGAATGCAAGCTAAATAAACTAAATATCCAGTTACAGTTTCAACATTTAAAGTCATTGAAAGATTTGCGAACGGTGAAAATTACCTGGGATATCATCAATGACATAGCTCACTTCCAATGCCCCATAACGAAAGAGTTGGACGATAAAACATCATATTCATATTTGCGACCTTGTGGCTGTGTGATGTCATACAAGTTGTTAAAAGAGTTGAAAAGGTCCTTAAAGACTGTTGAAGCTTCAGATCAGATCGAGGCTCATTGTCCCGTATGTAACAAAGAGTTTACCTTTGACTATGATTTGGTGATAATAAACCCTATAAACAAGTCTGAGTTTGATGAGTTCAACGAGGATAATTACAAGTATTTGAGAAACGTACTACGTCTTAGTCATGCTAAGGAACCCCTAAAGAGAAAGAAGAAAAAGAGTGAAGGGGAGGATGGCGATGATGAAGAAGCCAGAGATGACCTTATACGAAAGAGGAAAATGGATACCGATGATGGCTTAGAAGTAGGAAAGAGAATTAGAACTTAATAGCGAACAATATTGTAATCAAAATACCTCAAATAAATTTGTAATCCCTATATACATGTAAAACTTTAAATACTCCTCCAAAAGCTACCAACAGTTCATGTTCCTTGAATATATTATTCAGTCGAGTCATTACCTTCCCTCGACTGGTGGTACTGTTCTTCCTCGAATTTCAACTTCTTTTTGTTCCAAGGAGCAAAATCGGAATTTGCCCAAATGTTAAAGACTATCGATCCTCCACCTATAATACAGAATCCAGCTAACCCTAGAACTGTTAACCTGTGAACTACATCAGTAGCACGTACGTGAAATGGAAGTTGATTTTTACCAGCCATGTTTTAGAATTTTGTGGGATGCTTTGGTTGTAAGGAAAATGTGTAGGCCTTTTCGTTTGTTCCATTTTCAAATTTAATTTTTTTTTCCTTCACTCCCCTTCTCTCACGCCATATAAGCTGTTCCTCGTTTGGAGCAAATGGATGCTTTAATACAATGCTAATAGAAATACATTTTTAAATTGTACATACATCTATAAAAGATACTTTAGCCATTTGCCGTTGACTATTCCGGTCTCAACTAAAGATGGGTTGGCATAAACCAAATCTGGTAGCCAATAGCTATTGTGTAATCGAAAAAGGTTGGACGCTACATGATCATGGTCATGTTCCTTTTCCAAAACTTCTTGAATGACATACTCCAAAATATCTCGACTTGACTCGTTGATTGAGCTCAATTGTGATTGGGATACTTTGTTGTCCTCACTTAGGTAAACTTCCATTTGAGAAGTGACAAAGTTTTCAAATCCCCTCGAATCAAAATGGCCAATTGGTACCGAAGTTGAACCTTCATGCTGGGAGATCTCTGCATATGACTTCAATGCTTCGTAGTTTCCAGTCTCTATATTAACAGGGAATTGCCTAGGTTGGATTCCTTGGATGATAAACTTCTTCTTTGGTTGTTCTTCTCCTTCTGTGTGGACACTCAATACTTTTGCCTCTGCATTGGGAAATGCCTTGGTAACATTTTTGATAAAGTCTACAGCAGGCAATAATGGATGTAAATTGGGATTGCGGTCTCTTCCATCAAGTTTCCAGATTTCTTGAAACTGAGTTTCATAAGACTTCCAAATCGAAATCTGTGTCACTTCAACTTCCTCGCCTGTTGTTGGCTCATAACAACAATGCAACCATGTGGTTGCTCTTGCTGGTTCTGGGAATTGAAGCATAATCCTGTACAAATCTTTGGTTAGTTCTGGCGCAGCTATCGGGGCATTCGAGTGTTGGGTACGTCTTGTGAGAAACGTGTTTGGGACAGGCTGCGGTTCCATGGGCTCTGTTAATGCAAGGTTTGAAACGAGCAATAGAGGGAGCTGTTTAATCAAAGTTTCGTAGTTGGCCTTTGTAGTAGATAATTGTAACAAGTTCTTTAATCTTAATATTTGCGAGTCTTTAACTGAATTGGGATAATCATTATGCAAAGCTTCCGAGAAAAGGTACATCTTTAAAAAGTCCAAAACTGTATTGTTCAAGTCATTATCACCGACTAGTAAAGTATTGACTATGTGCTCCAACTGCTGGTCTGTTATAGCATCAACACAATTATTAGTGACTTTGGTATCATCATCATCATTTGGGTCCAAAGTTTGATCCTCGTTGTCAACGCCATCGTCTTCTTCATCAGAGCCTTTGGCATTCTTGTGCCACGTAATAAGTAAGTGGGAAATGCATTTCAAGGTGTTTATGAACAAATTTTTATCAGCTGTCGCAAGTAGTATTGGGAATAACGTATTAAAGAGTACATCATTCTTGGTGTTGTTTATGTAGTAGCACGTCAAAGGTTCCAACAAGTCGATTATATATGTCAAAGCCTCGGAAAACTGGTCCTCAAAATTGACTAATTCCTTGATTTGTTTTCCCGCTTGGAAGAACCAACCTGACAAGATTTTCAAAATGTCAATCACTTGTTTCTTAAAACTAGGAATTTGAGACAACCATTGTTGGTTACTCAAGTCTTGGACAGAGTTCCGCAAAGTCAATAGTGCGTCCAAGCTGTGAGTAATCATGCTCTGATCTACCAATTCATACTTTTTGTCATGTATTAGCTGGAATGGTCTGAACAAATACTTGATCAACTCATGGGCTATAAATGTCTCCTCTTCAAATTGCAAGTACGGCTGGATGGAGTTTCTTGCTAAGCTCATCAATGCCCAATCAACCTCCGAAGGTATCCCCGATTTTAATGCCATTATTATTCTCAGCCTCTCGTTGATACCTCGGTGATTGCTGCCAATGGTCTGCGGCTGGTTATAACTTCCATACAAACCATAGTTGGACCCTATACTCTGATAACTGGCGAATCCAATTTGAGGCACATCAGAGGTGGGCCCATTCAAAGGGATAATGGTCCTAGAGTTTGCAGTGACTGGGACAAGTGAGGGCATTTGGTGGTTGGATTAGCTATTGACAATATTAAGGACTTTGTTTACAACAACAGAAAAGATTGAACCAAAGAAAAGAAGAAAATTTATTTTCATGTCAAAGGTAGTGTCCTTTGGTAAATAACCACTAGGGAAGACTCCACCATACGGTCAGTTAGTACCATCAGTATTTAACTGGCTTGCATTGGCAATCACGTTTAGTTCAGTGTTGCTGATATCTAGAGATTGGGTTTGTATACAAACCACATCAAGGGAAATAAATTTGTATAGCTTTGTCAAACCCGCTTATCTGCTCGTTTAGGTAACAATTCCGCTCTTTCGAAGCTTCTCACGAGCTGGCTGTTTTTTTCTTTTTTTTTCCGCGCCACTTAATCGATAACCCCAAATTACCAAAAAGGCAGTTTGCCAATTTTCCTTCTGCTCCATAGCAAACCTTCAATTGAACATTATACCAATTTTGTCTCAACTGCAAAGCTATTTCTGTTTAGGATGAAAACAACAACATTATTGCAAGTGCTAACTGTCGCCTCAACTACACAAGCGCTCTTTGGTAGCTTTTTTGGAGATAAGAGCGACCAAGTTGTATTAGGCAATGAAAACGAGCAACACCCAATATTAGCTGATGCTGAATTGGATGCTGTTTTCAATCAAATGGATCATGCACCAAAGGAGTTGGTATCTGCTTGGAATCATATGCGGACTAGATTATCGCCCTCCAAAATTTCCAAATTGGTAAAACAATATCAACAGAAATTGACGTCGCCAATGAGAAAATTAAAGCTCGAGCAAACTGAATCGGAGCAATTTGAAACCTTGTCCAACGACAAGTTCAGTGATTATTCTTTGAGAATCAAAAACACCAACCCAGAGATCTTGGGTCTTGATACTGTCAAACAGTACACTGGGTATATTGACGTGGAGAGTATCGATCACCATTACTTCTTTTGGTTCTTTGAAAGTAGAAATGACCCCAAGAATGACCCAATTGTTTTGTGGTTGAATGGAGGACCCGGGTGCAGTAGTGCTACAGGGTTATTCTTTGAACTAGGACCTTCTTCGATCAATTCAACGTTACAACCTGTTTACAATCCATACTCGTGGAACTCCAACGCTTCAGTCATTTTCTTGGATCAGCCAGTAGGTGTTGGTTACTCGTACTCCGGTGGTGATGAAGTGAGGAACACCGAGACTGCAGCCAAGGATGTCTATGTATTTTTAGAATTATTTTTCCAAAAATTTCCCCAATTCACCAAAAATAAGTTCCACATTGCTGGTGAGTCTTACGCTGGACACTATATCCCAAGGTTTGCAAGTGAAATAATCAACAATGCTGACAGGTCATTTGAATTAGAATCAGTTTTGATCGGTAATGGAATTACAGATCCATTGGTGCAAGCAGGAGAATACGGGCCAATGGCATGCGGCCAAGGTGGTTACAAACCTGTTTTGACTGAGGAGCAGTGTGACCAGATGGAGCGCGATTACCCAAAGTGTGCAAGTTTGGCCAAATTGTGTTATAAGTTTCAAAATGCATTTTCCTGTGTTCCTGCTCAATACTATTGTGACCTTAAGCTTTTGCAACCTTACATCGAGACAGGCTTAAATCCATATGACATTAGAAAATCTTGTGAAGAGGAAGGGGGTAACTGTTATCTTGAGATGAATTACATTGACGACTACTTGAATTTGGATTATGTGAAACAAGCCGTTGGAGCATCCAATATTGACATTTTTACTTCTTGCGATGATACGGTATTTAGGAATTTCCTCTTGGATGGTGACGAATTTAAGCCATTTCAGCAGTACGTGGCAGAGTTATTGGATCATCAAATACCTGTCTTGATTTACGCTGGTGACAAGGACTATATCTGTAACTGGTTAGGAAATTATGCCTGGGTTAACAAATTAGATTATAAACATGGTGAAGCATTTGCCAATCAACCTTTGAAGCCATGGGTTCCGGCTAAAGCTATATCTGGTATCAATAGTTCACCCGCCTTGCAGTCAAAGCGCAAGCCAGCTGGTGAAGTCAAAAACTACAAGCATTTCACCTTTTTGAGAATATACGATGCGGGTCACATGGTTCCATTCGATCAACCAAAGGACTCCTTATCAATGCTCAATTCTTGGATCCAAGGTGATTATTCATTGGGCTATTAGAGATTAATAAAGAAGACCACCATTCGTCTTATTTTATTTTGGTTTAGAAGTGCTGCATAAAATAAAGACTATATTGCGGACGCTTTCAGTTTTCATAAATAAGTTACAATCAATTATCATAAAAGTAAGTTTCAATGTTTCTGTCTTTTTGGTGTAAAGTAAAGCATCTGCTCTCTATTGCAAGTGCAATGCGATTTCTCAAAACAAAGACAATACTATCCCTCTAGTGCCCAGAAAATAAAACATTCAAAACAACATCAAAACAAACCAACATCAAAACAAACCAACATCAAAACAAACCAACAATTTTCTTAAAGATTTGATTTTATGATTTTTCAAAAAGCACAGCCCTAAAACGTATCAAGGTAAACAGAGTTCACTATGCACGGTGTAGAGTATGGAAAAATTTCTCTAGAGCTCTGTCAGGGGAGTTTCTAGACCTCGTTGAAGGGCCTTGCATTATGTATCTAAGGAGTGCTTTAGTTAAAACCCAGAAGTTACGCGGCAATGTAAAACATTCCGGTAGGGGTATGGTCGATAGTCAGGTCAAGTGTAAATTCCTTTTCTTTACAGAAGGCGCATGATATGCAAAGCGATGTGCAGTTGTGGTGCATAGTATGCTTTCCTTGCCGCAAAGACACGTGAGATGGGATAAATTTTTGCCCGGTTTTGACCTTTTTTTTAAAAAGAAAAGGAAATTCTGTAGCTTTATCTTCTGAATTGACTTTTCATTTCTCATTATAGAATGCAACTCTAAATTTCATACTCCTCAAGTTGGTTTCAAAAGAGTATGATTTTGTGCACTAAAGTGTTGGCTTTTATTTTATTTTATTTTTATTCGCTTTTTCATCGAATCGTCCGTATTTCTCGCTTATTCCCCCTATTGTTTTGTTACAAATGAGTTGCATATGCGCCGCCGCCTAACACCCAAAAATGAATTGTAAAACAACGAATACATCGTATGTTAAAGACAATAGGGATTGTTGTCTCATGATCCGTATTTGTATGAAACCGTCTTTTTCCAATTTAAAGAGCGACTAATGTCAGAAGATCACAATACTTCCTTTCTGAAGTGTTACTGATTCAATGTTTACAGTTTCTTTGCAACTTCTAAAGTTTCTTGGATGCGTCGAACAGTCCTGATTTGACGATTCAACTTCCTAATTCATATGTTGCTCCCTCTCGCTATAAGAGCTTGGTAAAACTTTATTTTCTTACCTTGCTGGCGTGCAAATTTGCTAGAATGCCACTTTAATCAAGTAACTATCCCGATTGGGCATCTGGGCTCCCCAATTGGGACATTTGCATGGCTTACGTAATCGTACATTAGTTTTGTGGAATGTGCGCAAAAAATAAAAAATTAAAAATGAAAAAACACCAAGCCTTTAAAAGAAATCGTTTGATATGTATTCCTGTTTGTATGCAGTACAAACGCATAGTACACACCAAATTTGTTTTGCAACTAAAACAGCTTTCTGTCGCCTATATAAGTTTACCGGATCCCACTTCTTACTATTGGCTTAAACTATTTCTCTTTCTTCCTTTGTTTTTCTTCTAGCCAACCACATTTGTTCACGTCGTTATAACTCCAACTTTTTTACTTTCGTTAAATCCCTAACACAATGCAATTCACTTCATTAGCCACCGTTGCCAGCTTGTCTGCTTATGCTTCAGCCGCTGCTTACCAGAATGGTACTGTTGTCACTGTTGATCTCACTGTTACCGGTTACACCACTTACTGCCCAGAGCCAACAACCATTACTCTCACAGTTTGTGATCAGCCTGATATCTGTTCAGCCAAAGAAATCGAAGTCACTGAAGCAATGACTGTTACAATTACTGAAGAATGTGTCATCTCAACTTCTTATACTACTAACGAAATCACCATCACTAAGACTGTCTGTGATGAGTGTGTTGCTGCTGCTCCTACCAAAGTTGCCCCAGTTGAATCTCAACCTGCAGTCGTTGAGTCTAAAGCCGCTCCAGCTGAAACCGTTGCACCTACTGTAGCAGCCCCAGTTAAAACTGCTCCACTTGAAATCGACACCACTTCTACTGTAGCAGCCCCAGTTAAAACTGCTCCACTTGAAATCGACACCACCTCTACTGTTTACCAAAATGTTACTTCATACGAAGGTGCTGGTGCTAAGAACGCTGCTGGTGTTGCTGCTGGTTTGGTAGCTATTGCTGCCGCTTTGTTATAAACTTAATGAAGTTTGTATAAAAAATTTTAACCGAGATATCCCGTTGTACTATTGATTCACCAAGCTTGATGTAGACGTTTTACATAATACTTTTCTCCTTCTTTTATTACTCTTTCTGTTGCGCAAATGATTCTGTTATTTCCAGCTTAAGCAAATGGTAAAGTCCCATGATGATAGTTGACTGTGTTTAGTCTGAAGGTTTCCACAACAAGATCAAACTATGGACTACTACTGAAACTATCTGTTTGCTACACTTATATCCTACACAAATCAGCTTTGAGCACCATAAGTCTATGATGCAAACCTGAGATACGACTTGTGTGTAATAAACAAATTCATCTTGTGCTCACTTCCCTTGTTATCTATTGTCAGTACAATTAGCTTCTACTCCCATAGTAAGTGTTGACCAAATATTGAAAAATCCCAAGATTTTTTTTTTCTTCCTTTACTAAAATCCCACAAATTAAACACTTCACTACAACAATTCCCCTTCAGGATAGTCACTTATTCGACCTGACTACATGAACCTGTAAATAGTCATGACGTTGTATTCAGAAGAAAGTGCGAATTCAAATCTTCCCCATAATCTTCATAAACCCCTCACCACGACCCTTCCCAGTCAAACTTCAACCTTTCCCAAATCATCCAGATTCTTTGACACATCAGCTTTACCGGACCTAAAGCATCTTGAAGTTAGTGATGACGAGCATCGCCAAATATTGTTCAATGGTCAGATTTCGAACTTCAACTATAGCCCGTTTAATATATCTCAACAAAAGTCAAAGGCCTCGCCTCCCATAAACTATGACCTGATACCGAACAAATTCTTTATTGTTCCACCAAATCGTGAGGAATCCAATGAAATCCCATTCTTGCATCTCAACGAAGAGCTAGCAAAGGATCCTATATCATTGATTGATAGTCTTCTGGAGATAGGGAGAAAATATGGTGCTGTAAAGATCAAACTCCCTGCAAGGGATCAAGCATTATTCCAAACGGCCAATCAAGTCAATTCTGACTTGTTTTGGTTTCACACCGATAAGTTGTTAAACAATCCACGGAATGATGAACTTTTAGTGAGATTAAAGTTTCACCGTGATTTGCGTGATTTCCACCAAAGCGACCAACACCATTACTATGAGGACGCTGAGACAAAAAGGGCCAAGGAGAAAAATGGTACAAGTAGTTTACAGTTTCACCTCAATAAATTGCCAATGATTGATAAACGGCCCTTGGATTTGTATAAACTATACCAGTCTGTGATTATCCGTGGCGGTTTCATTGAAGTTATAAATAAAAAGCTTTGGGCCCAGATTGGGCGAGAGTTGGGCTATAAGGGTAAAATAATGACAAGCTTAAGTAGCTCATTGAAGGCTTCTTATCAGAAGATTTTATATCCTTATGAGTTGTACGTTGCTAATCGAAGTATGGATTCGGTGAAGGAGGAGCTGGCCGTAGAAACATTGCTTCCCGGTGGTAAGCGAAATTTACAACCAGTGGATATGTCAGAAAAGAAGTTGAAAGAGGACAGTCGGTATTATGCTCCCCTTGTAATTGGATCAGCAAAACAATTTAAACGTCAATTTAGGACAAAAGTTGCAAAAGGATATTTGGCAAATTCTCCCCATCTAATAGACATAAAGCAGCCAAACACTTATGTTATTAAACATAATGACAAGAAGAAAAACAAGAAATCTATAGACATTGTTAATTCATTCATAACACCTCAAGCTTTACTTGAAGCGAGTTTGACATATATTCAGGGGCATCAGGATGGGTCATCTTTAACTGAGGTACCCAAAATTGCATCCTCCTACACTTTGAGACAATTCATGGAAAAGGATATAAAGTTTCAAGAACACATCATTCAACAAAATAAGCATCTATTCCGTGCCACGTCTGGCCAACGGGACTGTATAAATTTTGAAGACCTTGAAAGTCTATACTGGAAATACATCAGAAACCAAGATATTGAACTGGTGTTTGCTAATGGAATTGAGCTTGAAATGGGTAAAGACTTGCCGAGCTCCATCCATGGATCAGGATTTGTGAGGATTGGAGATGATTTGGCAAATTTTAAGAATGCCCTCAACAATCACCAGTTGACCTTGTCGCACGCAAAGCTGGCGGTGAATGCAAAAAACCCCAATACGACACCACATGGATATACACATCAAAATCCGTGGGAATATAATAAGCCCAGCACTATAGATAGGTCGATAGAGTCGGCATTATACCCTTGGAACCTTCACAATTTCTCAACCCTTCCTAATGCTATACTAGGAACTTTGAATGAGTTGGATATTGGAAACCGTGAGTTGACAGAGACCAGGATAAACGTAGGAATGACATTTAGTACTGAAAATTGGACTTGTGAGGACCACTTTACGCAATTGATTAATTATCATTTCTTTGGTTCCCCGAAACGATGGTATTTCATACCAGAATCTGAATTTGAAAAGTTTGAGCAGTTAATCAGTGATGCAAATCATGATGTAACGTTGAGATGCACGGTTAATCAACATGAGCCCGTTGATATAGAAAAATTATGTGCAGCTATGCTTAAATCAAACGATGACGAAATTGAAACAGACGTGATAATCAAATCTTTGGAAAATGTAGTGAATGCAAGGCCCGATATCAAGCTAAACCACAAGAACGGGAAATTCGTTGGGTTATCACAACAAGAAGGTTTCAAGTATAACCAAGACTTCAGGATCACGCCTGAATTACTTGAAAAACACAACATTTCCTACACTACAACTATACAAAATCCCGGAGAATTTGTCGTTAAATTCCCAAAGACTTACTCATCAGGCCAATCTTATGGCTTTAATTTCACAGAAGAGACAAACTTCGCATCTAGTATGTGGTTGGATTATGCATTAGAGGGAGAAAAATGGGTATCAAGCCAGGGTATATTACCCAACTTTCTGGTATTCAAACTTCTTGTTACAATAGCAACAATTTACGATAACGGTGGATATATATCCCTTAACTCGGATGTTTTTGCAAAAGCCGCAAAACTTTATGAGACGTTGTATGATAAAGAGATAGAATTGCGAGACAAGATACGAAAGTTAAAAGTTAAAGAAACTAGTGTAACCGAGGACTCATTATCAGATATAATTTCTGATGGTAACCATGGCGCCATTTTCCCTTCGCGTGTTTTGATTACTGATAATAACACAAAACATTCAATGTTAATATCAATGGAAGCCTTGTTGAAGTATTCTGCCTCACCCAATTTCTTGGATGAGTTTCAAGCGGAACTTCAGTTATTCTATTCTGATGATAAATTAAAGAGTTTCCACAGAATATTGAGTGAATACTCAGTGGATTTTGAATTATGGGTGAAAAATTATGAAACAATGATGGCGCAGGATACTGAAGTAACATTGAAACAGTTTAAGCTACTTCTCAATGAGGGTGACAAAATAAATTCGTCAATTTTGTCGACATCAGCTGCTGGTGATCAGCCGTATGATTCTAAGCGATTGAGTCTTTTCCGTGAGTATTTAGATAACTTGAGGTTCTTTACGTCAAGTGCAACTCAGTTTATCGAAGATTGTCAAAACATTTTGTCTCTCAAGCACCAGCAGCGGATTAGAAATGGGCAAGATTCAGTGCTGCATGAGCGTGCCTTCACCCTTGATGAGTTGTTGACTATTGTTGAAAAAGTTTCAAAGCTAAATTTCACCTGTCCCGAAATTGACCAAATTCTAGAACTCCAGACCGAAATCGAAAATTTTGACAAGGCCAGTCGATCGCTAATTGCCAAAAAGAATAGGACTCTTCAAGAATTTGATGACTTGATCAGTCTTGGTGAAAGTTTTGGCTTGGATATCCCGTCGTTGGACTTTATTATTAGAATAAGAGATCGATTGAAATGGATTAAGACCTATAACTTGATTGAAAAGGGCGTTGATCCTTTTGCTGACAGACAGGAAGTTTTTTCAATTGACGATTTAAAAGATTTCTACAACAGGGGTTTGGAACTTTTGGCAGAAGGTGATCTTGAGTATATTAAACTGATTGAAAAGATTTTGAATCAAAGTATTTTGTTCAACAATGATGTTAAAAACTTTATGCAGTACACTTACGTACATGACTTGGATCTTGAAAAGTTGAAGACGATAGTTGACAGTTTTACTCAGGACAAGTTGTTTCTATCGAGCGACAATTACGCTGCATTGTCCAAACTTCATGCAAACATGAAATTAATCAGTCTATTTAAGGAGAAGGAGAAACTAGACAAGCTGACATATCATGAAATGAAGCAGTTGTATAATGGGATCATTGACAGTGGGTTGAAGTTTGAAACAAGTGGTATTCAAGAAGCATTGAAGATAGCAGAGACATGGACAGAGATGCAGTGGCTGAAATTCAGCAGAGTCAAAATCCTCACAACAATGACCAGTTTAGTCACAGATGATAGATTGAATCCAAAATTCACTCTTAATGTCAGACTTGTTGAGAAACTTGAATGGCTTCTATACAAATCCGAATACAGTTTATCTAATGATGACAAATTTGAAGAATCTTCAACCTTCCTTAGTCACCGAGAAGCTGAGACTGATCCAAAATATTATTGTATTTGTCGCGAGTACGAGCATGGAACTATGGTTGAATGCGAAGAATGCAAAGAGTGGTATCATGTGCAATGTGTTAAAGATATTAGTAATCCTAAAGACGACGTATACAAATGCCCAGTTTGCTTATTATTAAGTCTGAACCAGGATAAGGATGACTATCTATCTTCTAAACTAACCTTAAATCAAGTCATAGACATTTACAATAGTGGTCGAAAGTTAAAAGCTGTCCCTCTCAACGAAACAACGGCTATGGAAGACTTGGTTGAATTTTTAAAAAACTACCGTGATCGTTTCAATTTTGATGAAATCTTTAATGAGCAGGATGATAGAGTTCGTTTTGAAAAGTTAAATTTTGTATTACGAAAGTTTTATGGGTGTGGATTGTACATTGATGGCATGCTCTTGCAAGTGTTGCAAAATGCAAGACAGACGCAAGCAAAGATAATCGTGGAAAAAGCGAAACAAAAGGATACTCAGCTTGCTTTAGCTGCATCCGGTGATGAGACCGAACCAGAAGCTGAATCAGAGGCAAATGATGTTCTTGACAGAGGTAGTATTGGTGAGGGTGTGCCAATTGTTGAACATGTCGCCAACGGGCAATCTGCAATAGAACTGGATGGTATTGAGAAGCTTAATTCAACCCCAGCTATTTCTGAAAACGTAGCAGTGGATGACAAGAGTGATAGACACTTAAGCTTTATTTTTTACGCGCCTAAAAGTAATAGTCATGAAGCTAGTATTCAAAATGGATGCCACAACAACGCATCCAGTCCAATTCTGCAAAAAGGAGGTCTGCCCGAATCGGGTGAACTTGAGCCTACTTCAAATGCTAATGGAGGAAAAGAACTTACTAGTGGGTTGCCGTCAAGCGCCACACAACAGGAAGTAAAAGTGGAACCTTCAATTGGAGAATCTAATCCAGTGTTGGTCAAGATGCCTCAAACTGAAGATGTGCAGCCTGTAGCTACACAATCTATTAAGGAGAGAGACACTACTGAATATGAGAGCCAAAAGCCTAATGGAGTTGCAAAAACGATGAGTTCTGACAGCTTCGATAATTCAAACGATAACCAAACGCTGATATTAACGAGCCCCGACATCAAAAATAAATTAGAAGTAAAGGAAACATTTGCAAAATCATCGTGACCCAGTATGATACAGGTGGCATAGAGCAGCTGACTTTGTATTGGCTTAAATTGAAACGATTAAGATGATGTGTATAGAAATAAACAAAAACGCGTTCTCTTTTTTTGTTTACCAAAACAATTCAGAGAAAGAAAAAAGACAATACTCTTCAACTCCAACATCAAAGTGCCTCTATGTCTAGCGTTACAACTACATCCGCATTGGTAATAACTCTTGAAAACTCGTTGGACTATCTAATAGACCAATGTTGGAGCAAGTGTATCGGAAACAAAGAAAAGATAATACTAGGGCAAATCCCTGTTCTTATCAATGAGATACAAACTATATTGAAAATTGATTCATTATTTACGTCAACAGAAGTTAAATACATTGGCCAGTTTCTTGATGAATACTCGGATTGGAAGTTTAACAAATCAGAGGTGAAAAAGTTCATTGTCAGTCTGATTAGCGCCGAATCGTTTGCTAATTTATTACGAGATAGATTTGGTCTAACAAATGAAGTTGTTAGAAGGAGAATAAAAGATTCAAGACCATCCGATACTACTGATTCGTTTCGAATTTGGAGGAATTCTCAAAACACAGCCGAACTGAAAGCGAAAGTGATTAAAGATGAGGAAATTGAAAAGTTAAGGAAAGAAATTGCAATGTTGAAACAAAGTAATGAAGAAAAAGAAATCAGGTTGAAGATATCAGAGAGGGAGATTAATGGGTTAAATACTCGACTTGCTGATTTAAGCACCATTTATAAGAACCGAGGAAATGATGAAAAGTCGTTGGCTGCCCAATTGGCTGAGAAAAATGCTGCCTTAGTTGAACTGACCCGATTATGTAAAAAGTACAAGGAAGCTTGTGTTGAATATAAGCAACGGGAGAAGGAAACTGAATTGGCTCTAAAGACATTGGAAAGGGAGGTTGCCAAACAAAATGAAATGATAGAGTTTTTGCAAAATCGACTACCACTTGGACAAGATTCTGGCTCAGTTAAACAGTTGCTTGTGAATTTACCCATTGTCAAGCAAGGTTACTTTTTTTTGAAATACAAACACGATTTAAAGGATAAGCGAGTGTTGATGGTGTCGATTATAAGTACCATTTGTTTCTTTTTACTTTTGCTTAATGGACTCCAGTTGATATACATGATAGTTTCAGTAATACTTGCATCACTCGGTAAAGACTCAGGGATCGTTTACGACAACGATAGAATACGATCACCAGGAGTAATAGACTTAATAAGCACTGTACCATCTATAGAAAAATTCATCTACGACTATATAGATTGGTGAAAGAAAATAGAAAGCATATAGACAAGTTGAATCATTCATTTAAATCCATTAAAAACTACATAAAAAAGGGGGTACTAGAAAGATGGAAATTATATATTAAGTATTTACAATCCTCCTAGAAGAAGAAAAGAAAACTCCAACAGCAAAAAACTCACCTCAGTGCTTAGTTCATTTGTTTAATCAAAGCATTGATGAATTCTTCTCTGTTACCGGTGTCACCACCTTGGATAAAGTGTTGGAATTTTCTTGATCTGAAACCACCAGTTGGGTTAGACAATTTGAATGGCCACAAGAAGTTGTTAACTTGTTTGAAGTTTGGTCCGACGGTGTAAATTTCGTGAATCAAATCTTCAATAGACAAGATGTCGTATTTACCCAAGTTGGCTTCAATGATAGCATTGTCAGACAAAGCAATTCTTTGCTTGTTAATCTTACCGTAACCTCTCTTGTAGACCAATTGTCTGATGGTTGACAATGATGGGTAACCGTAAGCAATGTATGGTTCAGCCAATTTGATCAATTCAGAAGTAGCCTTTGTCAATCTGACAAAAACACCGGAGTTAATTTGGGTCAATCTCAACAATTGCATAACCTTTCTTGGCTTTGGTGGGATCTTCATGATACCCTTGATTCTTACAACGAAAACCAATTTTGGTTGAGCATCAACGTAGTATGAACCGGAAGCCTTAGCATCTCTCTTGGCCTTGATGACTGATCTTTCAGCATCAGAGTATTCCTTTTGGTATTTAGCAGCTCTGTCATAGATGACCTTTCTCTTTTCCTTGTTAGACTAGAAAACAATTGAACTGTTAGTATTTCCCCCTACTTGCTTTCAATAATGCACGCCCTCAGTTTAGATATTTTCTCAGTCCCGAAAGATGGTTAACTGAAAGACAACATAGCCGAAGCTAGCCATAAACATTGGTTTGATTTCATCTTCAAAAATAAAAGATTCGAGGGTTGCATATGAAATGATTTGTACATACGACTCTTCTAGACTTCTTAGCAGCAACTCTTTCCTCAGTGGTTTTTTGTTGAGCTTTTTCCTTCTTTTGTTGAGTTTCTGGCTTGATAGCCTTGGCGATGCTGTTCAATAAACTAAAAATGTAAGTTAGTACTTTGAAAAAGAATGTTTTGTTCTTTTCCAGTAACCTGCACAAACCACTAATTCTCCTCTAGAACAATTTCGAATGCACTGAATGTTTGTATTGAACCGGAAAAGCAATACACGAATACAGAACTGAACGGCCAAGTTCATTCTCATTCACAATCAACACAATTCTCAAAACTCAGAGGAAAATAGATTCATCAGGCATTGGCTAAAACGAAGATATATTAAAGCTGCAAGACAATCTAATTTTCCCATGGTTGGTAAAAAATAAAGAATAACTAAAGTCTCTTTGGAAGACAACAGTAAGCAATATTGGTCTTGATATCATCGTCTCAGCAAATCTCTTTCAATGAGTACTGGACCTTTGTGGTATTAACATACGTAGCCATTTTGATCTGTGGTGGTTGATGATAATGATAGGAAGAGATTTTTGGAAGTGAAAAATTTAAATGTCACTTTTTTTTTGGTCTCTTTGTACAGCAGAAGCTTTGGTTTCGGTTAGAATGAGAAAGACTTTTTTTTTTTGTTTGAGATTTCGCACGTGATTTGGGTAAACAGGGTTAAAGCCCTCTTAAATAATTTGGCTCTTGTACTACCCCGGCACCTGCTTAAGTGTCGTATCCGCCGATAAAGCGATACTCCTGGCTGAAGGGTTCAAGTTACAAACCGAGTATGTTGATTTGACAAGATTCAAACTTGCCCCACTCAAATCACCTTTTTCATACTTGGTTCAGTATCTTGTGGAGCCGTTGCAATTGCCGAACTCGCTTGCAAAAGCAGCCAAGGAGTTGAGAAAATGCCGTTCTATATCCAATCTTTTAAGCAGTAAAGACTGAATATCATGCTATACTGGGTTGCATCATGGTCAATATTTTCTTTGTGACAAACAGTATACAAGAGTTCATTCTAGTATTGCAAAAGTACAATCACTGTCACCAAAGGGTTGTCTCTCTTCATCGTGCTGCTGCTAGTCAACGCTTTGCAACATGAGCATAGATAACAAAGCCAGCTATGTAGCATTTCACAATTACAGTTCTACAACAATGTATGTATATGTTTTCTGCGTATCATTTGAACCTAAAAACCTAAAACAAAACTCAGTTCCTTTGTATCATGCCCATTACCACCCTTTTAGAGGCCTTTAAAGATCTTCCGGAAGATCACTAAAGTCTAATTCATTCCAATTGATAGGCACTTTTTCTCCAAAAGTGTTTTCCCCTGAATACAAAACATACAAGAACCCATCTTCATCCTTGTGTTCTTCATAGATTGTGCTAATCAATGCAGCAGTTGGGGGTAAAATATCATTGACAAATATGAATATAGCCTTTTCACTGGGCAACTTGATCCTCTTTCTAATGACGTAAACAAATTGGCCCACTGTTAAATCAACTGGAACCAAGTATTTGCGTTTATCAATTTCCGGAATGTCGGAGTTCTCGACCTTCTCGCAGATAACTGGAACTCTATCCTTGAATCTCTGTGCAATTCGTGCTGCTTCAGCTTGTCTCTTTTCTAAAAAGAATTTTGGTTAGTCATGCAATGCTCAACATCCAAAATTGCCAAATATACGCAACGAAATACATACCAAAAGGGTGTTCGTCTTTAAATTGTGACCTCATTTGCTTTGATGTGACTGTTAGGCGTTAGTAAACTGATTGATTGCAGTTGCTTATTGCTTTAAGGAGTTCACGTGTATTCCCAAAAACAGTGGCGTTTGAGACCGATTGTGGAGACAACAAAAAAAAAGTATAATTTTTAGAAAGGTCAAGGGGTGAAATCAGAAAGACCCGTGACAAAAAGTTCTCCTATATTTTTGTTTGTAGACATACACTTTGTAGTTGGAATAAATCTAACTCCTTTTTTCGTATTGGTTGCAAAGAATGTAGTTGGTTGTAAATTTAGTATGAACTGTTGGTTTATAATGAAAGAAAGGGGAAGGGGGGGAGCAAAAAAAATAGAATTGTTGTTGTTTTGGGTTTATATCTTTTTTATTGTGTATGTGATAACTACTACTACTATGAGCAATAATAATAACAAGAGAGATAACGGAAACAAAATTACTATTGTGTCCCGTTTTTTGATAAGACAAAGAAAGGAGAGAGCAGTATGCGGACTGACACGCGTAATTCCCATACGTAAAGAACCAATAATGAGTTAGAATAAACAATCAACCAAAATTAACAGGGAAAGAGAGGTACATACAACCGCACATTTAGCAGGTGCTATTATCGTGGATATGCACTGCTTTGCTGTTATTTCAATTGGTATTATCTGAAGAAGGTAGTGCACGTTTTGATTAATTTGATGTATGGATGCAATTGGGTCATGTATTTTTTTGGGTATGTACACACACACATACACAAACTGTCTTAAAAAATATTAAAGTGTTGCAAAACTTGACTTCACAGACCACACCCCCAAGCCCAAGCGAAAAGATACCCTTCTTCTCCCATATATGGTCACTGTCTCAGATTTAAAGAGACTTGAGGCAATAAATATCAAGAATGATAAAGAGCTGAGACTGGCAAAGAACCAAAAGCCCGGTCTATTTTCGATGGAGTGGCTAGTAAAAGAAGAATTATACAAAGACGGTGGGGTAAATGGCAATAACTTGGCCGAAATTGACCTTAGGAACAAGAGATTAGAGTTGTTGTTTCACTCGGTTGACATTGAACTGGAAGATACATTTCCTCAAGTGAATTCTGAAGATGAGGACGCAAAGAATGAGACTTCTATTAGCTATCCCACAACGGTTTTGAAACATCATGAATTGACGAATGAGTTGGAAATCGATTTAATGGAGAGTTCTTTGTTCAGCAATAGGCGTATAGATTTGTCAAAGAATCAAGTAAACGATGCTAATTTGCTAGAACACAATAGGCATGACTTGCATAGAAGTCTCACAAAGACTAACTCTTGGATAAATGACAGTCTTCGGTCTAGTGATTCCGCTAATTCAATACTCCTTCGACACAAGAGCCTTGAAGAAAAAAGGGTGAAAGCAAGCCTGAGGCATAATCCAGCACTGCTTGGTATCGAAGTGGCCGCCGTTAACAACTTAAATCCTAAACCCTTGAAACGTTTCAGATCTGTTTCACAGTGTGACTTAGTGTTTCCTAATTTAAACTTTAAAAACCCAAAAAGGTAGTATTTTGTAGCATTGTAGGTTTATTATTAGACTTTGTCGTACAGTATACACATGTGTTTCTGGATTCGTCACTTGGTAGAGATTTGTGATCATAATAATTCAAGACGCGGCGCGCACGCCATGACAGTCAGACGAAAAGAGGAAAAAAATAAAAATAAAATACGAGATCCAAACCAACAACAAACTAGACACGCCACTGTTAGACACTCTTACATTCACCAATCCAAACAATGTTGAGAGCTTTTACCAGATCATTCACATCTACCATTCCTAAGAAGAATTTTGCCAATGGTCAATTGTTTGGCAGGGTCGGAAATGTAGACTTTAAAGAGTCGGCAAATGGAGTCAAGTATGTCAGATATTCCTTAGCTGTCAACAAGTTCAGAAAAGGTGAAGAAGCCCTCACTGATTGGTACAACATCACTATCTTTGACGAAGAGGAATTGCAAAAGGCAGAAAAAGTATTGAGAGTTGGAAACAAGATGATTGTTGATGTAACATTAAGACTTGACAAATTTGAAGATCCAGAAACAAAGAAACCTCAAACTAGAACCTCCCTTATTCAAAAACATGCTGAAATTGTGCAATGGGGTAAGAAAACAGACGAGGATAAAGCTGAAGCTACTGAGTAGTTGAATTCTAAATCTTTGTATATCTAATATAATCTTCTATATCAGTTAATTGCCAAAAACTAAAACTCTAAATCTTTCTACATCTAATGCAATTTCTTAGCCAAACTTAACTCATAGGCAAACGCTACTGTCAACTTGACATGTTCTTTGACATGGTCAAAGTCAATTCTATCAATTGTGTCCATGACAGAGTGAATATACTTGTTGGAATACTTCATTTCACTCTCAATGAGGAACGAGGAAGGATATCCATTTTCTAAAGCACTAGCATGGTCTGAACAAGCATATCCACATTCACTTGAATGGTAAGGAATGGAATTATACGTTTTAATAATCAACTTCAAAAAGTTGTTCAATTCAATACTAGTATAGTCTTCGATCAATCCGAAATGAGGCTCGACGCCAGCATCAATACTACCCTGGGTATATCCAGTCATGTCTTGCTGCAACATGCCAACAACAACTTCATTGGCCTTGTAATATCTTGAAAATACGTCAATGGATCCAAGTAAACCACCCTCTTCGGCAGAGTACCAATGAAACTCCAATGTATTGTATGGTTTATATGTCCCCTTTCCATATGCCTCAAGAATAAGTCTCAACGACTCCAAAGTGGTCACTGTTCCTGAACCATCGTCGTCTGCACCTGGGGCTCTCATTAAATTAGGCAAAATTAAATTGGCCGAATCTTGGTGTGCTGCAACAACTACCTTGTCCTTTACTTCACCTGGGATAGAAACAATGATTGAAAATTGGTTCCAGCCTTTGTGGTGGACCTTTTTTATGCTAATATCTTTAAAGGAAGCGATCAATTCGGAGATTTGGTCGTACAACCAAGTAGCACTTTCAGCACCACTTTCCGTTTTATAATATCTGGTGTAGAATGAAGTGAAATTGCTCAAGTTTTCGTAGACCCCATCAATGTTAATCAAGTCGTATAAGCTCTTGACCTCTGAATTATACTTTGTCTTTTTTGGATAGTTGTAAACTGGGATAGGTTTCTCCAATGTTTTAATTTGTTTTGACCCAATAAAGAACAACTTTTGCAAAAACGAATGTGTAGGTTTGACAATCAAGCCTTGCTCGACAGCAACTTCAATAGGGATTTGCTCAGTCATGTCAATGAACCTCTTATTTGCTTTCTTCAAAGCTAACTTTTCCTTCTCCGAAGCAAGTCTGTATTCATCAGGTCCCAATTTAAGCAAACGATCTTGACAGCCATTGCCTCTAAACAATGAAAATGTATTGACCGACCATTCAGGTACAATGTCAAACAATGGGAACGAAATCACAACGCAAGCGAATACTGAAAGGAGTGTAATGAATCTCATGGCTTCAGTTGTCTTATAGAAGAAGAGAAATATATATGTAGCAACGCCATTTGAACTCTGCCTCGACTTTTGTGCCGCACATAAATTTATATTTGAGATCTCTCATTACATTTTGATGGGGAATTCTGGAAGTTCCGTTTCAGGGCAGTCATTATCGTATAATTGCCATAAGCATGCCATGATTGGTCTACCTTGGATGGTTAAGAAGATGATAAGATTTGTCGTAAAGCAATACATGTTCTAGCTCATAGTTATAGCCAAATCGTGCAAACACTTTTCTACATTATACACAATTTCCTCCACAGAAGTGAGTTGATTTAGTTACAAAGATCTACTCTGATTTCCTTTCAATACACGTCACATGAGAATTGGCTCTGCCGTCCTCAGTTTTACTCTGTTGTGACTACATCCCTTGGCAAGCCAAAGAATTTTCCTTTTTTTTTTTTTCCTTCAATCCAATTTTTCACAACAATGAAATAAAACTTACATCTCACCCAAACAAACCACACCAATCACCATGGTCAGCTTAATTCCCAGTTTCATGGGGTACAATGGCTCCTCCAATGATAAGTATATATCGCCAACAATATGTGCAAGTGATCTGATGTCGGATAATTCTTTGAAGTTACACCAAGCAAATTCGACAGCATCAAACTCTGCGAGAAACCAATTGTCGAAACGATTTGTTGAACCTATTGGAATAGAGGTAAAGGAAGCCAACTACAAGGTTAATGTTCCTGATTTTGCTAATTTGCCCCCATTGCAATTGGGATCCAAACTCATCTCCAACATAAACAAGATTGATTCGAGCATTCCTCATGACATATACTACTCGGAGAGTCTCAGCAAAACCGAGTCAAGTTTAGACAATTACTACTTTGATTATGAAAATGGCTTAAAGGATTTTTCCCGGTTTGAAAAGGTTGAGCAGATTGATTTACCTGATACGTTTTTCGAACAACACAATCAAACTGAATGCAGCACTAAAATTGGCTTATTTCCCGAAATTGAACGCACATGGATTGCTGTTGATAATAAATTGATGTTATGGAACTACCGAATTCCTCAGTCATCTTTCAACAAGTCATCGCAGTTCCTCACAATAGATCAGATTCAAAACACGGTATTGGCTGTCAAGTTGGTAAAACCAAAGGAAGGAGTGTTTGCAAAAGAAATCAACCATTTATTGGTTGTGGCAACTACAACAAGCATTCAAATCTTTTTGATCAAATACGACAAAGCCCTTAATAATTTAGAGGTTTTGAACCTAGATCTATCCGTTTCCACCCACGGCTTAGCCGTTGACAGTTTTGTAGTTCATCCCAAGACGAACGACATTTTCTTCAGTGGAGAAACTGATGGAGTAAATATCTGGAGATTGGACTACTCGAATAAGTCTACATTTACCAAAAACAGATGTGACAAAGTTTGTTTAACCAAAGCCGGCTTTAGTAGTGTTATTCCCTTCCTGGGATTTGGCTTTGCATCTGGGACATCAATTACGGCTGATTCGTCAGCAAAGAACATTCCAGAAAGGATCGTGCAATTGGAAATAGACGGAAGTCGAGATATTTTGTACTCCCTTTCAAACAAATCTGTCATTCGTGTCTACAAGCTTTTGCCAAAACAAGATCATCTCACAGAAGGAAGCACATTAACGCCTAATCAAATTTTCAAGTCGGCATCGGCAATTTTTGTCGACGCAAGCAACTTTAAAGTCTTCGAACGCTTCAAAATCATTAGCATACACAGAATTTCCCCAGAAGAATCATCTATTGTACAACTAATCGCAACAACTAGCAACGGGTCAAGGATTTTACTAAAGTTGGGATCGACGACGACATTCTCCACCTTGCTCACCTCATCGTTGTCTGCCGCACAAGCATTGAAACTCAATCTCGTCAATATCAAATTCCCACCCGCTAGAGAGATCCCCACGATCAACAACGAGCTTGATGCATTTACCAGAGACAGACAGTACATTTCTCAAGTCATTGCTAATCAACAAAAGTCCCAGCTTTTGAAGAACGCAAAAATTGCAAAAATCATCAGTCCTGGTGTGTTTCTTTGTGTGAAGAAAACTAAGAGGTCGGATAAACTATTCATCGCCAGTGCTAATTTTGGATATCTCAAAAAGAATAATAAACTTGTTGAAGATGCCGAGTTTACAAAGTATACAGCCAATGAGGATGCGCCTTATACGTATATTCAGGATATTGTCCAATTAACTCCATCAATGAACGCGACAAATACACCAAACGGATATTCCAATGTAGCTGCAAGCCAGTATACCAAAGAGCCATTAAGGTTTGCCATATTAACCAACTTTGGACTTGTCATTTATCAATTCAAGACTTCAGACCAAATATTGAGGTCCTTAACTGATGAGGTCATTGAAAACTTTATTGAGGAAAATGGATACGAAGAGACTTGCTCTACTTTGTTGTATTTGGCATGTTCATATGGGCAGTACAGCTCGAATGATATTTTCCAAAGAAAGGCTCAAGTTTTGTTTTCAACTTGTGGAAATAATGCAAGATTAACCGAAACTAGAACAGCACCGCAGCCAACTAGCTTGATCCCACACCATGCGCTGTTGCAAAATTACACCACCCATCCTACTGTAGACCAGGTCATCCTTAGTGACCGTTTGTATGGTACATGTTTGCTAATGGGAAGATTTCTTCGAGATATATGGGACAAAAAGGTCTTTGGCGCGTTGCCGAGTGTTAAGATTACGCCTACCGGCCTGATTGAAATTGCCAGTATTAAAGATAACAAGGTTGTTATTGGGAGCTTGAATATTGATAAGAACCAGATTGAATATTTCATAGGAACTATCGTGGTTCTAATTGACTTTTTTGTTCAAAATGAAAGTAACATCCAAGGCTTAAGTGCCCCTAATTACAGTTCCGATCCAAACCAATTTGAAAACGAAGTGTGTTTGAGAGCTGAGAGCATTGCTTTTACATCAATCTTTAAATCCTTAACTTCCATGAAGGAAGCCTTTTCGTTTTTGATGGTTGTTTTAGAGGAACTTCAATGCAACCAAAATAACTTTAATGCGCTTTTTGAGTTTCTTTCCCTCACAAACCAAGCAAATCTTTTGACAATTAGTTTTAGGGATTTGTTGTTGCCATCAAGAGATGTTAAAGCGTTGATTAAGGACCTCTTATCGTCCATTATTAATAGCAATATTAGCAGAGGAGGGTCAATTGATTTTATTGCATCTTCGTTGCAAACACGATGCGGGTCTTTTTGCTCCACCAATGATGTTTTCATTTTTAAGGCTATAGAGAATCTAACTCGTGCCAAAAAGATTGCCTCTAGAGACTCCGAATTAAAATTGAAGTGCTTGAGAAATTCCGTTCTTTTGTTTGAAGAAGCGTACGAGACTTTAACGCTCGACCATTTAACTTATGCGGTGGATGTTATGGTGGATCTTGAGTACTACTCTGGTGCCATAGGAATGTTGTTGGACATTGCCAAGAAATTGGGCAATAATGTCAAACCCCCAAACTTTGCCTACAGTCAGGTTAATGAAAGCTTGATCAGTAAGGACCATTTAGAAATTGAGTCCAAGGTGAGGAAGATATATGACACTGTGTTTTCTGTTTTACAAAAAGTGGACAATAAAGCGTTAAAGGTTGTCGAATCTAACAATCAACTTCTTATTAATTCATTTTTTGAAATCAGAGACTTGGCATATGACACTTGTTTTGCATCCAAAAGTGAAGAGTTCCAATATGCATTTTATGATTGGTTCATTGATCAGGGTATAAGTGACCGATTGTTGGATGTCAACACGCTGTATATTTTGCCATATTTGGAGAAGCGATCGGAAAGCAGTGTTGCTTTAAGCAATGTTTTGTGGTTATACTACGCAAAGAGAGAAAGGTACTATGATGCTGCAAAAATCTTGTACGCGTTGTCCATTTCTCAATTCAATCTTGAATTGGCCCAACGAATTGAGTACTTGTCGAGAGCTAATGGATTTTGCAATTGTGTGTGCCCGCCAAATTTAAGACAGGAGATGATCCAACTTTCATCAACCATTCATGAACTTTTCGACGTGGCAAATGTTCAGTTAAGTTTGCTCAATAGGATCGAACGGGATTCAAGAATCAGTAAGGAGAACAAAGCTCGTGCAACCGAATCGTTAAACTTTAAGATATTACCTATAAGTGACTTATTTAACACATACGTTGATCCTTTAGGTTATTATGATTTATCGCTTTTGATCTTTAAAATATCAGATTACAAAAACAGTGATGATATATTAAAAAGATGGGAATTGTTATTTGACAAGTTGTTGCATGACTCAAAAACGTCAAAAGAGCCATTCTATGTTTTATTGAGTGATGAGTTCACTCTCAATGGTCCTAAATTATCCTCCAATGACATTGTTTTCCCGGTTGAGGAGCTTGTAAAGTTGGTCAAGAAAAATCTTAAAAAAGCGATTGAGAGTGAGCTGGTATCGCAGAAACCAGCGAAAGGATTTATGACTGACTTGTTGATGAAGGCGGGTGTCAGTGCTGAAAGATTGGCGTATATTGCTGATGTGTTGGAGAATGAGGTTTAGTATAATATGAGAGATCGGAAATTTATAAAAATGGATACAATTGTTGCTATTCAAACGTTACCTCTTTGAAGTAGAATCAAACACCTAAAGCATAAACACTCAATTCAATTGGTAGAACTTATTCTTCTGCACATCAAACTTTTCCTTTTCAAAGTTTCCAATTTCAGCGGGTCTTAAGTAATTGAAAGGGAGGTCTGTTCGTTTAGGTTGGTCATTTTTCGATACGAAAAGTAAAATTCCATCTATTACTAAGCTGACTGAATTTGGTTCGGGGCCCTTTGGCATAATAACGTCACAAAACTCCTTTGTGGGAAAGATGTAATCACTCATCTCAAGCCGAGCTCCTAACAAGTAAGCATTGATCACAGTTTCCAACTTCTCGGATTCACTTTCAAGAACATCTCTTCTAATCCAACGAATCAATCGAGTATCAGCATCACTATCTATAAAGACTTTGATTTGTGCCATATTTCGTAGATCTTTATCGTAAAGTGCATACAAGCCATGGACCAACACTATTGTTTGAGTGGAACTTGCTCCATCTAGTTCTTTTATATCACGTTTTAGCTTTTCAAAGTTGAATCTGGATGGCTTCAAGATGGGAAGTGATTGTGACGCGTCCTTTGAGACAGTAATTGCCGCCGATTTAGAGCTAGGAAACTGGCTAGGGTCGACGGATGAGCGTTCATGGTCAGTATACTCATTCATATTAATTATTTGCACATCAACGGATGATTCAGACATTATTGACCGTAGTTGATCTTTAATTGACAAAGCTGCAGTCCTCTTTCCTGCAGCATGGCCACCGCCTAATAGCACCAAAATTGAATTTGAAAGTTGTTGGCTCATATGTGTGATGATGGTGTTTGATAAAGAAACAAAAAATAATGAAAAAAAAAAAACATTGTGAAGAGATAGCACTGTTGGATCGTAACCCTTTAGTCAATATGGATGAGTTTGATAAAGATGTCGATAAAGAGTTAGAATTTAGTCATAAATCAACAAAGGGGATAAAGGTTCATCGTACATTTGAGAGTATGAAACTAAAGTCCGAACTCCTAAAGGGTATCTATGCATACGGATTTGAAGCTCCATCAGCAATCCAGTCAAGAGCGATCATGCAGATAATTGCCGGTCGGGACACTATAGCCCAGGCGCAATCAGGAACTGGTAAAACAGCTACATTTTCGATTGGAATGTTGGAAGCAATTGACTCAAAGTCGAAAGATTGCCAGGCACTAATTTTATCACCAACAAGAGAATTGGCAATTCAGATTCAGAATGTTGTACAGCACCTTGGTGACTACATGAATATACAAACTTACGCTTGCGTTGGGGGTAAAAATGTGGGAATGGATGTCAAGAAGCTACAGCAAGGGCAACATATTGTCAGTGGAACCCCAGGTAGGGTCTTAGATGTAATGAGGCGAAGAAATCTTTCTACAAGACATATAAAAATTTTGATTCTAGATGAAGCAGACGAACTATTCACCAAAGGTTTTAAAGAACAGATATATGAGATTTACAAGCAGCTCCCATCCGATACACAAGTTGTAGTTGTTAGCGCGACTTTGCCGCCGGAAGTTTTGGAAATGACAAGCAAATTCACCACTGACCCGGTAAAGATTTTAGTCAAGCGAGATGATGTGTCCCTAGTTGGGATAAAACAGTACTACGTACAATGCGAACAAGAAGATTGGAAGTTTGACACCTTGTGTGACCTTTATGATAATTTGACAATTACTCAAGCTGTGATATTTTGCAATACAAAGTTAAAGGTGAACTGGCTTACAGATCAAATGAGGAAACAGAACTTTGTAGTGCTGTCTATGCATGGTGATATGAAACAAGATGAACGAGATTCGATCATGAGTGACTTCAGAACTGGTAATTCAAGAGTCTTGATTTCAACAGATGTCTGGGCGAGGGGAATTGACGTGCAGCAAATATCCTTAGTTATAAACTATGACCTACCAAATGATAAAGAAAACTACATTCACAGAATAGGTCGATCAGGAAGGTTTGGCAGAAAAGGTACAGCCATAAATTTGATAACCAAGGGGGATCTTCCTACCATGAGAGATATTGAAGCTTATTATTCGACAAGAATTAGAGAGATGCCGATTAACATCAATGATATAATGTAATAATCGTGTAGCATATTATAATAAAGTCTCCTTCGTCAAAAAATCCTTTTTCTTTCTTTCTTTCTTCTCATCTCAATGATTTTGTGTCATAAAAAATATTCCATAGAAAGGAAGAAGAAGAAGAAGAAGAAGAAAAAAAAATTCCATCAAAACACCCTCTCTACATTTAACCACTATACCCTCCACTTTTGAGCATGGATTCACAATTCGTAGTCTCTTTGGAAGACACTTTAAAGCAAACTTTGACACCCGACTCATCGGTGATCAAACAAGCATCACAAAGATTGACCAAGGAGTTCTATCCTAATCCCCAAGCCTTGCCAGCATTGTTGCAAATCTTACAGCAATCTAATCAAGATGAAGTCAAACAATTAGCTGCTGTTGAAGCCAGGAAATTGGTTGCTGATAACTGGGAGTCTGTCGATAGCTCGTTCAAGCCAAACATTAGGGATTCCCTTTTGAAAAGTGTCTTTAACGAACAAAACAAACGTCTTAGAAATGTGTCGGCTTACTTAATTGCTGCCCTTGCAGAAACAGATTTAGACGCCAATGAATGGCAAGATTTGTTACCAACCTTGATTGGTGCTATTCAAGGCGATGATGTTAGGGCCAAAGAGGTTGCGACATTTACCTTGTACGCTTTATTGAATTCCGAGATTTCTGCTATGCTTCCTCATATTGATGACTTTGTTGTCTTGTTTGGCAACTTGACCAGAGATCCAGCATCAAAGGAAGTTAGAGTTTACTCCGTTTTGTCTTTGGATGCACTTTCACAAATCCTTGAGAATGATGACGAAGCATCGGATCAAGTTGTGGAGAACTTCAGGGCAACCATACCAGGAATGGTCGAGGTTTTGAAAGAAGTAGTCACATCTGACGATACAGAACTGGCTCAACTTGTTTTCAGTGTTTTCAACAGTTTGGTGCTCACAGACTCAAGGCTATTGGGAGACCATTTGGTCAACTTGATAAAGATGATTAGTGAAATCGTTGCAAACACTCAATTGGATGAGGAATATAGAGTTTTTGGCTTGCAATTCTTAATTTCTTGTGTTTCATACAGAAAATCAAAAATCTCATCCAACAAATTGGGTCCACAACTTACCTTGGTTGGGTTGAAAGTCGCATCCGAGGAGATTGATGTTGAGGACGAGTTGGAAAATGAGGATGAAGAAAATGAAAATGAGGAAAACTCTCCACCTTCGTTGGCATTGAGATTGCTTGCTGTTTTGGGAGCGGAGTTGCCGCCATCCCAAGTTATAGACCCATTGTTCGATGCGTTAGATCCGTTATTAACGTCCACAAATGAGTTTGAGAGACGTGCAGGTATATTAGCCATTGGTGTTTGTTCAGCCGGTGCTCCTGACTACATCTCACTCAGAATTCAGAAAATTATTCCCGTATTGATCAATGGAATGAAGGACTCGCAGCTTGTTGTTAGAGTTGCTGCTCTCAGAACTTTGTCCCAATTGACAGCAGAACTTCAAGATATCGTTACTGATTACCATGAAGAGTTGTTGCCATTGATCATTGAGATCATCGACTCGGCATCGTCCGTTATGGCTTACAAATACGGTTGTATTGCGTTAGACGGGTTAATTGAGTTCATGAACCATGATGCCATGAGCAAATACATCGAGCCATTGATGCATAAATTGTTTTACATGTTGCAGCAAGCAAACACTGCTACCTTGAAAACAGCAATCGTGTCTGCCATTGGTTCAACTGCGTTTGCAAGTGGTAAAGGTTTTACTCCATACTTTGAAGCTTCGATCAAACAATTGGAGCCTTTTATCTCCAACTCCGCCTCAGTAGAAGGAATGAGTGAAGATGACATAGAATTGAGAGCAACAACATTTGAAAATATATCTACTATGGCTAGAGCTGTTGGTTCTGATGCGTTCTCTGCATACGCTAAGCCATTAGTTGAAGCAGCCTACACATCATTAGAGTCTGATCACCCTAGAATCAGAGAATCGGGATTTGCTTTTATTGCTAACATGGCCAAGGTGTACGGTGCAGAATTTGCCGGATTTTTGGATCAAATCGTTCCCCAAATTTTGACCTGTTTGGGCCAGGAAGAATTTACCTTTAATGTCGAGACTGGCGAAGATGGAGAGGCTGAATTCGCAGGTGATGATGAAGATGAAGATCCTTTGAAAGTTCACACTGGTATTGCCATTGAAAAAGAAATCGCCTCAGTGGCCCTTGGTGAGTTGGCCATTGGAACAGGAAAAGAATTCTTCAAGTATGTTGAACCATCTTTGACTGCCTTGGCTGATCAAGTGGAAAACTCGTTCGGTGTGAGAGAAGCTGCTTTAAATTGTGTGTTTAAAATTGTCAAAGCTATGTTTGTTGCTGTGCAAGGTGAAGACTTTAAAGCACCAAAAGGTGTTCCACGACAATCATATGTTGACCCAAGCATTTTGGCCTTAATCATACAAGTGAGGGATATTGCTATTCCACTTTTGGAGGCCGAGTTTGAGTCTACTATGGTAGCATGCATTCTTGACAGTGTTGCAGATGCCTTGCATGTAATTGGTGCTATATTTATAGTTGACAATGCTAATGACACATCCAGCTTGGAGAAATTATGCTTTTCGTTGATGAATTTGTTAAAGAAAGAACATCCTTGCCAATTGGAAGAAGAAGAGATGCCAGAAGAAGAGGACTCGTCAGAAACCGACGTTTTACTTAACGAATCTGCATTAGAAGTGTTGGTCAACTTATCTTTAGCATTAGAAGGAGACTTTGTCAAGATTTTTGAGTCCTTTAAAGGCCCAATTTTGGCCCAGTTCAACAGCAAATCAAAGCCAATGAAGGTTGGATCTATTGGAGCAATTGCCGAGATGGTTGGGGGCATGAAATCCACCAACCCTTTTTCAGCAGAGTTGCTCCCTATTTTCGTCGACAAACTCGCCAATGAAAAGTCTATTGAAGTGAAGGGCAATGCTGCGTATGGTATAGGTTTGATTGTCGAGTATAGTCCAGTCGACTTGTCGTCCAGTTACCCTCAAATACTTGAGTTGCTTTTCCACTTGTTGAACAAAGTGGACAAAAAGGCAAGCTCTGCTGATGATGAAGAGGCCAAAGACGTGGTCAACCGTTCGTACGCAAATGCTTGCGGTTGTGTTGCCAGATTGATTGTCAAGAACCAACAAGCAGTTCCGTTAGAGCACGTTATTGGCCCATTGTTGGAACATCTTCCATTGGAAACCGGGTTTGAAGAAAACACACCAATTTTCGAGGCTATCATTAAGTTATATGAGTCTGGTAATGAAAGTATTGTGTCACAAACTCCAAAAATTGTTGACATATTTGCAGGTGTTTTCAAAGCTGAAGAGGAGAGAATTAAGTTGATCAACGAAAGTACCTTGGGAAGAGAAGAAAACATTGATGCCAGGAAGCAATTTTCGTCTGAGGAATTGAAATCAAAAGTTGTTCAACTTTTAAAGTTTTTGAATCAAAAATATGATGGTGTGGTTTCTTCAAACGAGACTTTGAAACTAGTTATACAGTAAATAGACTCTTTATACTGTGAACGTTTTGTTATTATTGATTTGTTGCTTCTCCCTTCCAAGATGGCAAGTGTATATGTTTCATGTATGTTACCTCTATAGCATATTGAGCGGTCATGTATGTTTGAGAGCTTGATGATTATTTTTGAAAAATTCTGAAGTAATTCCCCCCTTTTAGTATTGGTGAGTGGTTCTTTACTGAAGAAACAAAAAAAAATTCCGCTTTTGGCTGCAAAAGAGAAATATCTGAGGATCATAGAATCTACTTTGAGCCAATGCTTAACTAGGTATATAACTGAAACAATTTTTCCCACTGGTTTTCTCTGTTTTTGATGCCTAGAGTATACAACTATGAATTCAGGAGCAGCTGGTACCGCAGCTTTTACTATTATTGCTTTCTTTTTATTAATTCCGCCACTTTCATGGCACGCCAAGTCAAGAAACATCCCAGCAATTCTTTTGGTAACATGGTTGATGTTGGTCAACTTGATTGGGTTCATCAATACGATGATATGGAGTGGTGATGATTTTGATACTGTTTACGACGGTCAGGGTTGGTGTGATGTTACAACAAAGATTGAAGCAGCTTCATCGCTTGGAAAACTATGTGCCATTGCATGCCTTTCAATGAACTTGTACTTTATTTTGTGTGCTAAAAACCCTAGTTTCATTGATAACAAGAACTGGAAGAAGGTTTGGATCGACTTGACCATTTGCCTTCTTACTCCTGTGTTGATTATGATTTTCATCTACATTACACAAGCAAGACGGTACGCTATTGTTCGATACCAGGGGTGCATCACAGTTTTCTCGTCAACAAATGCAACCATTGGTTTATATCTTGTTTGGCCGTTAATCTGGAGTTTTGTTGCTTTGTTCTTTGCTACGTTGACATTGTACAAATACTTTCAAAAGAGGAAAGACGTCAAGGATATCCTCAAATGTACCAACTCGGGCTTGAATTTGAAGAGGTTTGCTAGGCTTTTAATTTTTAGCATCTTGATTGTGTTTGTCATGACCCCACTTTCTATTTACTACTTTGCTCAGAAAGTGTCCTTCACACAATACCCCTTCCATTGGGAAGAGGTACACAGTCCAGAATGGGGTGATATTTACTTCGCTGATTTTGGCTTCTTTTCAGTTATCGATAGATTGGTCAATTCGTCCATTTCTATTGTTGCATTCCTTTTGTTTGGTTTGGGAACTGATGCATTGAAGATGTATAGATCTTTTCTCAGAATGTCTCCTAAGGAATCTGGTGAACCGTTATCAAAAGAAACCACTTATATACATAACGGTACTCCAACAAAGCTTATATCCAACAAATCACAATTCAGTGAACGCACAAATTACAGTCAACCCACCGTATTGGATGAATTTGGTGGTGCAATGCAAGAATTAGGAATAGTTAAAGAAGGCTCGGCAGACTTGGAATCAGGTAAGTCAGGTAGAGCGATGAAGCAAAACTCATCTAAGAAACCGGACAGTGTCGGTGTTCCCGAAATTGAGGATTCTAGTCTAAATGGAGATTTCTTATACAAATATGAAGTTAAGCAGAAAAAGTAATCTATAGGAGACTATCAAATGCGTTTTTAATTTCTTTGGCGTGTACCTTCCCTCTAGTGACCTTCATGGCTTTACCAACAAGCACCTGTATTGCATTGTTGTGGCCATCCTGGATCCTCTTTACCACGTCAGGATTCAATTTAATAATTTCCCGGCATAGCTCATTAATATCAATAGCCTGCGAGTCTGAAGCTAGATTCAAATCGGCAATTGCTTTTTCTAAAGAGACTTGGTTCTCAACTAGATGTCTCAAGATTAGTCTTTTTGATACCAAGGAGTAGTCTGACCTGGCAACCTCGACCAACACGTCCGGACTGATCACATTGACGTCAAATTCTTTATCAAGCTTGGCAAATGCTGTGATTAATTCCTGAAACATCCACTTGTTTGCATCTGGATGGTTGAACTTGTCGAAAAAAGTCTCATAGTAATGCAAATGTTCTGGCTCCACAAGTAAATTTTTAGCATGCGCTAATTGTAAATTGTAAGGTTTGGATGTTAGCCGAGACAAAAGTTGATCGGGGTACTCTGGAATGGCAGCCTTGATTTCATCGCCAATATCAGGGTTCAAATTTATAGCGGGTAGTTCTGAGTCGGGAACATACCTGTAATCTATGGCATTCTCCTTGCTTCGTGATGACTTTGTCGTATAACCATCCCAAGACTTGGTTTCTTGCGCAATCTCTTTACCAGAACGGAGGCTCTCTACTTGTTCTGTGTATTCGTATTTCAAGGCATTCACTATGTCCCCTGTTGTACCTAAATTCTTTAGCTCAACCCTTGGATTATCGTTGACACTGAGATTGACGTCTACCCTTATTGCACCCGTTTCCAAGTCTCCACTGCAGATGCCCAAATGGCGCACTAACAACTGATACTTTTTTATAAAAGCATATACCTGATTTATATCTTGAAAGTCTGGCTTTGTAACAACTTCAATTAATGGAGTCCCTGCTCTATTATAATCTATAACATCTCCAAACTTTTTCCCTGTATCCTGTTCTAACTGCACTGTTTCAATTGCAATCTTCCCGGAAGCATTATCAAACTCGCTCAACTCCAAGACCCCGTCCTTCCCCAACGGTTGAAAATGCTGGGTAATTTGATATCCCAATGGCTGATCAGGATAAAAATAATGCTTCCTATCGAATTTGGAAAATGGCTGTATTTTCATATTCAACGCCACACAGGCCTTGAGAGCTAAGTATAAAGCCTCGGGGTTCAACTTGGGTTGAGTTCCTGGTAGTCCGAGATCAAAGTAGCTAACCTTTGTATTACTATTGTCGTTGAACCCCGTTTGAGATAAAGAAAAAAGCTTGTACTTTGTTTTCAACTGAGTATGGATTTCCACCCCGCATTTGAATTTATACTCGGGGAGTAATCTGAAGGACTCTTTTGTCGATGTCGTTAATCGTCGAAGCATGGGGACTTTTGATATAGGAATAGATTTGGATTGGATTTACTTATTTCATCGCGCTGAAAATTAAACAAAGAAAAAGAATAATATACGCACAAATATAGCGTACAAAATATATTATCAATGTTGTAGGTATAGCCAGGGAGAGACCACTCTTGTCAATCTATGATGATGTGTAACGAGCTCACTCCAAGAGGAACGGTTATGGAAACAAAAAAAATTGTAATTGTTATGGAAAAAAATAGCTGCTCTCAGCAGGATTCGAACCTACGATCTCCTCATTACTAGTGAGGTGCCTTACCAACTTGGCCATAAGAGCTATTTTTACTTTTAAAACGCAAATTTTATTACACATCTACTTAAATTCAAGTACAGATCATATGATAGTCACGAGAATTGCGCTTTTTTTCCCTAGTAACTTTTAGCCTTTCTCTTTGACAAACATTTTCATGTGAGTGAAAGAGCACACCTTACCTTAGATTAGTGAAGAGCATATCTCGAAGGGTCTTTTCTTCCTTGAGAAATGCTGAGGAGCAATAATTCTGCAGCCTGATTTACTAGCTATAGAATGTGTTTTTACTCAAGATACTTAGTAATTCTACACACTATGTGAATATATATATATATATATATACCAAAGAACGTTGGTATTGTTATTGCTCATAATGGCAGCGTTTGAATCTATTAGCGGCTTTATATAACAACACAATAATGCCACATGTGTGCTATAACGTTTCAGGTTTAGCTGAAACATGGACCTCACTTTCTTGTAATTTTTCACTAGGTGATTATTGATCCACTCACTTTCACGGCAATATTTTAGTAATAGCTTATGATTGAACAAGAGGTTGTAAGGTTGTAAGAAAGACAAAGTTGTATTTAGTGTATGTATCTGAACAGTTCTCGGAGCAGAGTACTACACTTGAAGAATATTGTTAAAGCATTATATTAAGACAGTTGAGGATACATTAAAGGAAGCCAAAGTTCTATTGTTTTATTTTTTATCGAAATTTTTGAGCAAAATATTTGTAAAAAAAATCCAAAATGGATTCAAATAAAAAAGTAAGACAAATATTGGTCACGGATGGACTGTGTGCCTTCCATTTCGACACTAAAGTCCCCAAAAAACAATCCACTTTCCATTTTTGCTAATTCTTTGCTGTGTAACAATCAGAAGAAACTCAAAGTCAGTTTGGTTTCCTCAAAAAATAAATTCATCTGACTAAGAATAGTGAGGTGTTAAAAACCAGAATATTTCTTTCGCAAAAATTCGAGATTTGGCGCAGTTGTCTTTACGAATTTGTTAGACTGGGTGGCCAAGCTGGTTAAGGCGTGTGACTGTTAATCACAAGATCGAGAGTTCAATCCTCTCCCTGGTCGTTTATTTTTTTTTTTAACTTCCTAATGCTCTTTTTTATGCCAAATCGAAAAGATCTAGTTGTAACCGCATTATGGTTTAGAGTGGTCATTCTTTGTCTTATTGAATAGGGCCACCTTGGCTTAACTTGCTACAGTTTTTGTTGTACTTAATTAGAACATGTCGCGACCTGTAGAAATTAACATGATGAGGGTGAAATTTCTTCATGATATATTTTTACAAATACGCTCTTACATTCTTGGCCGTGGTGTATGATGTCCAACTTGTAGACATTTCTGTATCACATGATTTCTAATTGAGACTATACACAGTTGTTACATAGTTTTCAACTGCCAATATCCCCCCCACACACACAAGCTCTAGTTAAATTTAGTGGACATTTCAACAGCAGCAGCACCCCAATCTTCTCCATGATTGTGCATTTTTCCAGGAATCAATCCTGCTCTAGCTTCAGCTTGTTCTTCAGTCAAGCAAGTCAAGACACCAAAAATAACCGGCACACCCAATTCAAAATTCAATTTCATCAATTGATTAGTAGTTGAATCACAAATGTATTCAAAATGCATAGTTGATCCTTTTATCAATACACCAATAGGGATAATTGCGTCTAATGGAGTGCCTTTTCTCTTTTGTTGTTCATAGAATAATTTTGAACCATAGGGTAATTCAAATGATCCCGGTACTGTTTCAATAACAATATTGTTTTCTTTGACTCCCAATTCTTTTAATCTGTTGACAGCACCTTGAACTAATGAGTCAATAATCTTTTTGTTCCATCTAGCGTGAAGAATACCAATTCTTAATTTTGAACCTAAATTAGTGGGGGAAAGCAAGTTAGTAAATCGTTTGCGTGATATTACTAGGAAGATGTATTCCTGAACGTACCGTCGTATTGTCTATCCAATTCTCCTAATCCTTTGACTGCCATTTTTTCCTTTAGTTTTAGTGTAGTGTAACTATAATTGTAATTGTAATTGTAATTGTAATGGGTGTGGTAAAATCGATTGAGGAGGATCTAAGGTGAATCTTTATATATGATTTTGAAAAATTGTTCATGGGGGAGGAAGTCGAGAATTAATATGCAGGGAGTGTCATTCCATTGTTCAGGAACAAATTCAGAAAGAAACAATGAGAAAAATAAAAAAAAAAAACCTTTCTGAAGAAATTGAAAAATTTTCGGCTTTTCAAAACTTATTCCTCTTCAGTCCAATCAATTTCAAATAAAAATGGTCTATTGTTTCCGTAGATCGATTGAACCAACAACGGTATCATCATTGGTATGTGTGATGTATTCTTTATTTCACATTGTCTAACTTAGTTGAACCAAAAGTGCTTCTATTTTTATTTGGCTTTTATGATGATATATACACTGGAACTTATTTAAATCAAAAAAATGATTATCCAAAACAGTATAGTTAAAATAGTCTTTCACCCCTATCTGAAATCAACTACGTTTACGATGGATATAGTGCATGAAGGATGTCATACTAACTACCTTATATAAGAGAGGCGTAATTCACGTATTTGTGACGTGCGATGGATGTCACTCCATCCAAAAACACATTTGAACAAATGAGTTAATGGAAAGTTCGAGCAGAGCCACCTCACTAGCATACTAAGAGAAGCGTCAGTACAACTCGCCCCTCGTCCATTTACCCCCTCCCAACACCTAGTGACAAGAGTGGGGTTACTTAAAAAAAGTATCCATGAAATTGTATTGTACTGATGCGTCTCAAAAGTTTCACCAAACTCAAATTTCTCTCTTTGCTGCAAAACTACAACAGTTTGGTTAATTGTAAAGTAGTAGCATATAAAGGTGTATTAGCTTCAAAACTCAATTACGTTCCGGAAATGTGAAAGAAAAAGAAAAAGTCGTGTAATATGTACACATATCGGAAAAACCTTTGACAATTAGAATGGGTTGAGTCATTCACAAAAAAAAAATTGTTCTGCGATCAACGGATAAACACTAAAGTAATAAATGTAAGAGCAGCCACAAACTGTTTTATGAAGGAACAACCAATGTTTACAACTGGGTTATGGTAAACCTATCCTTCTCTAGTACTAAGTCTATTTGATTTAGGCAAAAATTCACACTGCCAGCCAAATTTTTTTTTTTTTTCAAAAAAAAGGAAAGAAAAGATAAAAATCTGCACTGTTTTAAATAAAGCCATAGTATAAGATGTTAATAGTTGATGGAGATGAGGAAGTCCGATATTCGAATTTTGGTCTCAGATTTATTCTTTCACTTTCTTTTGATGAGCAAATTATTTTATAATTACTAAAACTCCACATTGGAACAAAGAACACTTTTAAGTAAGAGATGTGAAAAAAGAAAAGGTAAGACTAGAATATGGTAGTTAAAGCGTAGAGTTTCAAAAGTTTTATTATATACAACAACAACAACAACAACAACAACAACAACAACAACAACAACAGGAGTGGTACCGTTGCTCCGAGGGGTCTGTCTTTTTTTTTTTTCTTTTTGTCGTCTGTTATAATAACTTTACACAAACTTCTAACCTACAGACTCCTGAACTCTTCTGTTACCATTCATAACTGACTACAGTGTATGGATAAAAAAAGGGATAGGAAGTAATGGTTGGTTTAATTTTAAATTTTAAATTTTGTTGAGTAGATCTTCTCGTACATATTACACAGTTTTTTACATACACACTTTACATACACACTTTACACACACACTTTACACAAAGGTATAAATAAATAGATTTGTTGTGTTTTATCTTTTTTTGTTCTTTTCTCTTATCATTTATTTAAATTTTATTTAAATATAAACTATACTTCCCACAGCAACAGCAATAACAACAACAGCAACAACAATTATATACATCATCAAATTTTCTTCTTTACAACAGACACACCTGACAACGCATATCCAAAGATTATATAAACTATGTCAGTCAACCCTAGATTCAAACTCTTTAGAGGATCTACTTCTGGACAACAAGCTCCACAGCAACATCACGAAACGCCACACCAACAACAACAGCCAAAATCCCAAAACAGACACAACAATAATCGTCATTTTGAAGCCACATCGAGCATTTTATCTGACTATGACGATTTAGAGGTGATTGACGATGTTAATGAAGAGTCACTGTATGTCCTTTTCAATCCTATCTCAAAGCCAAAAAATGAATCCGATATTCTTTCGTTAACCAATACGTCAAAGGGAGACTCAAAAGCAGATACAGACCAGGAGTATGATCATGAGGATATACAGGAGTTGAAGGAAGAAGATGGTGAAGATGGCGACGATGATGGGGATGCAAAAACTGATACCGAAAGACTATCAAACAAAATCAACAGTTGGTACAACTCAAACATTGTCACCTCAAGTCAAGAAATTGATGAAAATGTTGCTAGTTGGAACTTGGATGAAGATGAGGAATTATCTAGTTCCAATCTACTGAAACAGCAACAACCACAAGAACAGCAACTGTTGGAAGAAAGCAAAAGATTACTCACTGAATTCTATGGCGATGACCTTTTCAGATACCTTGATCAAGAAGATGTAGCTAAAGTAAAGCGGTTCCATAATATGATGGATGTTAAACGATTTCTTTTGGAAAAAGATGTTGTGCCTAATGATTCAGTATTGAAGCAATTGATTTACAAGATTCTTTATGCTAAAGATGAATCATCCAGCTTTGATACATCTCACCACACTTTCAACCTAGGAAATACAAACTATATCAATTATTTGATGGCAGATGTTCATCAAAAGCAACAAAAACAACAGTCACCATTTGGTGGTAGTTTTTTGGGTACACCATCGACTTTTTCTGACACCAATACGGGCGGTGGATCATCTTTGATTATGTGTGGCGGAGTGGGGTTTGGCGACAAGACGTCATGGAATGATATATGATTGTCAGAGCAATTGTCCAAGCAACTCATGACTATGTTGAAGTAGTCGTCTCTGCTACAGGGGGTATTTCGGTTTGAATTAGCTTCCTAAATCTTGGGTATATGAGGATACGAATTATGAACTAGAGCTATTTATATTTCAGATTTATGTTGAGGGGAAGAGAGGGTTTAACTAGCTATCGATTGTTGTCGCTAGTTTTATATTTGGTGGTTTGGTTTCAGGTTATTGGTTTTTGTTTCTTGTTTCTTGTTTGTATTTAATGTAACTATAAATTCTAACTTTCATTAACTACACTAGCCATAGGTAAGTTTCATAGTATCAGATCTCTCTTGGTATGCACCGCTTACTGGTAGTTGCACCAACCTAGGCAATTACTTTTGTGCAACGGCGTAAGAATTGGACGAAAAAGTTGGGCTGAAAAAAAAAATGTTAAAAAAAAAAGAGCCACCTGAGCCAGCCTTTCGACCAACAGGAACTCCTCAGTCGACCACCTTGAAACAAAAGCACTAGTCATAATGAGCGGATGTATGTACTTTCAAGCCAAGGGTACAACCCACAGGCCTATCTCACTGTGATAATATCCCCCCTAGCCTTCACTTACTAACATGCCATCTAGTTCGTCTTCTTGACTTGGTTAAATTCTTTTTACCTATTGTTCCCGAAGTTGAATTTCCATACGAAAAGACAAAATTCGATGAAAGAATAGTATTCACCGTCGGATCAGCATTGATCTTTGTATTTGGCCAATTGCCCATCTATGGATTAATCCCGCAAGCTCAATTTCACTTACAAGATCCATTTTATCAATTTAGACTGATTTTTGCCATGGAGAAAGCTACATTGTTGGAATTGGGATTGTTGCCTATTATTACCTCGGGTTTTCTTTGGCAATTGGGTGCAGGATTGAAGTTGATTAATATTAATTTAGGATTGAGATATGATCGAGAATTATTTCAAAGTGGACAAAAATTGACAAGTTGGGGAATTGCCATTGTTTTCACTTTAGGGTTGATTTATTCGGGTTATTATGATGGTGTGATTAGGGGATACGAAGTTTTGCCTAAATCCAATTTCATTGTTTCGTCATTGCCATTAGGGTCATATTTTATCATTTTCTTGCAAGTTGTGTCTTGGCAAATTATTGTTAGTTTATTGGTGGAAATATTTGACAAAGGATACGGATTTGGTTCAGGAATCTTGTGTTTTTTGACTTTGCAAAATGCCACCAATTTCATTGCCGATTTAATTGGATTGGAAATGTTCCCCGTTATAAATTCAAACAAGTTTGAAAGTCTTGGTGCATTGATGAATTTGGTGCGTAATTTCTCCATTTTCAACTTGAAATCCACTAGCTGGCAAATCTGGCATGCTTTCACTCGTATTCAATTACCCAACTTGACTCAATTCTACATCGCTTTTGCTTCAGTATTTGTTGTTATTGCGTTGCAAAATTTCCGTGTTGATATCCCTATTAGATCAACCAAAGTTAGAGGTATGAGTCAAATGTTCCCCATTAGATTGTTGTACACTGGAGGATTGCCTGTTTTATTTGCTTATTCAATTGTTGCCAATATTCAGGTAGTTGGATTCATTTTGCATTCAATCTTGGTTAAATTGGGTGCACCTCCATTGGTGATCACCTTGTTGGGAAACTATGTCGTTCACCCAGCCAGTAATAGATTGGTTCTCAATGGCGGTATCTTGTATTATTTATCACCAGAACAAAATTTATTATCATCAATTGTTAGCCCCATTAGAACCATCATTTACTCATCAACTATTATACTTTTATCAGTTTGGTTTGGGTTTAAATGGAGTTTCATCTCGGGCTCGTCACCTAAAGATATTGCCAAACAATTTAAAGATCAAGGTATTTCTATTGCCGGTAAGAGGGATATTTCAATTGCTAAAGAGTTGTCAAAAATTATCCCCACTGCCGCCGTATCGGGTGCTTTTGCTCTTGCTGTGTTGGCAGTTGCTGGTGATTACTTGGGTGGATTAGGTAAGAATGGTGCTATAATCATTGGTGTTTCCTCGGCATTTGGTATCTTGGAAGAATTTATGGTTGAATATCAACAAGCATCGGGATCACAATTCTCAAGTGCCCTTTCTGGTGCTCAATAGAGACTACAAAGAGACACGGAGGTGAAGACATGGAGATAGCTGTGTGTATGGATGCAACCATCCACTGCAACACCATTTCTAAACGACTATATACTTTTTGCTTGTAAAATTAGTACTTTTTTTATTATTATTATTATTATTATTATTAATCATCATATAAGACCGCACTATTTAGTTTAAGACTCTGTCTAGGTATATTCCCATTACTAATACTGCTCGATTTTGATGAACTTGGCGTAATTGAGATCAACAGGGCATTCTTATACTTTGCTTGTGCTTTAGTCTCTTGATCAAAATTCTTGGTAAAATATTCATCTTTGGACAATACGGGAGAAAGATGAAATTGTTTCATTGTAAATTGAGTAGGATCAGGTTGGGTCTTGTATAATCTAGACATTGGTTTAAAATTTGTTGGTTTTTGAGGAGATGGCGCTAAATGGTTGGGGCCAGTAGCAGCAAAAACATCAGCAGGTTGAGGTGTTGGTGCATCTTCGGTTGCAAATATAAAAAGAACCAAAGAAAATATAGCCTTCACCATGGAACTTATTTGTGAAGCCACAAACTTCACCGGTTTTATCATGACCCATTGGGCAAGCAAGATAGGGACAGTTAAAAGCATTTTGAAATATAATTTAGCCACGTAAAGGGGTAATTTGAAACTGGACCAAATTATTGCGTTCAACAAGTAGTGAAATGGATGATAAATAAGGTCCACTAAGTGGTCCATTATTTGAACATATATTCCCAACAAATATTTATCAATGACCTCCATAAAAAACACTTTTAATATTTCATTATCGCTAGATTTGTATTCATTCATCAAAAATGCCAATTTAGTAACCAACACTTTTCTAACCGATTTTGGATTATTCACTAAATCATGAATAGTAATTTCGTTCCTGATAGCTTGCAATACAGATCTAGTGCGCTCCAATATAGTCTTACTGGAAAGCTGACGACCTTGTGATTCAAATTTATTAAACGATGGTGGTTCCAAAGATTCAAAAATTAAATCCTCCTCCTCAACTATGGTTTTTAAAGGTGTTTGCGAAAAAGAATGATGCTTCTGTAGCGATGGAGTGGGTGTTAATTGCGAATAATCAAATTCAGTTTGCATTGGCGAAAATAGTGGTGATAATTTTGGGGGCAGTACTCCCAATGGAAATGGCGGAAAGGAGTTATTCACCATGTATACCATTTGTTGTTCAGATGATGTGTTATTGTGCAGTGGCACGAGTAATGGATGTTGGGACTGGGCCTGCTTGATTTTCGGTTGCAACTTGCCATGGGCCAGTAACTCTTTTTGCCTCAGCAGCAGCAGCAGCAGCAGTTTTTGATACTGTGTGTACTCATTTTGTTGAGCTTGTGCTTGAGTCTGGTCTCGCTTATCCAACTCCTTTTGCAACTTTATCAAATCCAACTTCAACCGATCAAACTGTTTATTGTGAACTTGCAAGTGGTCCAACAAGATTTGATTTGTAAGATTGGGTAGGAAGTATTGCTTTAAATCCGAAAACCACGTTTGGAAACTTGGGCTCTGAGTATAAAGAGGACTGTTGCTGTTATTCAAGGATGAATATTGCAATGAATCAGTAAATGTAATGATAATCCTAAAAATTGACCAAAACTGCAACAAGGCGATATTGACATTATTGAACACCATTTTTTTACGCTTTTGGTCAATTATCGTATATTTTCTGGTCCATATAAGCAAAACTGAACTCAAAAGTGACGAAACTAGACAACAAACCAATGCCATTATTTGAAAAGTGTTTATCTTTCGAACCATCATAATAACCTTGTTGGTGTGTTCAATAGCAAAATCATCTTCAGTCAATTGTTGAAGTAGCTTTGTCCTTGTTGTTTCCAATTCCTTCATCCAATTATACGGCCACTCGAGGGTAAACCTAACTATCCAACTAATCAACACAACCGTCAACAAATCAATAATAAAGTTTCCAATTTGTTCATTTTGGGGGATACTTTTCGTGTTGATGGGGAAAATTATAGATGTCAATGTGGGAAGTATAATGACAATATACGTGAAAATTTTGTAAACAACTTCATGAGACTGTGAATGTAGAGATACACTAGTTGTAGCAAGGGAGGACTTGGTTCTGTTGGGTTCTTTTCCCAAAGGGGTTCCTGTTTTGGCCTTAGAGGATGTTGAATTGGTATCAAATTGTGACAACTTATTGCTCACTGTGGACGATTTCCCCTGGTCTAACAGTTTTTTCTTTACACTTGTAGTCACTTGAGATTGTGAAGACTGTATTGTGATATCCTTCTTTGGCTTAGAACTGGTCATGATAGTGCCTGGTGTAGTAGATGTAGTTTTATTGTTATGTGTCTTCAAAAGTGTCGCAAAGACGTGCTATAGCTGTAATACCGTATACGCTTTTGCGGATAGACAATGTATTTAGTATCACCAAAGATTGTAGTGGGTCTGTTGCAGCAGATTTAAGTGTACTTCTTCTGATCAGTGCATGTAGTTATTTTCCTAAATGGTGTCAACTCTTCACTATTGTAAAGGAGTGGTTACCAGTTATGAAAAAAAAAAAAAAATTTTTGGTTGTAAAAATAAAAATAAGTATATAGGAAGATACAAATTTTTGCGTGGTTGGGGTGTGTTAGGATGTGATAGGTAAAGTTATCTCCCCGAAAAAGCCTTTCCTAATTGGATTCAGTGTCAGTGTCAAGTGAATCTCGATGAAGATGAGAAGGGGAAACTAGTCTTTTGAAATTCTCTCCTCGAGGTTTGAAGGCTTATAATTAAGGAAAAGAAGGAGTGAGGAGAAGAGGTTGATTTCAACTGATATGTGAAGAATGTATATATATATATATATATGTATGCAGTGCTTGCAAAGTCACAACAACAATTGATAAGTGTTTGTTTACAGTACAGATATATAGATACGTATATGTATCTCCAGTTGTTGAAAAATATCTTACTTTTGGTAATTCAAAGTGTAAGATGATGATGATGGTAATAAGAATAATAATAATAAATTTAAACCATACGTTTGTAAATAGTTTAAAGTAATTTTTTAGTCTTTTTAAGTAAAGCTTCTTCTTCTTCTTTTCTACTTCAGGCACGTGCTTTGTGTACTGTATTCTGTACTGATCTTGTGTATTATTATTAATAGACTCTCCATTGTTAGATGTGTTCTTCTGTTTGATTTTGTGTGTTTGTCTTGAAAGCGTGTCTGTGTCTCATCTTTACATATCACGACTTTTAAGCTTTTTATACAAATAGTCCCATTCGAGTATAAAGTATATGTTTTGCATTGCGCGCGTTAGTGAACTGTCATGGAAGCAGACAACAGGTGGTTCCACTCTTTTAACTAACAGTTGTTCACTCAAATTTTGAGATTGTTGTCTCTATTTTCTATATCAGGAAACAATAGAGTGCAAAATATGCTGTATGGGTTAAAAATTACTCCGCCTGTGCATACACACATTATTTTCCTCTTTCTTTTAGGCAAATGATTCTAGCCTCGTTACAAAATCCACATTTAGGTCAGGTTTCTTAAAAGTTCCCTATTGTATTTTTTACCCTTCTTATTGTTTAGTTGTTTGTCTGTATTCTTGCGAATTGGATTTACGATGGTGAAGGATAGTAGTAACCCATTTTTTTGGGTTTATTGACTTCAAATTCATAACCCTAAATAAGAAAGGTAGTACGGTGCAACCACCACCACCTCAGCTACTGGGGCATATCGTATATGCTGTGGTTTTTTTAACTAATCTCTACATGTTATTGTTCTTTTTCTTGTATTTTCACATGCAATAAAAATATATACCAATTAAGTAAAAATTCAAAACATTTACAACATTCACACATATAAACAAGACATGCTTTAAAGTAGAACCACAAAGCAATACACCCATAACATAAAACCTTGTACGCAAAGCTTTAAAGTACTGTTATAGTTGAGAATATGTGGCTAAGGGACCCACATTACTCTAGCCAACATTCTTTGGTTGTTTTATAATATACACTTACACCTGGTAAGGCTTTAGTTAAACAGTAGTTTTACCCATCTTGCATAAAAGCTTTGATTGAAATGCCTACTGGTTTAGTTGATTGCACGGCATCGGTAGAAATAACTGTCGTTAGAGAATTGCTAGATAGTAATACTCAACAACATGACTAGGATAAATTCCTTCAATACTACGTAAGTGTCTGGAGGGTGTCTATTCTGTCCAGAAATCGACCCGGATATCCCATCATTTGCCACAATTCAAGATGCGGAAGATATGTTGTAGCCCTGCACCACTTGCTCATTACCTTGCCATAGAGAGTGCTTTGTTACATTGGTTCGACACCTTTTCTTCCAAAGAATTACTTGACACAAATGCCGATTCATCATCATATGCAAATGTGTTGTTAAGGAGAAGGATGAACCAAGAACATGCAGGTGACACTGGCATTGGGCGAAGAACAAAGGCAAGACTAGTGCTTAGAAAACGGCCGAACAACATAAACAGCTTTGTTGCTAACGATGAAAATGCAGATGGACATTCGTTCATCAACCGCAGGGAGGACATTGTGTACAAACTAGTTCCATGTCCGCACTGTGATAATTGGATTATATTTTGCATGAAGAGATCCCTATTACTTTTAATTCACTCAACCCTAAAGCCGGCCGTCACAAGAGTGACAAAATATAGTACCATGTTCCTTAAGATTATGTCACCACGTTCCGGCATCATATCAATTGGATTCATTGGATTAATGCTGCTCTAAAGACTAGACACAGCTTGGTTTGTGTCACTGTTCTTGTGCCTTTTCTTCTGGCTTTTTTTTGGGTCGTTGATTATTATTTCGGAGTTGTTGCGGTTATTTCTCCTGCTAAAAGATTCAATGCTATAGCTCCATGTATTATTACTACTGATGATGCTCTTAATAAACAGCCAGTAATTCTTAGTCTCCATTACCAGACAAGTAGAATTGCCCACGATTAATACGAGATCCTTCTGTATTCACATTGTACTACGTTAGACATTTTGAATCTCATTTGGCCTATTCAAAAGTTGGGTGTTGATTTCTGGAAAGGACAGTAGGGGCATAGAGGATACATCTCAGCTGAGCGAGTGAGAAAAGATCAGTGATCCCATTAGCCGATTACTATGATTACTATGGTTTCAAAGTCCTAGAAACTAAAAATCATGTCACTAAATAGGATCATACGTATAATAAATATGCAGTGTAGTATCTCTTAAATTTACACCGTACATTCTTTGTTTTAGATGTTTGTTGTCGACTGCGCCATGACAAACAAGTGGAGTTAAATATTCCCTTTTCCGTAATACCTATGAGGTATACACAATTGAAACTAGTTGTCTTTTAAAACATTCAGCCAAAGTTATACATATTCACTTCGGTAACTTATTTGACGTTACACAAAAGTTGCAACATTCTATAGTTTCTATTCCCTTCTTCTTCTTCTTCTTCTTCTTCCTCACAGTTAAACCTCGGTGTTACATTACCTAAAGAGGTACAGAAACACCAACACTGCAACATAAATTGGTCATCGATGTATACAATACTTTCGGTGTTGCATGTCCGACATAAAGTGAGACATTCCGACGGAACTTCCACAATTCTCCATACATTACTATGTACAATTTCTTAAGTTGCAAAAAAAGTTTGGTAGGTGAAAAATGTTTCCTTTTTACGAAAAAGGAACTAGGGTTTCACTTGCTATGTAGGAGACAGCTATGGTAGTTATTCTTCCATAACCTTCTACATGGTCTATTCCGTCTATTTTAGGTCATTAACAATTGTATGTATACTACAAATGTAATATTTTAGGTCACAAGATACTTAGATCTCTCTTTCTCTCTCTCTTAATTAAGCTAAATTGATAACAGAAAAGGAGAGACAGAAAAAAGCCTCTGAATTTCTTTTTTTATTCTTAAAGTAGAAAAAAAATTTTTCATTCATTTTTGCCACCACAGTCTTTCTTCTGCCACAGTATATAAAGAGACACCCTAATCCATTTTACACTCACATCAAGCTTCTTTATCTACACATATTCTTTACAACATGGTTTTAGTTCAAGATTTACTACACCCAATCCCAGAAACTGAAAAACACACATACAAGCTAAAGAAGTTGGTTCAAGAACCAAACTCCTATTTCATTGATATCAAATGTCCAGGATGTTTCAACATTGCTACTGTTTTCAGCCACGCTCAAACTGCTATTGCTTGTGAAAAATGTTCTAATTTGTTGTGCACCCCTACTGGAGGAAAGGCAAAATTAGCCGAAGGTTCATCATTTAGAAGAAAGTAAATGTGATCACTTGAAGTGCTTGGAATTAGGTTTAATTTTTTTATTTGCATTTGCATTTTGCATTCATATTCAGTTCTTGAATACTTTTTTATGGTCATTATTTTCACTGTGGTCAATTAATGTAGCAGTGGTTGGCTATGAGAGAGAAAATGGCAATATGGAAGGTATTATGATAGAGAAGGCACATAGTTGAAAGAGGAGAGTTGAAGCTTTTGGTAGGAGCTTTCTTCATTCTTCAATAGCAAGCTTTTGTCTAGATGATTTTTGTGAGCGTATCGCAAGCGAATGGGAGACTATAGAGGTACTCGCTGAGATGAGAGGATTTGCGGGTAGCAGCGTAGTCCCTTATTAATGGTACGAGTTCACTCAATTTTCCCAACCTCTTAGGTAGAGTATGCACAGATCAAATATATAAATCAATGATGACAAAAGGAATAGGGATTAGAAGTGATTGCATCCTAAGAAGTGGTTCCAAAGAAAAGACTTTTGGGAGGGTCTTATTTTGGATATCGCTGGTAATTGGTTTAATATTGATTTGTTGTTGACATTTGTATTTCTTTTTATTATTATTGCATTGAATGTGTGTATACCTTATTACAGGATTTAATAAGAATACACTCAATTGATTGATATTTTTAGTATCAAAGTTTAGCTTAGTTTTGTTTTGTTTTATTTAATATTTAATGAATGATATCAAATTAAGAAATCGAGAAACGTAGAGAATTAGACTAATGAACATTAAAAAATAAATACCCTTTATACCCTAAATCTATATACAGTAGCTTTCCCTTATATATACACTCACTTGCCTTCATATTCTTCAGGATTAATATCTAATCGTTTTCCTTGTTTCTTATACGACTGGCTATTTTCCAATTTATCCGCCATCATCTCTGTTGCCAAAAACCCATCATCAAATTCATCTTCATTTACTCCAACCTTCTTTTTCCAAATCTTGCGTTGTTGCTCTTTTTTAAATGTCTTTTTATGCGTCTTGTATAATGTATCCAATTTTGATTTAACCTCATTCGAAATTGGTTGTCTTTTGGAGCTAACCTTTTTATCCAATGCCCATAAATCACCCAATTGAACCTTTCTTGCATCATGATAGGTTTGTTTACCCAATGACCGAGGAATCTGCCATGTTTCAATATCCCCCTCATTAGAGCAAACAGTTAGCTTAACATTCTTCTTCAACTTGTCAGGGGTTCTGATTATTCTGGGCCAATTGTTGATATCATCTTGGTCAATTGGTGAATTATCGTGATTACTAAAGTCACGCAAGTTGTTTATATGGGAAATCGATTCCTCAGTATTGTCGCTTCTTTCAACAATCAAGTATGAATAGGAACCATCCTCGGTATCTCTACCTCCTGGTCGACCTTTACCACCAAGTTTCTTCAATTCACCTCGACTAAGGGTGCCAATACCGTCCATAGAACTTTTGTCCCATTTAGCAGCCAATTTCTTACCTTTTTTCAATTCCATAGTGTAACTGGGCCTCTCAACAATTTTGGAAAATGAACAGAAATTCAAACGATGCTTATGCGATGGGATTTTATAGTATTTCGGATCACCCAACTGTAAAGGACACTTTCGATGATGAGGGCATGGCGCAAGAACTTTTAAGTGGTAGTCAATCTTGTCAAATTGTGGTTCACTAGCAGCAGCAGTTTCCGTGTCAAACACTTCAAAATTTGGATCGTTTTCTTCGTCAAATTTCAACTGGTCATCTTCGATTTTACCAAATTTCTCATCCAATTCGCTTTCCAAGTTGACACCTTGCTCCCTTGCCTCCTCCAAATCCAATTTTGCCAAGAGCTCTTTTTCAAATTCAATATCATCATCACTAACAATACTATCTTCCTTTTTCATATGCTGTGGCTTCCCACTCGATCCTTTAATGTATGGTCGAGGGATTTTACCCAATTCATGAGGAAACTTTTCAGGACGTATCATCAATTGCCTAGCCCTTGCAATAGTTTCGAAACCAACCGAGTTTCCTCGTTCAACCAAAACCAAATGCCCTTTTGGTGCTAGCAACCTTAAAATCATTCGCACATTCTCGTCAACATCGTTGGCAAAATTGTACTCTTTCGTCAACAATGAATGGTTGACAATAATAAGGTCGTATTTTTTTGTCACCGGGATTGTGTCTCTCAACTTGGTTCGAACTTCAATCTTTTTTGCATCGATTGGTCCAACATAGTCGTTCGCCTCAACTGGATGCTCACCGGGCTCATTTCTTTCAACATTTTCACTTACTTGTCTGGATAATATAATCTTGGCTCTTTTCTTCATTTCATTATTCTTTCTTCCAACAATATAGGCATCTTTTTCCTCTGGAACCCAGTCTGGTCCCATAATTTCATTCAAAGCGACAATCCCCGTTGCTGGACCGTACCCAATATCTAATACTTTCTGTGGGTTGAAATTTGCATGGCCGGCCCTTTGTCTCAATTCTTCCAATACTTGTTTAGCATGACTGTAATCCTGCAAGAAAAGGGCAGCAATGTGCGCATTGCAATCAAGCTCACTCAGTGGTGCTTGTTGAATCTGGTTCTTTTGCAAGTTCTGGTATACCGACACCACACGCTCTCTTAGCTTTGCTGGTATGGTGGTACTCAAAATGTTGTTCTGAATAGCTTTTGCAATTTGAGGTGGTAGAACAGTAACCGAATGGTCTGTTCTTCCCCGTAGAGTTCGATCATCGAGTCTAGCTTCAAAAGCATTATTGCCTTTGACTAATGTCCCGTCTGCATTTCTAAACAGTGACATATCTTCGAGCTGTAGCAGTTTATATTCATCTGCATGACTTCCAACTTGATCTGGTGGTAAATATTTTTTCACTATATCTGCCCTTGATCGTTCCTCTGTTTTTATAAACTCATAATCAAATCCTGGACTAGATCGTTTCGTATGTTGTGTATGCGGTAGAGTATGCTGCTTTCTTATAGTGCACCATATCCTATTCCTGGACAATAGAGTCCCTCTATTTAAGCTCATCGTGTAATGGTTATTGTTGCAAAAGAAGCGATGAGAATGAAAATCGAGCCAAACAGAATTTCTTTAAAATGTGACAGAAAAAAGGAAACAAAAATTTCCCAAAATTCAATTACTCTCGTCAACTCACCCAGCAACAACCCACAACTCAACACAAAGCAATGCTTAGGCCTGTCTCATTAGCTTCGTCAATTCTAACGGCTGGATTGATAGTGACACATAAACCCACAGTCATCAGCAATGACTCTTCATCAAAAAGAAACTTCTACGAGGACGACACTGAGGTGACTCCCCTCCCAGGTACTGTGGTTCCAGCTCCAGCATCGGAAATAAATTCCTTAGGCGAAAACAGGATAATTGATGGAATATCTGTACGTACCACCACACCTACTGAAAATTTCTTCAAAAGTGCCAGAGAATTCACTTCAGCAAGAGTTTGCGACTTGTCAAACTGGCTAAACGGAAGCTACACCAAATTCAATGACACAGAAAGATTTGTCACATCAACGGTTAGCGACTTACACTACAAGAAGGAGGATCTTTTACCTAATGGTATATACGTGATTGTTGCAGCTTTGGCAGGAACGATTGCTGCAAGACCTCGTGGTGTGATTGCCAAAACTACATTTCCTGTAATAGCCGGTTTGGCCGCTTTCAAGTACTTTTTGCCAGTAACATTTGACAACACAAGGGAGTTTACTTGGAACTTGGAACAGAGGAAAGCACCACAAGTGGCAAAGCAACAAGCAGATGCATACAACAGTGTTGTTGGATTGGCCAAATCAATTGAAGACGGTGCTGAGCAGAGTGTCAGGCATGTTGAAAGTAGAGCACAGTCTTTGAGACAGTCAATTGCCAACATAACTGGCCTCAACTTGGATGAAGAAGTGTCAAAGAAGAAATAGACACCTGTGTATAACACACACCTTTAAAACTGCTCAAATTTTATATCCAAATTACACGACTCTCTTTCTTTCTCTAAATCATCTTTGGCTGCGAATGCCATTTGTGTTTTGCGGATTCAGCATAACCAAGTATGAACTAGTTTGCAAGTTTCGATCATACCCAGCAAGCAATTTGTCACCTTCGAAATCAAATGACAGGAACTAACCTTGTGCTAGAGGACAAACGCCCAGCTACCGCACTTCATCGAGTTCTTGAGAAAGTGGTGTCTATATCTGGGTTTGGAACATCAGCTAGTGCCCAACTGCACAATGACAGCACAATGACCGACGAACATCCAGCAAAGTTATCAAGGTCATCATCATATAAAATACATCAGAAATTAACCAAGCTCATTAAACTAAACATAAAGACCAAGAAGTTAGAACAGGAAATTTTAGGTGATACCAATTTATGGGCAGATAACATTCCAACCCAAGAATGTTCACTGATAATTAGAGATTTCAATTTCATCTTTTCCACACAGACAAATGCAGGTGCTCAATTAAATGAAAAGTTGGAGAAAATAAAATTGAGCTTGTCATGTGTCAATGAGCGTGAAAAGAAGCAGAAAGAGTTACTTTATTCGAAAATTAAGTTGGAAAAGCAGTTAAAGGAGAATAAAGCTAGAGTTGGATCTAAAGCATCATCAACAGTTTTGATTATTGAAAAGTTGGAAGAGGTTGATTGCAGCTTACAAGTGGTTGAACAGCAATTTGTTCGGTCTATATCCAATGATTTGAAAGAAAGCATTATTGACTACATTTACACCTTACATTCAACATCACGAAAGTTGAATGAAGTATGCGAAGATTTCATCGAGTGCATGAGTTCGTTAGAGCAAAGCAATTCGATGAATGGGTTGGAACATGGTAACTTGGCCAACGGTATGGGCCATATATTGAGAGGTAGTGAACTTGGTCGAACCTCACCGACAAGATTATCAAAATTGGCATTGAAAAGGAAATCACCCCAGTACCAACAATCCTATAGCGATAATGAGCAAATCAAGTTGAAAAACTACGACTTGCCAACGCCTCAATCATCTTGTGCCGAATGCAAAAAAGTTCCATGCATACACACAGATCAAGGGAATGGTACTCAACCATTGAAAACAAACCAAGTTCCCCAAGCTCCATCTATGCCTGCGCAAGATCAAAACCCCAGTACCAGACGCACTTTTTCAAAAGTTTATCCATTACAAGCACATGATAATTTCCACTTTGGAGAGGAGTTTCGTCATGACCCCATTAGGGACAGTTCAATTCTCGACGATCATTGGAGCTGATCCATCCAAACTCTGTTGAGGATTTTCTTTTTAGTTATTCTATACAAGCTCTATCAATCAGTGCCTTTTTCTTTTATATACATATATACATGTATGCTGCTAAGCATTTACCACATTTCCATTCTTGAAAAGTTTCTTACCCACTTCATATGATGATATCATGATGGCACAGGCAGGTGCAATCTTCATTACCCTGGGACCAAAACCTGAGTATAATGCACCTATCCCCTCATTTCTATAAATGTTGGTCAAAAATTTAAACATGTTTGTCTTGTGCTTATGTTTAATATCTCCGTCATCCATGGTAATTTGTAGCCTTGTTTTACCAACATCAAAGGGGTTAGTGAAGAATGCAGCAACAGTACCCGATATGGATCCCGACAAAAATGACGTTGTAAATACTTTCCAGTCATCTGCGCCGCCACTAGTGGTGTTGTTGAAATCTGTTTTTAACATGCGGGCAATTTGCTTCTTGCAAATCTCATACGACGACCAGTATATACCGGAAAAGGGAACATCTCTCCAAAGGGTAATTTGCAATCCCTTGAACAAGGTGGAAATTCCATTCTTCTGGACCAATGCAATGGAATCCCGCAAAAGGTGACTCATTACATGTGATGAGCTTCTAGAGTCGCTGGGTATCGATTGCAATTGTGTTTTGATCAATTCTGCCGGGGCAACAAAGGTCGCAGACATGATACGCGCCAATGCCCCACAGAGCAATGGATTAAATGACGAGTGGCCAAACGGTGAGTGGTCTCGAATGTATTCATATCCGGTAAAGTAGATAATATTTGATGGTATTGCCATTAGTAAAGTTAGTGATAATCCGCGCCACAAAGTTGCAACACCTTCATGTTTGGCTATTGTAGAAAATCCTTGAAACGTTGATGTTATACGAGAGCATTGTTCGGTCCCCGGATGACAGTACTTGTTGTGGATCCAGAATAGTTCAGGCGAAGCTTCCAAAGTTGCTGCCTCATGTTTGGGTAAATGCTTTATAAAATGCTCAGGGTAATGGACTTGACAACAAGGTTCATTCTGCGGTAGGATTTCTTGTTGCTGGATTCTGATTCGTATTACGTCAAATGGTGTCACAACTAATGAAGTTATTAGGCTCCCTGAACATGCGCTAATCATCCGCTGCGTGACTGAGATATTCTCATCAGTGATAACTTTCTGCTGATTCTCATTCTTCACAGGAAACATCCTATCTTTACTATCACCGAAGGATAAATCGTTGTCTTCTATTCCGGCAGCTAATTCAGATGAAAGGGACATTTAGTATTTGTAATCGGTACTGAGTGGAACTGCCCTCTGTGCAGTGGCGGAAACAATGACTTGAACAAGCTATTATATACGACGGATGCAAGCAACCTATGAATAAGTAAACTGTCTTTAATTATTGTTTCGATGCCTTAGTTGTATATATATATGTATATATATATATATATATATTTTGTCAAAAGGAAAAGTCTCTTCCCGAATCGATTGCTCGGTATAATTTACCCGAGTTAGTACATTTTTTTTATTTTCTCGCTGTCGCTGCCGCATCTTTTTTTTTTTTCTTCTTTTTCAGCTTCTGGCCCATTCAGATCGGTTAGATTGTTACACCACACTTCAACATTTGCGAAATGCGGTTTATCACTACAATGAAGCGCGCACAACTTATCACACACTATCTGTCTCACACACATTGAAAATCTACATAAATCGTCTTAAGGCCAATGCTACATCAAAATTTAATATTCACTAACTACATCTGTACAAGTATATATGTTAATATTCGCATCTTGCGTGTAGTTCGTAGCTAACATCATTCTATGTGGGTGGAAGGTCACACTTGAAAGATAATTAATACCTCTGTTTGTCGTCAAGTACTTTTCATGCGAGGGGGTTTTCAAGGTTGTCAAGTCATCTCCTGCAGTTGACCATATATTTACTGATTTGGAACCAGTGGCAAATACGGGGGCATGTTCGTGAACGTCGATACTGCGGATTTGGTTGCCAGGAGTGTTGTAAGTCAATATAGGATCATTTAATCTGATATCCCACAAATTGACATATCCATCGGATGATCCACTGATTAGTTCCCTATATCCACCTCTTTGCATTTGGACATTCTTTATAGATCCATATCCAACTCTATGAAAAGGTTGTCCATTTGGTTGTTTCGTCAGTTTCCACGTTCGAACCATTGACTCTCTTGCATCAAGCCTTTGGTCATAGACTCTAATACTACCGTCTTCAAACCCAGCAACAAAAATGTTACCAGCAACTTGATCAGAGGTCAAACTGGTGATTGATGACGAGGATCTAGCTGGTATATCCAGTAAACACAATTCACGCAGAGCATCCCATAAACGAATAACTTTAACATCACCGCTGACCAACAATGTTCCTCGTGATTGCTGCCACTCAGAAACGAGTCCAGAACTCTTTGCTGTAAGAAGTAAATCTGTCAAAGCTCTCCAACCAGTAACTAACTCAACTTTGTTAGAATAAACATCATTATCGTTCTCCTCAAAATAGTTGTGCTTTTGATTGATCTTATTTCCACTGTATGGATCATAGCTCTCTTCATTATCATCATCATCACCACCTCCATTGCCATAATTCTCCTCATTATGAAAGTTTTTGTAGATTTTAACCACTCCGTCCGATGAACCCGTATATAACAAAGGCTGATCATCTTCGTTTAAAAACTTTAAATCAGTAATCTTGGTACCAAAGGGATTTCCATTGGAAAACTTTTTAACAATTTTACTTTGTCCCCAGTCCCAAACGGTCACGTTATCTTTTTCATCACTTGCTACTAAAATCTTCTCAAACTGGGTAAACTTGATACATTTAGGTTGAGACACATTGTTTAACACCTTTACCTTTTTATTCCAATCACCACGTAATGCCATCTCCTTTTGAGGTTGCGTCTCCTGAATGATCAACTCATTTCGATTCCTGCGCCATAATCTCTTGACATATTCTTTAGACCCAGGTTCATCAGTTTCATTTTTCGACATCTGGGGTTCCTGAAAGTATTCACAGCTGTATTCAAAGAAATCAGATTCAGCTGGTAGTTCTGGCCCCTCTGCAAAATCCCGAATTCTATAAAATGCAGATTTGGGTTTGTATTCTGATCCGTATCGAGTAGGAAGCGGACCAGAATTCAAAATACGACTGAAACTTTTAATGTCTGATTCCTCATTCAAGTGGAAGCTCTTTAACAATTTTGACATGGACAAGTTCTTGATTTTGGAAGCGATGGATTCGCTGTCCGATTTACTATCAGACGAGTTATCATTTGACGAAACCGCTCTGGTTTTCAAAGATGAGCCATTTATGAGCAAATTGTTCTTTCTATTAATCATTGATGCGCTCGACACTTGTCTTTTCTCTCCCAAGGGTTTACTCAAAATGGGGGTTCCCGACATGAAGCTCTCGCTGATACTGAGTGTTGATTTGCTCAACAAGTAATCTTGCATTTCCTTAACCATCAGACCCAACTCGCTATCATTTAAATTCACCATGACGTAATCGATCAAGATTTCGGCCAACTGCTTTACCTCGCAGTGCGGATCTTCCGACAATATCAAGAGCGCTTTCCATATTGAGCTAAATATAGACCCATATGCTGGAGAACGTTTTCTAAACTCATTCAAGTTATTTGGATTATCAAGGAGTACAATCTCCTCTTCCAACTGGTTAAAAGCAACCACCAAGAAAAACTTGGAATAAGCCTTTATGAATTTGTTGATAAAAAACACCAACTCTTTTCGCACAATTGGTGATCCGTCACCCAAGAGGCCTAATAAGATATTTGCGAGTTTCAAATCCTGTTGCCTCATTTCGTCTTTCCTAGCCTCAGATGTAGAATTAGATTGCGCTGGCCTTTGCTGTGCTTGCTGAGATTGGCCAAATGGAGGAAGTGAAGGGTCTGAAAGAAAATTTGTTAGTGCCACCACAATTGATGTACGTACTTCTGGAATAGGATCATTTATAAGCAGGGACAATTGGCCTATATGACCATCCTTATAGGCTACCCATTTGCCGTCAGGGTACTTATTCCACAATTGAGAAAGTAGCAAGCTGCACCATTGTCTCAATAATGGATTCTCGCTCGTTTGAATGAACTTTATACAGTTGGTGACAACTTCACTCGAGAAGCATAGTCTCTGCCCATTCTTGAAGTCTTTTATAAAGAGGGTCAAGATGAACGCACTCATTGCTTTATGATCGTCGTTAATCAACATTCCACCAGATCCACTGGAGCCAGCCCCTCCATGACCACCAGCTTGGTTTTGTAGCGAGGAATTCAAAATCAGGTAAAAATAGTTGTAGCCTTTATCTTTGCACAACTCTTGTTGGGTGCCCTTATAATCAATAGCCATAATCCTTGCCCATATAAAAATCAACACTGGTTTCAACTCCTGGGCGGGACTTTGTAAAAGCTTCAACACATAGGGAAAAATTCCAATGGATAACGACAAATAAACTCCCCAGGGTCCCAAATCTAAAAACTTTGAAAGCAAGATTAAAGCCCTTAAGCGGTGGACTTGGGATAACAACACCTGCAAGACTATTGGTAACTGTTCAGGAGGCTCCTTGGTGGAGGGACCTGCGTATTTCAACCATATCTCGAACGCAGTCAATTGCTGTTCAAAAAAGGAGGAATGTTGGTAATTTCCCAAAGTTTGCATTGTGGGCACCGTCGACGATGAACCATTTGCATGAGAAATAGTGAGTGAGCTGCTGCCGTTAGTTAGTGCCAGGCCATTAGCTATTGACAGTGGCGTATGGTTGAGGTTGAGGTTTTGGTTCAAAGACTCCTCCTTAGACGTTTTTAATAATTGTGAAAGGACTTGGTCAATTGCCAAATCCCACGAATCCCACATTGGATGGTACTTTACCGAGTCTGGCAATGGAGGATCACTTATCGGGTTGCAGTTTAAGTGGGGCATGATCCTCTTTGCTAGCAAAAAATTTCGAAACAACGCAGCTACCATTAAATCTTGTCGAAAGAGACGTTTGAATATCGGTCTAGAAAGAGACGTCCATGCTATCGTGTCTGTTATTGCTGTGAAAATCCAGTTAAGTTCTCCCAATGGAGTTCTTCGATCAGTCAATTTCCCCGGTACTATAACATTTCCTATTTGATTTTTAGGTAGGGAGTCGTAATAGTTTTTCTTGAGTGAGCTTTGCATTATAAACCACTTTATACTGATATCAATCGGACAAGTAAGACAGCACGTAAACAAGTCAGCAGGTAGATCGGGACTCATGGGCAAAAGCTCATTGCTTTTGCATGCAGCCAACTGGATACAGTCTAGGTAAGCTGAAGTAGGCGAAGGTGCGCTAACATCGTGGTTACCTTCATTGTCATCGTCTATTCGCTTTTGCACAAATTTTTTGAAATTATGAACAATGTTACCAGCACTGTTGCAGTCATACACAAAAATGACAGGAGCACCAAGCCATGTTTGCAAATCGTAAAGCGAGATAGGAATATATTGCGTATAGCCACGATTGAACACCCATATTTCTCCGCTTGTAGTCGGTTGGGGAACTCCGTGTCCATTATAGTGGAAAAGAATTCTTTCATCCTTAGCGTTTCTTCTCAAGGTGTTACAAAATCGTTTGACATCCTCCACACATGGGTCTAAAGACTGTTTATACCTCGTCCGTAGTGAAAGGGTCTCATACTGTGATTGCAAGTTTTTACCAATGTTTTCAATTGCCTTTTTAGTATCCGTGAAAGTGGTTGCATCACACCATGCTTCTAATTTGGCACAGGGGTACGTTTTCATAACATCGGGTGGGTCAACACCCAAATTGAGACATAATACCAACACTGCACTTATGGTCTTTTGTCTCTCTTTCATTATCTTCCAGTCGTATATAGGCTGAAAGTTTTTGTAGTGCTTGGGACTATTCTTCATCTCTCGAGTTAGCGGATTCCCAGTAGTACTATGTCGTTTATCATCGAAGTATATATAAAATGTGTTGGCAAGGGTGCTCAAAAAGTTTTCGGAATTATAGTCTTCACCGAAGCCATGTCTCATGTTGCCATTCGTCGGGGGTGTTCGTCGAGTGTTCTCATGATCAACAATCTGTTGCGAGCTGTTGGTAGTTTCAGTGACCATGTTACTTGCGTATATCGTACTGAGTTTAGTAATAAAGCATGGACAGTGAAGTTCAACTAATAGAAATCGAACAATGTTTTCTGATGATAACGTTGCGTCTATTGAGTGTTTAAATTTTTCAAACAAAAAGAAGGAAGAAAAACAAAACTGAAGGACGACTTAGAGGGATTGAGCGCTACCAATGCATACTTTGTGGTGACAGATCCCCCCTCTTTATAAGTAGTGCTTTGATGTTCAATGTGTTTATTTATGGTGTTTGAAATACAAGGCGCCGTCGAGGGTCCAAGAGAAATCAGGGTCAGAGAAGTCTGGGGGTCTCGGAGGAGTCTTGAAGATATTCAAATTGAGTGAGCTCCTGTTGTAATACGTGCCTTGGTTCAGCTTGTAAGAGATCACATCCTATGATAGAATGACTCCATGTGAAACAGGCATAGAAAGAAGACAAAGAACCAAAGCGTGAGGACATGTTATAAAATCTATCTGTTTTAATGACCATTTCGGCTATTTTCGCTGTAAAAAGGTTCTACAAAAAGTACACGACCTCGTATGCTTATCTGATAAGGTGGGGTTCCGTTTAAATGTCCAATAAGTAGCCCATTAGGATATATACATAGTGATCAATCATATTTTTGGTGGATAATAGTAGACCTAATGAGTTTGTAAATGTAAAACAGTAATGGTTTCATGTTATGTGCTGTGGTGCACGGTCCAGTATATTAGTTAGGAACCACACTGATAAGGGGAGGGGGGATCAAAAAGGATAATTTATTTTTTTTCTTTATTATATCCTTAATTTTTTACTTAATCATTACTGCGTGTTTAAAAGATTATTAACCATTTAAATCCAAACCCACTTGTTCTTCTTTTATCATTTGTTGCTCAAGACTTGATCAGCTTGTACACATTAAAGCGTTTTCCCAAGAGAAAGATTTAGAGCTTATCGAACACTTCTACAGGGGATTTCACTAATTCAAATTGAGTTAGCACCATATTTCTTTAGATGTGTAAATCACCCCAACAAATTGCCTCCCAAATGATTACAAACGAACGTATTTTGGTGTTCCAAGACCAACAGGAATCTCATATTAGAAGAGTTTCTAGTAAAGGCGGCGACCGTGTGGCTACGATTACGAACTTGTACTTCAAAAACAAGCACTTATCGAAACACCACGCCACAGTAAAGTACGAGCAAGACAAAGGGTTCACCGTTGAGGACACCAACTCAACTTTTGGAACTGTTATCAATGACACAGTTATCAAACACAACACCAGACATCCATTGAAAGATAAGGACAGATTAGGGTTGATTTTGTCCAAACCTTCTCTGAGAATCAAAGATGTGTTTAAGAAGTTTGAATCTGATTTGGAGCACAAAAGCATTCCACTTCTTGAATTTGATCTGCCCAAAATAAGCATGCAGTTTGATGTTGCGATTGACAAGTCAGTGCTCAAATTGGTACCATCTGTTGCTGCTGTAGGAGCCAACCAAGGTTATGATTTTACAAACGAGGATTCAGTAACAAACCTTTCAACCGTTGAGATTATTGAACTTGAAAATAATGATGCGGAAGCGACTGATAGGAGTGATGACAACGAAAGTTTTAGGTCTCACGATGAGGAAAAGCCGCCTATTATTGTCATTGACCTTGATGAAGATTCTGAAGAGAATGTTGGCGAGTCATCACTAAAGATTAATAAAGTGGCACCATCAACTTCTTGCAAAGAAATTACACCTAATGAAGATTTTGATTCCAAGTACCATGATGATGAAAATGTGAAGGTTGGGATTCATGAAGTTCTCACAGCTGGGCACGACTCAGGTGAAACTGTCGTGGGAAATTCATCGAAACTAGATGCAAATGAAGATGGCCTTAACCACGAGTGCTCATGTTTTCATCCCGATGGTGCTGATACAGTATCTCAATATGAGACTCGCAACGAAGACGACCTTGCTCGAGAAAATGGGGTTGTAAGCAAGGATGAGTCTGACGGAGAAGATGAACCACCAAGTGAATCGGACATTGTTTTTGAAGTTTCCGAGCCTGAACGTTATAGCAACCAGAAAGAGGGCAATGTTGACGAGGACGCTGAAATTGCAGTGGGTAGTTTCCACTGCAACGAAGCTGTCTCAAGGAGCAAATGTCTGTCTTTTGGTCCAAATTCCACCGATATCGTAAATCATCGTGAAGCTTCTCAATCGGGAACCCCATTAGCAGAGGAAGTGCTGCTAGTTGAAACCACTGACGACGAAGAAGATCGCCGTGACGTTACTAATAAATATGAAGATGGTGATGTCACAAGCTTTGAGAATGAATGCAGTTGCGACGACTTTCAAAATTGTAAAGGTGCCAAAAAATTATCTTGCAACTGTGATGTCGAAGGTTGTCAAAATGATTCTGATCATTCATGTTTAAGCTCAGTTTGGGATGGACTTGGTGACGAATACTCACCTATTACCTTGGAAGATCCATATGGTGAAGTTGAATCTCTTTGCATTTGCTCGGATCCGGAGGACTGTTACTATGGTACCCCACAAATTCCTCATTCACATTATCAAGAAGATGAGCAGAGCAAATCAGGTGGAAACTCCTATGAATGTTTAGGTTGTGGCTCTCACACCCTGAGTAAGTGGGATGAGTATGATGATTCCGACAGCGACTCCATCTGTGTTTGTTCTGACCCAGAAGACTGCTATTGTGGTAAGAAGCAAACTCTTTTCGCTCCCAACAAGCAAAGGGAAAACGTTGCAAAGTTAGTATCGATCAACTCTTCCGAGGTTCACAGACTAGAACCATACAAAGACGTAAGCCATCTAATGGAATGGCAAAAGACGAATTCTGGAATCTCGAAGCTTAACGGTGCGATAACCAACCAAACGTTGCTGAACACGAGAAAAAGATCTCATCACGATATGGTTGAAGAAGAAGAATTAGGAAGTAGAGTGGACGGAGAAGACACTAGTGTGGGTGGAGATGAAGATGGAAAGCCACCACACAAGAAGCTTGCAAGTGAAGAATCCAAATTGAAGACTATTTGCAAAGAATTTGCAAAAGGGTTGTTTTACGTAGCTGCCACAATCACCGCCCTTGGTGTATATGGCTCAACATTGGAAGAGAATTAGTGTCCTCTGCGCTGTTGGCGCACCTGTTCACAGGATTGGCAGGATTGGCAAGTTTGGCAGGTTTGGCGAGGTATTAAGGGTGTTTAAGGTTTACTGTGGGAGGTTCCCACTATGTGTGGTCAGCGAGCTTTTTGGGCAGGTTTATTGTTTTTGGTTCCATTAGTTTTGATTTTAAGTTTTGTTTCTTTTATTGTTATCACCGGTCGTATATTATTTCTCTACTCTTTGACTATGTAAAAATGTTATCAATAGTTTCTTTTCTAGGAGGTGAATTTGCCAAATGGCATACCGATAAAGAGACCTTAAAGTGTATCACAATGGACGGCTCACTTTGCTGCTTTCTTCTTGTACACTCTTTTTTTCTTAGGCTCTGCAACAGCAGGCTGAGCAGTGACGCCGGAGTTTAGCGGTTGAGGGTTTGCAATTGAAGGTACAGCGCCTTGAGAAAGCTGGTTAGCAAAGTGCTGCTGCTGCGCTGATTGTTGGGACTGCATCATGTTGTTACTATATTGTCCATTCAAGTTAGGGCTTCCACTACCACCAGTCGCAGAAGCCCTCTGCTGCTGTAATTGCTTTTGCTTTTGATAAAGCTGAAACTGTTTCAACCTTTGGAAATAAACAGGGAACTTTTGCAATAGTTGTTGTTGCAAAACCTTAACTTGTTGCATCGCTTGCTGTTTATGCTGTGGTGTCAATTGCTGGCCGTTGGGAGCCACACCAGTTTGGCTCATCATAGCCAATGCATTCATTTTTTGCTGAATTTGTTTATAAACTTGTTGCTCTTCTGGTGTCAACGAGCCTTGGAAAATTTGTTGATGTTGCTGCTGTTGCAAAGATGGTTGGTTAGGAGCACGTTGCAAATGTGGTGGCGGTGATTGCTGCATGTTCTGAGGTCCAACTGCGGATTGAGGTTGTGAGGGATTTTGCTGCGGCAAGACAGCCTGTCCCATGTTAGGAGGTCCTCTTGGGATTTGTTGTGGTGTCGGTGCTTGACTAATGTTTGGCTGTTGCGGCACACCTTGATTTCCCATCAAAGGGGTATTATTCATCGACAGCATTTGTGAATTGGGGTTTGAGGGAATAAAGGGTATTTGAGATCCCAGTAGACCTTGTGGCACTGTTGGACCAGCAGCACGCATAATTGGACCCGATGCAGGGCTCTGCTTTGTATCCTTTCTGGCACGTTTTCCGGTTTGTTGCAACATTTGCTGTTGTCTTTTATCACCAATCTGAGCTTCAGTAAGAGGGTGACTTAAACTGTTCGCCGTAGCTACGGAGGGATCAGGCGGAAGCGGAGCAGTACCACTCAGTGGAACCATATCGTTTTGTACAGAATTAGCTTGCGCATGTATCTTTGCTTCTTGTTGGTTCTTTTCGATTTCCCGCTTTTTACGGATCTCCTCAATCAATCTTAATCGCATAAACTGACCAGTTGTTCTGACGGGATTCAGTGATATAGCAACAGACGCAGAAATGGCAGATGAACTTGGACCTTTGTCACCCTTTTTAGCCTTGGATTCAGCACCAACAGAGCTTTCCTTGCTTCCAGATTTCGTGGGGGGAGTAGCAATTGACAGAGTGCTTGAGGTACTCGGCATTGTTTGTGGCACTACAACTAGCTTTTTATCCTGCGTATCCTCAAAACGCCTGGTGGTGTTTGACAACAACAACATTAACTCTTCATACTCGGAAGACTTGTGCAAAACCAATTCATCTTGGTGAATTTTGCGGGGAGGAACATTAACCCCAGCCCTATGTGGATAACCCATTTCCTGTTTACCCATTTCATTGGTATCAGGCTTCAAGTAATCATATTGGTAGGGGTTCACCTTAACAGAAAGATCTAACTCCCGATTAGTCAAGGCTAAAATTTCGGACTCCATCTGCAACGATAAAGTGTCAGTAAATTTTGTCAACGCAGAATCGGTGTGATACAATAGATCGTAATAGAGTGAAAGTGGTGTGGGTTTAAGCAATATCCTATAAGTCCTTGGTTTTGACACAATTGCCGGAGACTGCTTTGCATCCTTTGATGGCGATGCATTTGCTCTGTAAGTTGAAGTTTTAATCATATTTCGATGGTCATATACCTGCAAAATGAGACAACCATCATAGGACTTGATCGAAAAGTCCTTCAACAACTCACTCAATTCAACAGGAATCTCCTCCTTTAACACATGGCTCATAAAAGTTTTTATCATAGGAGAAGTCTTGGGTATGATTTGTGAATCCTGTGAGTTATTGAATCGATAGTGGTTGTCGAAGATATGCAAACTTAATGATGCAGGGTATTTTGTGTATTTCCGTAGTATTTCTTCACTAGTAGATGCAAAGTGATAATTACGAAGACCAATCTTTTGCTTTAGCAGCTGTTGCTGTTGCTGTTGTTGATGTTGCTGTTGATGTTGATGTTGATGTTGCAGTTGTACAGCATGAATCTGGTTCGAATGTGGAGCACCCCTATTGGCAGTTAGAGTTGGCCCACTGCCATTAGAGACTTCAGAATTGGTCATATTTTTTGAATTAGCATCAACTAGCACAACAATGTTTCAACTTTGGCTCCTCTCCAACTTTGCACACCATTTATTGTGAGCATTATTTTTTTTTGTTTTTCCCTTCTTCCAGCAATGGACGCACGTGACTCCCTTTTACCTTCAAGTTAGATTGCGCTTAACAGTGATCACAATTGTGGTAATAAGCACTTGTGAATAATTTGTTTAGCTGGAAGTTGCTTGCACTGGTGTTATATGTATGGTTGGCGCTTTTCCTTTTTGGCAACTTGCTGCCGTGAACTACAAGCTACGCCATAGAGCGTATCGCTACATGCCCCATTTAGTGACGTTAGTCCCGATGGCTCTACGGTATTTCCACCTACTAACCGTTCCAGTATTGTTAGTGTCCTTGATGGGACTCTTGTTCTATACCTCTCACACTCCTATATACACGATCTAAGCTATATCTCTTGACGACAAAATGTGTCGCTTTAATTTGGCGGCACTACTATATATTATTTTGCGTTTTTTTTCTCGGAAAGCACCCGTGAAAGCAATTTATTATCCGCTTTCCCAAAAGAAAATCCCGTGAGTTTCTGAAACGTTTTGACGTAGTCCACTACGAAAATGGCATAAATTGAAGTGAAATCTTCATCTGGTGGCTCATTAAAATCATCTAAAATAAATACAATTGATCTTGATACGAAAGTTGGCCTTTTCGCAAAGGAGCTCAGTTCATTTTACAACCTCAAGGAAAACCGACTTGAATTGTCAATTTTGAAAAGCGGAAAATACAAGCCGCTCAACGTTGATAAAAGCTTTATTGACAACGGTATTCCCTCAACAACAGACAAAGTTCAACTATATATCAAAGACAAAGGTCTGTAAATTTCTACTAACGCAATGGCTTTAATAGAGTACTTTGGTCCAATTCTTTTCCACCCTTTGTTCTTTTATTTTCAACGGATTTATGGAAGGGAACCATTCACACATACCCAGACGCAAACATTTGCCTTTTGGATGGTTATTATCCATTTTTTCAAGAGAGAATACGAGTGTTTATTTGTTCACAGGAGTTCGAAAGCTTCCACACCCGTATTTCATGCTTCTAAAAGCTTGGCTCATTATTGGGGAACAGCTGCAATTTTTCTTCCCTACTTTCTTTACGCACCCCCAAGCTCCTATCTGAAGAACTCGGGTTACTTGTTTCGTGTTAATGACTTACCTATCTGGCTCAACTACACATTGTTTGCCGTTTGGGCATTTGCTGAACTTTCCAATCTCAAAGCCCACAGGATATTAGCCGATATAAGGAGTGGTGGAGATAACAAAAAATACGCAATCCCTTTTGGCTACGGTTTCAATTTAGTAGATTGTCCTCATTACTTTTTTGAGTCTTTAGGCTGGCTTACATTTTCTTTGTTAGTGGGACATTGGTCTGCTTGGTTCTTTTTCATCACTGGAACTGGACAAATGGTGATCTGGGCAGTGCAAAAACACAATTGGTATTTGCAGAAGTTTGGTGACGATTACAAAAAATTGAACAGAAAGATCTATATACCATATATTGTATAGTTGTTTTAGTGGCGCTTTTTTGACTTCGTTTCATACAGTAGCTAACCCTCTCACCGCCATGGTTCTTGTCTTAAAAAAGTTCGAGATTCATTGTAGGTTTGAAATGATGTCAACTCGGTTCTTCTATGCAATCACTAGCTTGACATTACTACACTTTTAAGGATTTTTCAAACGTTGTATGGAGTCGAATGTTTCTACTAGTGCACTTAATTTTAATATTATTTGCAACTTTTTAACACACAATTGCGACAAAAAAGTCTAAAAAGTCATTATAACATTGGTTTCCATTAGAGTATTGTCCATTATTATAAAATAAAGTTGTATCAACCTTAATGTTGTTGTAAAAGTTAGTATTTGGCATGCTATATTGGAAAAATACTTACACTATATAAACTGTGCAATAATCCCAACTAAACTACGTCATCTAAGCAGTCTCAAACTAAGTATTGTATCGTCTTGAACAATGATTCTCTCTCCTCCTCGCTAAATAGCCACAAGCCGTAAATTTCCCCCGAAAGACTTCGAATAATTATCAAATTGTCGTTGAGTTCAACTTCCATCTCTGAACCGGGTAGAATGCCCAATGAAAAGCATTCAGGATTTGAACGGTTTAATATAATGATACCATACTTGAATGCCTGCTGTAGTTGGGAATCGGAAGATAATTCTTGCTCTGAATCACTACTAGTGCTTCTCTCATACAACGCTAAAGCACCTTGATAATCAGTCTTGATCCACTCTTCTGACTCCTCGTTGAATTTGTAGAGCACACAATGTGATGTGTGACACACTAATTGAATAATTGCAGGATCATAGCGACTAATCACATTAAAATTGAGAGCACTTGTATACAACTTCAATGCATCGTCTCTTGTAATCTGCTCTTGGCTCATTTGAGAAGCGATGGCAGCCATTCTTGTACAGTGTGGTCTCTTTCAAGCAAAAATTTCGTCAGATAAAAAAAGATGTTCTCAATTAGGTAAAGTGCGGCGTTGACGTTGAGTCGCACTTTAAAAAGGGGGAGCTTTTGTTCCACAGCAATTTACAATTTACCCTCTCTTCTTCTTATATCGAAATTTCACCAGACAACTATGCAACACCTTCTCAAACCTATATTCAGGCAATCTGCAGTATTAAATTTTAGGCAATCACTCAGATTTTATGCCGCTATTGGTGATGCAATTCCAGCAACCAATGTTTTTGAAGGGTCACCTGGAAATGACGTGAATTTGGCAAAAGAAACCGGCAAGGGTAAATCTTTACTTGTGGGAGTGCCAGGTGCATTTAGTCCTGGGTGCTCGCAAAAGCACATTCCGGGATATGTAAAGAATGCAGACGAGTTCAAAAATAAAGGAATCAATAATATTTTCGTAATCGCCGTCAACGATCCCTTTGTGACCAAGGCATGGGGAGAAGGTTTACTGAGTAACGGAGATGAAGTTCGTTTCTTGGCAGACAGCACAGGAGAGTTTTCAAGAGAGCTCGGGTTGCTCTTTGACGCCACCAAAGTATTTGGAAATGAGAGGTCAAAGAGGTACGCCTTGTTAATTGAAGATGGTAAAATCAAGGAAGCTTTTATTGAACCAGATAACACATCCGTTGATGTGTCAGATGCAACCAAGGTTTTATCAAGTATTTAGACGATTTTATAGATCAAACTTTTTAACCCTGTTGCGTTTCTTATCAGATTGCTTCTTTTTATTGAACTTTTTCCGCTCTTTGAAGTCTTCTTCCAATTGGGCCCATTTAGCCTTGTCTTCTTCTTTGACTTCACCTGGGAAGTAGACTTTGGACTTGATTTCTTCCAAAAGCCTCGAAAAACATTCCTCAGTATTTTGGTCCCTGCTCCGAGTGGTATCACACTGGATCAAAAGCCCGCGCGATTTTGTTTCATAGCGAATTGGTTTCTCTCGAAGTTGCTGCCGTACAGGGGTCGGTATCCAGTAACAAGTGCTACTTCGCAACCATTCACCTTCTTCTAGAGCAACAGTAGCTTTTGAGGAAGTTTTATTGACTTTTTGTCCACCGGGCCCTGACGATCTGCTGTATGAAATCGTGAACAAGTGTCTTGGAATTTGCGAGCTATCAAATGTTTGTAGCCATTCTTTTGATTTCTGGATGTCCGTGGAATTTGAACAAAGACGAGGGAAAACTTGATTAAAATTTCTAAGCGGCCTCCATGATGTTCGTAGTGCTTGGATCAGTAACATGGGTTTGCTATACTGAATGTGGGTTTGTTTTACATTAAACTATTGTCGCTCATTGTGCCTTCGCACTGAGTGAAGCTTATAATCATTCTATTTTTTTCTTCTTTTGTTTTCAAAGTTTTTTATTTGACCTCACTCAGCATTAACGACTTTAGCAAGTGGCGGCTAATTATCACGACACAATGGATGAGATTTTGAGTTCAAAGAGAACACAACTCGTGGAGCTTATAAATACTGTTATTGGTAAAGAGTTTGACGCATATGGTGAGGATTATTATGCAAACGCATTTACAAGTTACAAAGATGCGACAATCGATCAATTGAGCCTTGACGAAGCCCAGTTCAAGTTTGAGGAGCCAGACGATCTCAGTGAAGCAGAAATTGAAAAGTTTAATGAAACTGTATCCTCGAAACTAAAAGAAACTCTTTTAAATACAAGCTTTCAAAAAGTGTTATTGTCCCTCATCGAAGAACACATTAAGAGTGAAAACAGCCACCTAATAGGTAAACTTGCACTCACATTGGACTATTTATTGTGGTTAGCACTCGAGGTGGACCGTTCCACGAAATTATCATTTTACTATTGCTTGGAGGTCGTCCTGAATCAGCTTTTCTCAATCTCAACCAATAAGGTTGAATGTTTTTGGTCTTATGTGGAGTCAAGATTACCAATAATTCAAAGCCAATTATTTGAAAATAGCTTTGCCGAGAGAATTTCAATTCTTCTGCTTGGGAATTCGTTAACTGACAGATATAATACTCTGATAACGGGAATTCAAACCGATTCTACGATGAAGGATACCATTAATGATAGATTTCAATTCCGAGTGCGAATGTTTATGACCGAGTTACTTGCGATTGACGACAACACTGGTCTTAACAAGTACTTTCACACCCACAATGTAATCCCCCCTCACATAGAAACCAAAGACGTGTTTATAAGCGATGTCTTGGAAATACAGAAAATGTTCAACGACCCATTATATTATCTTAGAAAGAGCAATGTAATGAACTTTACCAAGATGACAGAAAAGCTATACAGAGTTTACGGACAATTAGTTGAAGAGGAATTGCGGTTTAGAAAAAAGAATCCTCTCCCTGAACAATTTAGCTTCTTGGAGCCAAAAAGTGAGCCAGAGAAGGAATATTTGCACCAAAAGTATCTCCACCGCGAATACGTGCCCGAATCTTACCTTGAATCCAATTTTGGAAAGGAATCAAAGTCAGAACAGAGTCAGAACACAGATTACAAGTTTCTATACCATCGAATGGAAATTTCAAAGGTGAGAATGCAGTATCTTTTGATGATTTATATTTTGTCTGTATTTTACGTTGAACTCACCCCTAGTAGCAAAAGCGAGTTCATGGAAAGCATTGGTGCACCAACAACAACCAAACACATCACCGAAGATTTTCCACCCATCGGCGCCGTCAAGAAGTACACGGAAATCAAAACTGAGCTATCTACAGTATTAAAGAAGATCGACCCTTCGTTGCTGTTTTTGTTTATACACTTGAGTCTTGATGAAAAGATTTGGTGGAAGTGGTTGCTTCATGGCAAGGATGAGAAAAATGAAGGCTTTTTTGTTGACAAAATCTTGAAACCTGAAATACTTGCGGCCAGGGAGGACGCGTTCAAAAATTTGTATCCGTATAAGAACAAGAGGAGCTTCAACACTTATGTAACCCCCCAAGTGTCAAAGAAAATGCGAACAGAAAGGGGATTAGAAAAACTAGAACAAGCTGCCAAATTTGACTCCGAAAAGGCAACAGAGGAACTTAGCAGTGTTGAAAAGGAGCTAGAAAGTGGAAGCAATGACGAGTTGAGGGACAAGAAGTCTTCTTATTCTTGGAAATTGCTTAGATGGAAAAGAAATGTATAACTTTAATACATCTCTAGCTTGCGGAAAATGGAGCAAAAGAGTCTCTCTTTTTTATTTGAATATCTTTCCCCTCGCTAGTTAAATAAGAAATAATTGAAGGTTGAGTAAAATGTATTAGCTCCGAGTTTTGGTGAAACAGTAGTACACATTCAAATCTTAATTTTGAAATATGAGCCGCATTTGCAAAAAATCTTGTTGGGAAGGGTATTTATAAGTAAACGAACGCGTTCAAAATATTAGCGCGTGGTGATTTTCTTTTTTATTTTGGCGTTATACACGATCTTCTAGCCATCTCGACCACTACCACAACTATCGTGAAAGCCAGCACAGGTCTTAAATTAGAAAATGGCCCCTGTTCGAAGATCAACTCGAAATTCAAAAGGTCGAGCCAATTCCCCAAAGAAGCAAAATAGCCTGCCAATAGGCGTAAAGAGGCGAACGAACAAGAAAAGCAAATCTATTTCTTCATCAAAGGGTGAAGTGGTACGTGAAAAGTCACCGAATTTGGAGCTAAATTCGTCTCCAATAAGACAAGTCAGCAATCTTCAGGATACGACCCCAACAAAGCCCAAGCGCACTCCCAAAAAGAGAAAATGTGTCTTGTTTTCTGATGACTTGATTTCGGACTTGCCAAGCACACCAGAAAGGGGAAATACACCCATCCGATCGATTCTAAAACCTTGTGATGTCAATTCAATGAATGAACTTTTAGATCCAAACAACACTCTGCTTTGGGGCGAATCCACCCATTCAAAATCGAACAGCCCCAAGAGCGCAGAATTTTGGTTACCAGGGACAATCATTCAGCTAGAACCTGGGTCTGAAGGGTTACCCATGCTTGTAGAAGGATGCTTGGCGGTTTTGGGTGACTCTGGTTTTAAAAGAAGGTTCGAAGTTTATGCCACATTGAATAGCATATTCAAATCCAATCCATCCACCACATTGATTGGGTTATTTCTTGACTCAGGTCCTGCTGGTAGCGAAAGTTCAACCAAGCAGTCCAAGAGCCTCCCGATATTGAAACAAATCATCAAAGATATTGATGAAATTGAAGAAGTGATATTCAATCCAGAAGCTGATAAGGAGAACGTATCCCCCACGAAAGGCAACCCGTTCAAAATCCGCATTGTAACTCAAGCTTTGAAGCTACTCAATCTTTTCATGTCAGATGCCGGGTTAAACAACTTTATAGCAAATGAAGATGCGTATTGGATATATGATCATGCATGCACCATGCTTATCAATCCGAACATTTCCAAAGCGCTCGTTTCTCCTTACTTGTCTATAATCAAGGATTGCAAGTTGAATCCCGGTCGCAGACGCGCCTTGTTTTGCAATCACGAGATTCTCGAAAAATTGCTTATAGCAGTGCTTAGGATGAATAATTTTCCAAGTTCATCTTTGGTAACAGAGAGGTTTTCCTGTTTAAGGAATTACATTTTGAATTTTCCTGAGTTTATGGCTAAAAACATTGCTCAATGGTTTGAACCAGTGCTTCTAAATTTATGCAATATGGTTCACCCGGTGTACATGAAAAGTTTTGGAGTGGGTGTGCACTGTTTGTTGGAAGCTGCAAAATGCTTTTTAGATGATAGTACTGTACACTCGTACGTGATAAATAAATTGTCGTCCCCGATAGCTGCTGACGCTCCGTCATTTACGTCTGATCAGGAATTTCCCGGCTACTTGAGTCAGCTACGATTACAAAATGTGAGACTAATTGAGTTTGTTGTCTGCAAACTAGAAGAGTTGATAAGCGCTGATCAGCAAAAGCTAGCCATGGACATGTGGATGGGGTTGACTCTTTTAGCGGGCCTGGAATCTTTTGATAAATGGACTGATTTAAATGTATGGCTTAAGGTACCAATGTGCTGCTTTAGCTCGACTCCTCAAGCTAGTCCGATTGCTTTATCCTGTTGGCGAGCAATTTGTTTCATATTATGCAGAAATGGCTTAGAAAGCTTCCGCAAAAGCATCGACTCCACCCAGACACTGACTTCTGGAACAGGAAAACTGGCGGCAGTAACGCAAGCATTGAAGTCAAAGGTGAAGCTCTTGATGTACGTCTTTAATAGCTTTCCTATAGAAGGCTTATCAAAAGATGTAATTGAAACCCTTCACAATATTTTCCTAGGCCATTTATATGTCATCCTTAGTCCAGCTATTTTAAAGCTGTGGTCCAAGTACTTGCCTTTATTTTGGGACAGGATAATCCAACCAACCTTTGGAAATTTTTATTTCAAAAGAGAATCTGGCTCATATGCGAATCAGTTGGGTTTGGAACTTTTGACAACAATGCTCAAGTCTTCATTGTCAAATCCCGAGAAGCAATTTAACGACCTCAGAATCTTGTCGAATGATCCAATTACTTTGATGGAAGTCAACCCGCTACCAGCAAGGTATGCACACTCCCATTTTGATAGAGTGATGCAAAGCATGTTTTTCGTTTTCCAATTGGACACAATCAAATTTGAGCAGAAATTGAGCCTCTTCACTACGTTCTTGGCCAAATTGAAGTTGGTCGTGAAGAAGGAGCAAAAACCAACAGCAACTACCTATGACTTAATTGACAATCTCTCATTGTTATTGAAAAAGCTATTCCAAAAACAAGCCATGACTTCTGAGACACTTGTGAGAGTTATCGTTGCCATGCATGATACGTTTAACCCCTACTACTTGGTTAATCGGGATCTTGGGCGGGAGGGGTTCGATTGCGAGGTGAATGTGTACATGCCAGTCATCGAGAGTTCAAATCCACTACCCATTGAAGGAAGAAGTACCATATTACGACTAATTCTACAATCATTGTCTCAAACAAAGGCCCTCATATTTATCGCCGACACTTTAAGCTCAACATCAGTGCCCAATGACACACTTCAAATTTTTACCGAGGTTTTGAACAAGTCTAAGATTGATGCGAATACAATTGATTTGCAATTCTACGGCATCATTTGCAAGTATGCCAACAGTAATTATGAGGTCTTTGTGAAGAAAGTGATACAATCTATTGTTTCAATTCCCAATTCAGATGAGATTTGCAGATGCTTGTCGTTGTTGCATATCGATGAGTGGAGTTGCAATGTTGGTGACTATGTACTTCTATTATTGCGAAATGCACCTTCTAAATCGATACACCATTTCGTGGCAGGAGTCATTTCACGTCGCCTCGAGAGTGCATTGATTCCGACCTTGGAATTTGTAACCAAGAATGATTTTGCTAGTGAGATGTTTTTGCTTAGTGGAAACCTTTTTGATTTGGTCATTAAACTTGACAATGCGTCGCTTGCCCAATGCTGCCTGTTATTAGAAGGGTATCTTATGTTTAAAAGCAAGCAGGAGGGCAATGACTACCTACTCATTGACATTTTGGGTGCTGGTTGTAACAAGTATCTACGTATGGATATCGGCTTTTTGGGGAAGATGATGGATTTAACTCATTTACCATTGTGCAGCAGGGAGTTGCAATTGCGGAAAGATGATTTAAGAAGGGAAGTAATTTGCCCACCTTCTATTCCAACATATGAACAAGGCGATTCAAATGAGGATATCGATATGTCAGATACTGTTGAAACTGTGGGACATTCTTTAGAACTAGCCAAATGTTCTCCGATGCCACTGAAAGTTGGTGCTGAAACTAATCAGGAAAAGAGAGAACTAATTATGATTGAGTCTGCGGAGTCGGTGAGAGGGGATAAGGTCTTTGAAAGAGAGAAACCAAGGAATAGTATGGCAATAGAAAATTTGGTCGACGGAGAGATGAAAGAGGAACCTAGCAGATGCCATCAATCAGAGTTGTTCCCATCAACAGAGTTGACTGTCATTCAGAACATACACGAGAGGACACCCATAAAGACTGCCCCAATTGCTCCAGATAATATCAACGCAACAATACAACAACTGAGGGACACCAGAGTTGAAGAATCAACTTCCGCTTCGCTGTTAAGTGCTCCGGAGCTAGTCAAGCTCCTCACAAAAAAATCTAACCAGGACTTGAACGAGCTCAGCCCTGAACAGAAGTATGAATTAGAATCCAGCTTGTTGCAGTTCATGGTCAAATTACGAGGCTTGCAGTAATACTAAAAATGCATTAGGTATTATTCGCTAGATTCAAGCACTCGAATATGGTATAGTAGATAGTGTTGAAAGTAGAGTTTTATACCCCAGATCTCTAATATACCAGTCACGAGCCGCACTGAATATTTTGTGTCAAAAACACACTGCTTTTACGAAACTCAAAGCAATTGTCAATCAACTCACTCAGTTAGCCACCAGCTCACAATTACAATTTAACGCCAATTCTTTTTGATTCATCAGGGGTACTGCTGCTAGATTCAAAAATAAACTGAGCCCTATGTCAATAGTTCCGTATAACCCGAACAACGATATATTGTACCACAACCCCGATGATGGCGTTCTTATTCTTCACGATACCAAAGAGAATTCTATTCAGTTACTTTCAACTTTAGCTCAGGAGAATAGGGGCTCCTATTTTAGCACTGGGGCATCAGCAAATGGGTTTAGCAACAAACGGTTTCCCTCCTTTGCAGATCATGCAGATATTAGAAAGTGTCCCAGTTGCGGATTTACTTGGAACGAATTTGACAACAGGGACTCAAGGCGTCGTAGTTCGGTTGGGACAAAGCCACCCATTTCCAACACAACCCACCTAAACGATTCCACAGGAGGCTTTTCCAAACCGTTCATGCGCACAGACTATTTCAAATTACTTGCCCAAATTCCCCACTCTAACAAAGAGCGACTGAAGACGAACACCACAGGAATCCCAGCAGGAATATTCAATCAAGGCTATTTTAACAGATTTTTTAACAAAATAGGTTCCAATCCTTTGGGCTCTGGAGCACGTGCACAGGTTTATAAAGTCGAGCACGTATTTAATGATATCGCTTTGGGGACCTATGCCGTCAAAAGAATAAGTATAGGAAACAAATTTGAGCATTTGGAACAAATGTTGAACGAAGTCCTAATACTATATGAATTATCGGCAAAAAGTGTTAGCGAGAACAACTTGATTCGGTACAATCACGTATGGTTGGAATTGGGTGACTTGGAAGACCTGAGCTCTTTCTTTCTTCAAACCGATTGTACAAATACTACGGGCTCTCAAAAGGTTCCCTATATGTTCATACTACAACAATACTGTGATGGGGGCCATCTAGAAGGAATCATTGAAAAGAATTTTCCTATAGAGGAGAACTTGAGTTATTCCGAAAAAATCAAGTTGGAAAAGAGACGACGGAAGTTGCAGAGACTGGGTAAGGAGGATGAAGAAGAAGAGAAGCGTAAGTGGCTTTCTAATTTTGAGATCTGGAAGTTCTTTCACGATATCGCAAATGGAGTGAACTACTTGCACAAAAATGGTATCTTGCATCGTGACTTAAAGCCATCCAACTGTTTAGCTGACGTGCAATACTCTGTGGATGATGTACCAGAATCGTTTGATACAATTGAGCAGTTTGAGGAAAAAGTATTTGAGTTGCCCAAAATCCTAGTATCTGATTTTGGAGAAGGGAAATTCACAGACAAGCACAAGAATACAGGTTTGCATAAGGCAGAAGAGAGGGAAGGTAACACGGGAACATTGGAGTTCACAGCGCCAGAGTTGTGGTTATGTTCTGACGACAGCCGATTCATCAACGAGTTTTCATATGACAGCGATATATATTCCTTGGGATTGATACTTTGTTACTTGTGCGTTGGTACCTTACCATTTGCAGACTCACTCCGAGGTGAAACTGACCCTGAGGTTTCCAGGGAAAAGATTCAGGATTGGTATAGAACTATCTCATATGAATCATTTGGATCATGGTTTGAAACAGCCTTGACTAAGCGAAAAAGATTGATGGACAATCTTATGTCCGACTTCAAGTGGTTGATTTATGAGATGATCAAGGGCAACTCTGATATCACCGCTAGTGGCGAGGAAATCTCAAGATTGAATTCAAAAGAGGTTCTTGCTTTTCTAAATGAGATGAAGTGGAAAAGATTTATCAAGTCAAGTCTAGCCCAAGAAGAAGATATAAACCAGCGCAATCCTCTGCTTTCAGATTCAGAAAAGCTTACCTTATATTTACCACGGCGCGCGGGTAATCAACCAACGAGAGAAGATTCATTTCAAGAAGAAGAAGAAGAAGAGGAGGAGGAAGAGGATTTAGAATACGAAAAAGAAAACGAGACAGATCATTTAGATTTAACGGAAGAAGAATATGAACCTCAAACAATTGCAATGTTCGACTACACCTCTGAGCTGTCGAAACACAAATTCTTGCTAGAACGTCGTACTACGTTACCGCTTTACTGCCTCGAGCTATTGGTGCTAGAATATATGTCAATACATTCACCTAACGTTTTGCAAATCATTTTGAAACTTGCAATATATGCCACTATTACTTTGGACTTATTTTTGGAAAGATGCCATTTTATACGGTCCAGTTTGTTTGCATTGATCTTTGTTTCGTTGTGTATAGTATTGGCCTACACCATCTGGTATTGAACGTGGTTGATTTGTTACATTGAAGTATTTACATTCAGAGGTCTAGATATCTAGTCCCTTCAGTCTCCAGTAATCTCTTTTGAAATCTTTATCAATACTCGGTTTTTTCGGTAGGTTTGGCTTCTTTGAGGAAGTAGTTGAGACTTTATCTTCTTCTTCTGGCGAAGACTCTAAACTTAAATACGACTCCACGAGTTTCTTTGTATCTTTGGCTTTATTTGTGATGGGTGTTTGTTTTTTAACGGGCGATTGTTTCTTTGGTAATGGGGTGTACTCTTCCTGTTCTTCACTTTCCACCGTCATATCGGAGAAGTAGTACTTGTCATTCCCTTCTATTCCATCATTCTCTATGTCACTCAGTAAAGCTGGCTCCTCTTCGTGATGGATAAGAGCATCATTGCGCACCAAATGCCTCTCGTCGACAAAATTTCTCTCCTTTCCCTTGAATTTGATGATGTCTCCTAAAATCAGTTGGCCCAACCTCTCTTTATACGGAGCAGCATTTAGTTCATAACATTTTGCAACAAGGAGTTGATAAGCGCCACCGAATGCCTTTTTCAAATCTCGAAGGTTATAAGATGATCGAGTAATATTATTACTCGGATCAGCTGGATCTTGGATCACAATGGAAAACGTATTTCTTGCTGTATTTAAGATTGGGTGTTTGCCTTTTAGCAAATAACGCGGCAATTGAGTCTCAGGGTCAATTGAAATGATAAGATTATCGTAGGAGAAATTGCGTCCAAATAGCTCAAAAAATTCGATGAGTAATACCCCTAGGTTCTCTGGTGCGTCCATTGTATTTGTGGATATTTTTGGATGTAATTGCATGAAATGATAGCACATAATAATAGTTGCATATCCACCAAGACCACCAACGTGAACATTGTTTAACTTTCTGGACCTTAGGAACTGCTTTACAACCAACACCAATTCACGTAGTCCCGGGGTGGCAAGTAACCATTTTCTTATTCGTCTAGCAGCATCCAAACCATTTGTACGCTCAAAAGATATATCAATAGGTAAATTCGATTGCGGGTCAACAAATTTTATTATGGGCACCTTGGCGTTTGCTATCACCTCCACATTTGTGGCCAAAGTTTTTGCCCTGAGGAAGGATGACAATTGGTATAATCTAGACCTGTTTTCATAATCGCCGGTGTTTGATATGACTACCATATCGATATCCGAGCCAGGGAGATACAAGTCTGTTGCGCTAGATCCAAAAACATGCACTTCTGTCCCAGGCCAGAAAGAGGATATTTCCCTCTTCAATGTATTTACAACGTTATTTCTGGTGACAATTTCAGACCTAGATGGTGAAATATAGCTGACAAAATCCTTCATTTCCATTGTAAGCCAATCAGCTATTTCCTTCTGTGTTGAATGGTCATGATCCTTTAACCAAGGATATAAGGAATTAGGCTCTGATGATGTCTCATTTGCGAGCTCGATGTTTTGTTCCTCATCGTTTTCACTCTCGTTGTCGTCTTCGGAAGACAGAAACCCAAATTGTATAAAATCCTGGTTAGTTGTCAATTCGTTTCCTTCTTCACCAGTGCCTTTGTGCTTTCCCGAATTTTGTCCATTAGCAGTAATAATACCACTTCCATTTGTCTCTTCAACATCACTATCAACTAAAACTACCTCTTTCTCAGGTGATTGTGATCTATTATTGTAATCGAAAATGTAATCTGAATCAGAGTCTTCATCCTGATGAGAAAGTTTGTCAAACTCGTTTTCACGCTTGATGACTCTGGCAGTGGCTATTCCTCCATTCAGCCTCTTATACTTCTTTTGGTTACTTTTGCTACTATCATTCTTATCCCTTTGACGTTTAGTGCCCATTCTTTAGTCGGTACAGCTTCTTTCGGTAAGTGGTTATTTTGTTTAAGAAAAATGATAAACTTTCAACAAAGTTGGTAGCTCTGATTCGATGACTTCAACTAAACTTAAGAGAAGCTGGACATGCAATACAACGAAGAATATCTTACAGACGTATCAAACTACATGCTCTAAATTTAAGCAAAAAGACTCATTCGTTATAATGCTTAGCAACAGCTTGACATGTTTCTCGGGGCAAGCAAACTCCTCAAATCACTTTCATCGCCCATGTTGTCGTAAAATAATTGAATGTATTCGTCCTCAATGCTTTCTACTATCTTTGAAAATAGTTGCGTGATTCCGTCATTGAGCTTGGAGCTTGTCTCATCATATGTACTTATCATCTTGTGCTCTGTCATGAAGTCACGGACTTGTTTGTCCAACACTGTCTTGTCCCCCGAGAATAAATCTACCTTTGTTCCCACAAGCCGTATGTCTATTTTGTTTTCCGACGAAGACGAGTTATTTAGTTCCAACTGCTGTATCCAAAATCTGGCTGTATCTAGTGTCGACTCAATATTATTCGTATCAAAACATACCAACGCCGTCTTTGCGTTTCGGTAATACATGGGGGTAAGCGACCTGTACCGTTCTTGCCCCGCTGTATCCCATATCTCGAGTTTGATTTTTTTGTCTGGCATCTTCGGTGAACAATATACTTTTGTGGTGAATGCTGCACCTATAGTGTTGGATGTCCGGGTGTCAAAGCGGTTAGACGTAAATCTATGCACTAGGGAAGTTTTACCCACCGATGATTCGCCAAGAACTACCACTTTGTAAGGCGGGTACTGCTGGTCTTCTTGGGACATTGTAAATGACCAAATCTTGGGTAAATCTAATGTGGTTGAGAAGGGTATGAGATGGGAGCTGAAGAGTTTCAGCCGGCGTCTGATACAGGTTAGAGGTTGCCAGTAAGAATCGTAAAATAGCACACTTGGGATATTGTGTGAAACAGTGTGGTTGCTCGTTGATGTAGCTGAGTATGCGTGAAGCAAGTATAGTGTGAACAAAGAAACCTTGTATATTATTTGTATTGGACTCTGTTTTGTGTTATCCTTCAGGAATTGTGTCACGTGCCTCAATGTCAAAGTTTTGTGTGATACATTTCGCTTCGCTTCGTTTGTTGTGTGTTACAAGCTTATTTAATTTATTGCCACCGGATAAGCTACAACTTGCTTTGCATATTCATCCCCTCCTAACTATAATTTTGATTCAAAATAGCTAACAAAAGTCGCCCTAAGAAGGTTAGAGCTCCTTACAAGAGCTACAAATCGAGTTCGTTTTTGGCGAATTCCGATGATGATCAAGATGATGAGAAGAAAGAAACCACGATACACGCCACTAATACAAACAGATTTAAGAACGCGATCGATGTACGATCTGTGTACCACATTTCAGGTACGAACAAAATCAAGGGAAAGGTCTGGCCTTTGAGTAAATTTGAGAAGATCGATGTGTTGACCTGTGCTATCAATGGTAGGAACATGGAGTATGCGGTTACAGAAGAACAAGAGCGCCAGGCAGCGGCTATGATTACTTTTCCGGCAGAAATATTCTACAAGATATTTCAAATCCTAGACTCGTGGGGCAAGTTACACCCCAAATTGATGAGAGTGTGCAAGGTATTTTATGCAATGATCTTGCCACTCATTTATCGAGCACCTCACTTACGAGCTACAAATTTTTTCAACTTTGTCGAAACCTTGTCCAATAATAAGAAGCTTGGTAACTATATTTACTCCCTTGACTTGGCATACGTCATACAATCTGGGAAGAATGCCTTTGTTGCTAGGTTGTTGAAGCAGTCGAGGAACAATTTGGAGACGTTTATCGCGCCACAGACCAGTTTTGGTCTAGGCCCGTTGATAGCGTTGAAAAATTCCCAAAGCTTAAAAGTCTTGGATTTGAGACTAGTCTCAGAGACGGTAAATTTGGCACAGCTTTTCCACTCGATTGAAAACTTATCTTCTCTAACCCATCTATCTTTCCCCAGGTCATCCATAGAAATAACTGATCATGAAAAAATCACATGGCCGCCAAGGCTCACATTCTTGAGACTATCGGGTGGGATTAGTGATGAGTTTTTGTACCACTCAAATTTTCCCAAACTGATAACCAACTTGGAGTTTGCCCACTGTCCTGCAATATCAGATCTCGGATTGAAGCAAGTTCTTTACAGAGTTGGTGTACAGTTAACAACACTTAAAGTACAATATCCGATGCCAGCATTAAAACAAAATACGCTAGATGAAGTTTTCTGCTTTTGTCCGCACTTGCGGGTGCTTGAGATCAGCGTGGACTATGTTTCCTCCTTGTTTTTTGACGAGCAATATTTGGGTTATCTAGATTTCCCACGGCCATTACGAACATTGTATATAAACAGTAGCGGGATGCTAGGAACCCTGACACGGCTTGATCCGATGGACTTGGCAGTGGCTCTCGATGATGATAGATTGCCTTTGTTGAAAAATATTCAGTGCACAGCGAAGCTTGGGTGGGACCCAAAGTCTGATTCTGTTGAATTCATAGTAGATAAGTTAGATGAAAGAGGAGGTGGTTTGTATATAGGATATTAATTGAAACTAGAATTAGAATTGGGTAGAAAGAAATGCCAGCATTCATGTTTGGGGAATAGTAGTCCCGAGAAGGCTGGACGCCGTTTATGGTTATTAAACAGAATGAAGTAAGCATGCTTTGCCAGCTTTTTGCCAAAGCCGTTCTTAATACAATATCTCTGCAAATATATAACAACCTTCAATACCTCCTGCATTTAGCCCTTGGACGGAAGTTCCAACTTTGATTTGGTGTACATATAAATAAAGTTCTACATGCATCATTTAACGCGTGTATGGTCGTGCAAATAAAATTCCGAACAACGCGAGTGAAAAGATTTGAGGTCCTTGTAGACCAAGTTTCTATGGCTTTACAGATATTCCTACCTTCTACTAAGGTCAATGACAAAACTTTGGTTGAGGATCTAAACAGTGTCCGATCAAGGCGTGAAGTTTATTTCTACGAGGAGATTCAGGGATATATCGTGTGCAATGAACTGGAACGTAAATCCGATGTCATAACACTAAATGCAAGCGTACACACTCAGGATTCAAACAGGGAAGCAAGTAACCGATCAAACTACATCGAGTCAGATGGCAGTACTAATTTAAAATTGGACCAGACGAACGTTGTATACCAAAATGAAGGAACGAAGGTCTGGATGTTTACTATTCCAAGTGTTCAACCCCCAAGCAAGCGAACATCAGGGCCATATCTATTACTTTCTTGCCGATTTATTGAAGATTCTAATATTGAACCAAATGGAGAGGAAATAATGGAAGATGTTGTGTTGACCGATTACAAACCGGTTGTACAGGATCTCGAAACAGTGAATCGTTCACCCTCGAAAGATTCTCTGGTGGAAGTAGTGACCAAAGAAGTTGAGTTGGAAAAAGATAACATAGCGGAGATCAGCATTCCAATAAGAATGGCGTTGGTGATAAAAATGAAATCAACCAAGCCAGCGGGTAGGAATGGCATGTTATTGGTTGCTTTGACTGTCGAGCGGTCTGAAGAGATGGCCGCAGTAAAAAAGAGTGACGCTGACGTGTTATACTTCAACATCAACTCTTTCGAATTGAGCTCAGATAATGGTATAATATCTCCGATTCATCAACTTTTCCCGTCACTTATGGGTTTCGATGACTCCATCAACATAGTATACAAGTTGGATAACAATGAACAAGCGGGTAGGGAAACGTCAAAGCAGATTTTAATAACAATGAACTCAACCATCCAAAAACGAGTCAATGATAACTACGTTAATTTGAGTAATCCGATTCGAACCAATTGGAGACCATATTTGGATCTAGGGCTAATTGCACCACCGATAAATAATGCATTAAAGACCAACAATAACACTCCGCACCTTCAATCACAGATTAGCAATTCGGTAAATGGCTTAGGTATTCGCCAAAAAGCCATGCTAAACACCATATACAAAATGGAGAGCCCCACATTTTCCAACTTAAACACCAATTCATCTAATAATATTGGAAAGAGAGCTAAATCTTTTGTGACAAGGGAATCATCGTCAGTGACAGTGAATCTATCGACAAATGTCAATTCCTCATTAGCTGGGTTGAGACTTACATTCATCGGAAGGTTGGACATGAAACAAGGAGTAGTGACCCAGTGGAAGATACAAGCTATCAACAACTCCATCAATAGATTAAATTTGTCCTTGCTTGTGCAAAACCCAATCAATTTCAATCCTATTTACAGTAGTGCCGCTTCAAACAACAACTTTTCTTCATCAAATCTTCTCAACAATGATAGCAAACAAAGCAACCAGGATATTCTAATCTACAACAGAGCCCAACTTTACTCATTGTACAATACTTTAAAGGTCAACACTGATGCTGATGGGGTGATCATCTTGAATAATGATATCAGAATTGGACCATTGGAGCCGCAGGCTCTGTTTGAAACCAGCTTGAACTTGATTGGCAATACCAAAGGTATATTTAGTTTGGATGGAATAAAGATATTTGACGTGGCATCTGGTGATGGGTTAGACTTTGGTAAACTTATAGAGGTGTTTGTTGTCTGATAGAAACTATCTTCGTTTATTTTTTTCTTTTTTTTTTTTGCAGCTAAAGTTGGAATGTTTCTAAGCCGATCCCTTTTCTCTTTTGTTCACCTTTCAGGAGCTGAAGCAGCTCGGTGTAGGAAGAATGAACTATATATCCCGATAGTTACACTTAGAAAGATGTGTACCTTTCCCATTCTCCACTACGCAGTTGGTCGCTTATTTCCGCATTTGAAAAGTCGACACGAGGGCGTTTTGTTTTGTGACATTCGCCGTACACATCTAAAGATAGCCACTTGTCTACACGGCACTTCTAATTTTGTCTTTGGATAAAATAGATGTACTTCGCCTTCTTAGTTGGTCTCATTGCATACATTGTTTACAACATTACCACACCAATGACAATTGATTTCGATAAAGTTTTAAAGGAGCAAAAATTTCCTCAATGGAACCAAACCCCGCAAGAGGTCTTACAGCTTGCCAATGAACTTGCAGCAAAAGAAAGAAACTTGTTCGACACTATAGCATCAGTTGAAGATCCTACTGTTGAAAATGTGTTGAATCCTTTCACAACTTTCTTTAATGAAGCTGATTTTCCAAGGAATCAAATTCTGTTTTACCAACACGTATCTACAGACAAGGCTCTTCGCGATGCTTCAACCCAAGCTGAACAAATACTTGACCAGAGTTCAATCGAACAATGGTCCAGGGCCGATGTTTATTCCGTACTCAAATCTTTGAAGGAAAAAAACCCTGACTTGGATCCCGAAAGTGAACGTTATTTGAACAAGACTGTGTTGGAGTTTGAGCGTAATGGATTAGCCCTTCCAGAAGAGAAAAGGGAAAGAGTCAAAAAGTTACAGGTTGAATTGAGCGACTTAAAAGTGAAATTTAACAAAAATTTAGGAGAGGACACTGGTTGCGTTTTGTTTTCCAAAACTGAGTTGGAGGGTGTCCCCGAAGTAATTGTGAAGCAATACGAGGAAGTTGAGAAGGATGGAGAAACCAAACTCAAGGTGACATTCAAATACCCTGATATTATTCCCTTGTTCCAGCATGCGTCAAATGGCGAAACCAGAAAAACTGCCAACATTGCGTTTGGAAACAGATGTCCAGAGAATGAGGCGCTTTTGACCGAGATTATAAAGCTAAGATTTCAAATTGCAAAGGAGTTGGGATACGACACTTTTGCTGATTTTGCTTTGGAAGTAAAAATGGCAAAGACAAAAGATACTGTTTTAACTTTTTTGAACGATTTGAGAGCTAAATTGACACCCGTTGCCGAGTCTGAATTACAAGTATTGAAGGAATTGAAGCTTAAAGATTTAAAGTCTCGTAACTTGCACTCTGAAGGAGATTTTTACTCGTGGGACTTTGGATACTACAATGAAAGATTATTGGAAGAAAAGTATCAAGTTGATAGTTTGAAAATCTCCGAATATTTCCCGTTGCAGAGCACTATTAAGAAAATGTTGGGGTTCTATGAGACTATCATGGATGTGAAATTTGTCAAACTTGATCCTAAACCCACTGAAGTCTGGCACGAGGACGTTGAGATGTATGCTGTGTTTAAGAATATCAAATTTGGAACTTTGGAATACGTGGGAGTAATATATTTTGATTTGCACCCGAGAGAAGGAAAATATGGCCATGCGGCTAATTTTGGTATAGGCCCAGGGTATTTAAATTTTGATGGTACTCGCAAAAATCCTGAAACTATTTTGGTTTGCAATTTTACAAAGCCAACAAAGGCAAGGCCATCATTATTGAAGCACAGTGAAGTTGTTACGTTTTTTCACGAATTGGGCCATGGTATTCACAATATGTTGTCTCAAACCAAGTACGCCAAATTCCATGGTACAAACGTGGAACGCGATTTTGTTGAAGCTCCGTCTCAAATGTTGGAATATTGGGTTTGGTCGAAGAACGAGCTTAAGCTGTTGTCATCTCATTACGAAACTGGCGAGCCAATAAGCGATGACTTGATTGATCAGTTAATCAAAACTAAACATGTCAACACTGGGTTATCAAACTTACGTCAATTGTTCTTTGGATTGTTTGATATGTCAGTTCATACAATTGATAGTCAAGACAAGATTGAGAAATTAGATCTTTTTTCCACGTGGAATACTTTGAGAAGAGAAGTCACCTTACTCCCCGATGGAAATAATCCAACTAAAGGGTATTGTGCATTCGGCCATATCGCTGGAGGATACGAGAGTGGCTATTATGGCTATTTATATTCGCTCGTATTTGCTGCTGATATTTACTACAGCCTTTTTAAGAGCGATCCAATGAATACAGAAAACGGTATTAGATACAGAGATATCATTTTAAAGAGGGGAGGCACCAGGGAAATAATGGACAACTTGGTGGAAGTCTTAGGAAGGAAGCCTACTTCTGAAGCATTCTTGGCTGAAATATTTGGCGAAAAGTCCCATTTATAGAATGTAAAACTATCTAGCATCTATATACACTTCTATGATTATGACTCAAAAACTTGAAGTTTGGCGGTTCCTTCGTCCCAAGAAACTTCCGAGTAAGTGATTTCCTTGATAGCACCAATTATATCCTTAATTGAACCTCTTACTTGTTTCGTTGAATCTCTTTCTCTCAAGGTGACCGATTCGTCATTTACTGATTCGAAATCTATGGTTATACCAAATGGAGTACCTAACTCATCGTTTCTAGCATACCTCTTACCAATTGAAGCAGAAGAGTCATCAACCTTGAACGGAATTTTTTCTTTCTTCAACAAGGCTGATACATTCTTCACAATCGGCTGAAGTTCTGCACTGTTAGACAAGGGCACCAACAACACCTTGGTTGGTGCAACAATTGGTGGAAGAGATAAAACACCTCTATCAGCATCGTCACCTCTTGCCCAGTATTGGTGTTCAAAAACGGAGTAAAGGATACGGCCGATACCAAAGGAGGGCTCAATAACATTTGGAATATACTCTCTGACATGTTCAGTTCTCTTTACTTTGTCGATGCTGATAAGTTCAGAATCCAACTCGACATTACCCTCGATACCTTTAATCTGGACAGAAATTTTGCCATTCTTTTTCAACTCCTCGCCCAAGTCTTCCAATTCACATTGAGTCCTTTCTGTAAGCCACTTTTCGACAACACCAGCATCTTTTCTAAACTTTGGACCAAACTTTTTCTTGGCAATTTCAATCTCAAACTTTTCTACAACACGAGGCTCAGCCAATGGTTGTCTCACAACAAGTTTTTCACCGGTTCTTGCCGAGTGTACAGACAAGTCATATGCCGATCTATCGGCACAACCGACACACTCAATCCATCCGTAGGATGTTTCCAATTCTGCGTCCCAACAGTCAGAGGCGTAATGTGCCATTTCATTTGACATGTGCTGTCTAAATCTCAATCTTGAAGGGTCTGTACCAATCTTGATCAAAAACAAATAAATTCTGGCAATAAAGTATCCCAACGTTTCGTTTTCAACCATGCCTGAGCTTACTGCATCCCCAATAGTTTTCTCAATAAGTTCGCTAGATCCAGACTCCTGAACGCCTTTGGGCAAAAATTTCAACTTCAAGTCCTTGATGGTGTCAAACTTGGCGTGTGATTTGTCCTCTGGATCAACATAGTGTTCAATTTCAGCCATCAAGAACTCACGGACTCTCAATAAACCTGCTCTTGGGGCAATTTCATTACGGAAAGACTTTCCAATTGAAGCTGAAGCAAAAGGCATTTTGTCGTTGTTGAATTCCAATAACTTGTTGAAGTTTAAAAATTGACCTTGTGCAGTCTCTGGCCTCAAATATGCTTTCAAATTTCCAGATGGTCCGATTGCGGTATCAAACATCAAGTTGAAAGCCACTGGAGGTTCCAATTTACCTCCAGTTCCAGGGTTGGTTATTTCATACTTAGTAATCAACTCTCCCAACTCCGGGCCAGAGTATCCATCAATTTGGGCAAGGACATTCTCATATTCTTCAACAACGTTATCATCCAATTTCACGTGTTTGATTTCCTTGACCTTCTTTTTTCTCTTTTTCTTGTTCTCGTCATCTTCCTCATCTTTGATGTTTTCACCTCTTGCTAATTTGTCCCCCTTCAATCTAGCTTCCAATACTTCTTCAACCAAGTGGTCTGCTCTGAAAATTTCACCACTTTTCAAGTCTTTACACATCCAATCAGAAAATCTATCCACATGACCGGAAGTCTTGAAAACTTCATATGGGGTCAACATGGTTGCCTCCACTTCTAACATATCCTCCTCCAAGATAAAGTGCTTTCTCCATGCATCAATTATGTTATTCTGGAAAGCACATCCTGGTGGGCCAAAATCGAACAATCCTGCAACACCTCCGTAGATTTCAAATGAAGGTGCGTAAAAAAATCTTCTTTTTAATAACTGTTCCAAGGATTCTCTGGAAAAGGGAACATTTGACTCTTTAGCACCTGCCATTCTCGACACTCTTGATATATTTCTAATAAAATTTAAAGGTCTTATTTTGATCTTTGGCCAAGTTTTATGACTAACAAAGAAAGTGGCAGCATTTTTTTTTTTCTTCCATTTTTTTTTTTTCAAATCCATTTCGTTTGAAGTTTTAGTGCCGGCTACACGACATTGAGTTGAGGAGGTGTCCATAGGAAATTGATTACAATTAATAGCAAATCCCTTTAAATTAGTCAATTGAATGACTAAAAACTACCAGAAGTAACGTGATACTTCATTAGTAGATTACGAAAGCACCTCACATCTCTTACCTCTCGTATAACTTCAGCCAAAGTAATGTGCTAACAATGAAGCTCTGGAAAAAAAAAAATTCAGGTGAAAAATTTCGGCTTCCATCTGGCATCCTCCTATTAACTAGATTATAAAATAATACAACATGCCTATGCGTTTAAGAGCAGAAAAGCGTATGAGAAAGTTGCTTCTCGAGCAACTCAAGGAACGTCAGCAGCATGGTGCTAGGATTGCCCAGGGTCATAAAACTAAAGAAGACTTGGTGAAGTTAAATTTGGGACCTCAAGTATTTGTTTTTAAAAACTTATTCAGTGGACAGATATTGTATTCACAGGTGCCAGCTTACCATCAGGAGCAGATAGATGCCCAGTTTATCAATCCAAATTGGCAAAATAGAAAGCCATCGAGAAGACAGGATTTGTGGAAAATAATGTGTGTTGCAAACTTTGACAAATATGAATACGCAACTGCAGCCTACCAGGGATTACTAGATCTCAGAAAGGCTAGGGATGTTTCTCAAAAGAAAATGTCCAACGAGTTGAGGAGAAAGAATGATGACGGTAATGTGTGGTTTTCAGGACAGTATAGACCAACGTATTCACAAGAAGCAGTAGCAGATTTAGCACATGTTATTGATGAATTCGATTTAGAGAAAACAAAGTTATTTTGGGAGAATGAATGGAGAAGAGGCGATGATAAATTCTGGAGAGCTGACTTGGTGCAACATGATAAATTGCCTACTTTCAATCTCAAACATCAGACTGTATTGTTGGACGTCATGAGGGCCAAGGCAGTTGAGGCTTTCGCTGAGGAGAGGGCAGCGGAGCAAGAGAATCTGCAAGGTGAAGAAAGTTCAGAAGCAGCAATTGCTTGAGGTAAGACCGTAGCATGTAAATAGACAAATGTGACATCAAAGGGAAATAGAAGAGTTGTGGCCATTGTAGAATCTTCTCTCTTGTTTTTTGTCAAAAGATTTACCTCTTTAGGGTCGGTCACGTGAGCCGGCTTCAGTACTCCGCTTACAAAAAGAGTAACCCTAAACTGTGGCAAAAATTAAAAGAGGAGCCTGTCTGGTTCTCAGTTTAGTATATCTCATAACCACAAAAAATTAGCTGAATAACACCACTTTTGTACATGTCTCCACTTCGCCTATCACTTGTGTGAAGCTCCACACATATGTTTTGGTAAATTGTTAATCTTTCATCACAAAACGATCATCGGGCCACAATTTTTTTTCCAATGACCGCCACACTTTGAAAATCCACAATAGGCCGCTTTCTCTGCCGCTTGAGGAAAAAAATTAAAAATAAAGAGAAAAGAGAAAAGAGAAAAGAGAAAAGAGAAAAGAGAAAAGAGAAAAGAGAAAAGAAAGGGAAAATTTTTGCCAAACTCTTACATGTAAGAACCACTTTGTCAAGGAGTAATGGATTTTTGTTACAACAAGCTGATGGGGAACGGTGCCATTGCTAGTAAGTTCAAGTTGACCAACAAGGTTCAGTTGAACCAGTCAAACATTAGAACACCGATTGTCCCTAAGAGAAGCCTTGAAGACGTCGAAACTACTACTACCGTTCCCGAAAGCACAACTGAAACTGACATTAAAGATGCCGATTCCACTTCCGAAAACAGTGAAAGCTCTACAACTCATCATCCCAGCAACTGTAATCGCTGCTACAGATTAAAGAAAAAGTGCACGCGAACATACCCCAAATGCTCGCATTGTGAGAGAACTGGTTCACAGTGTGAATATGTCGATAGGAGCAAAAAGAGAAAGAAATCGTCCGAGATTTTAACACAGCTGAGCAAGGCAGATGGCCAGCTCATTCATATTGCGAGTGCTGATTCGACGCAAGCTGGAGTCGTTGCTCATAAATTGATCTCTGTGTCGTCATTGCTTGTTCCAGATCAAAGTGACGATCAGATCAAAAATAGAGAAAAATCAAAACATAAAAGAGTAGCAACAGCTGCTTTAGCCTCATCAGCTCGCCGTGCACAAGATAAGGATAGGGAACATGTGGATAAACTCAACTTCAAAACCACTCAACATCCAACAGTTTCCAACATCCAGGAGGAGTTCATAACGATGACAGAAATTAAAGAGGAAAGATTGCCATTGGCTTTTGCCCTAAATTATTTCAATAATTTTGGTCACAAGTACCCCTTCATCAATAGAGATGAATTTTTAAGCAAGTTGGAGAAGATTGATTTCACAAGAGATTCCATCGTGAATTTGGATGTCTACTTGCTTTTGAGTATTGGATGCATTTTATATGATGCCAAGTGTCAAACTACACACTATTCGAAGTACTTCAAAACGAAAAGTATCTACAGTATCATTGATGTTTTAGACTTGTCATTTGCTACTTACAACGAGGATAGTATGCATTTTTTGTTGCTATTGTCGATTTACGGTCTAACATCTTTGAATACCAATTTGGTTTGGAATTTGATCAGCTTATTAAATAGAGCAATCTCGAAGTTTGATTTGTTCAAAAAACTCGACAACATACTGATTGAGCGAGTTTTTTGGTCTGTTCATAATTTGGACAAGGAGATTAGTATTGTTGCTATCAAGCCCTCACTGTTCCCAAAGTATACGTATATCACCAAGAAAGATATAAACACAGCCCTTTATGAGGAAGAGAACTTGTCGCTTGTGAACCACTACATTGCACTTGGCAAGATACAGGATTCCTTGGTCGATGCTGTTTTAACACATTCAAGTGAAGATCTTGCTCAAATATCTCGCGATATAGGGTCTTGGGTGTCGAGCTTTACCAAAGACATCAGCTTGAAATATGTTTCTCAGCCAGATTTGCAGGAATTCATTCCATGGGCACATATTCAGAGCTATTTTTTACAAACTGTTATGGATCAGGTATCTCCAACAAAGAGTTTACAATTCCCGTCCAATTTCATTTTCCATTCCTTCACATCATTGATTTCTGCGTCTGATAAGTCGCTAGCGGCAAATAATAAGCACAATATCAAAGTAGCGATAGTGGCTTCTGGCATCTGGTATGCTCAGCTTTTTGACGTTATAAAGTGCAGCACCGACTCGTTAACGCATTTTTTGGCATTGGATGATTCAGAAAAATGTTCTAGAGTAAGAGAATTTAATGAGATTTTACAGCAGGATTTGAATTTATTAAAGTATATACGGGGCTACCAATCTTTGCTTAGCATTGAGGGGTACCAAATTTTGTCTAATAGGATTAATGAGACGATTGAGAAGTTGGAACACTTGAGTATGGTGTTGCTAGGGTTTGATGAAGACGCTGATATTTCAGGAGTATTGAGCATCCTTGAGGATGTAAGGCAAAAGGTACAACTTTCTTTCTAACGTGTATTGTATTTGTATATTGTGGAAATTTTTGTATGTGTAATATAAAATTTGCCGAAGTTTCAGCATTTTGTGATCAAAGCTTTTTTTGCGTCCAAATTAAGCAAAACAGGCACTTGCTGAATTTCCCGGGAATTGTCTCCGGCTAATCAAAGGACAAAACTATATTTCGAAGAGAACAAAGAAAGAAAAGCTTTTGAGTTTCTGTTTCAACAAAGACATCGCATTTAGTTTCCATTACGCTTCTAAAGCTTTACTCATAAAAAACATCTAACGTGCTGTGACATGTCTCTTCAACCCTTCTCTAAGCGGTTGTTTACGACCACGTTGAGAAGAAGTCAAATCATAGCTTCCAAGATAAAATCGGATGAAATAAACACAGATAAAATTTTCCAGCGCCAGTATCGTGTCATTGACCATGAGTATGACTGTGTTGTTGTTGGTGCTGGTGGAGCAGGTCTTCGGGCTGCATTTGGCTTAGCCGAGGCCGGATTCAAGACTGCTTGCATATCGAAGCTTTTTCCTACTAGATCACACACGGTTGCAGCACAAGGAGGTATTAACGCAGCTTTAGGAAATATGCATCCTGATGACTGGCATTGGCACATGTATGATACAGTCAAGGGATCAGATTGGTTGGGAGATCAAGATGCTATCCATTACATGACTAGAGAAGCACCGGCATCAATCTATGAGTTGGAACATTATGGTGTACCGTTTTCAAGGAATGACAAGGGTAGAATCTATCAGAGAGCTTTTGGAGGTCAAACTAAGGAGTATGGTAAAGGGGGTCAGGCTTATAGGACATGCGCAGTTGCAGACCGTACCGGCCATGCATTGTTGCACTCTCTCTATGGGCAATCTTTGAGACACGATTGCCATTTTTATATCGAATTTTTTGCAATGGACTTGTTGATGCAGGATGGTGAGTGTGTGGGTGTGATTGCTTACAATGAAGAGGACGGTACTTTGCATAGATTCAGAGCCCATAAAACTATTATCGCCACAGGTGGATATGGACGGGCATATTTTTCATGTACTTCGGCACATACTTGTACTGGTGATGGTTATGCAATGGTTTCACGTGCTGGTTTACCATTGGAGGATTTGGAGTTTATTCAATTTCATCCATCAGGGATATACGGCTCGGGATGTCTTATTACCGAAGGAGCAAGAGGCGAAGGTGGGTTCTTGATCAATTCTGAAGGTGAACGTTTTATGGAACGTTACGCCCCCTCGGCAAAGGATTTGGCGTGTAGGGATGTTGTATCTCGTGCGATTACTATGGAGATCAACGAGGGCAGAGGGGTTGGACCAGAAAAAGATCACATGTACTTGCAATTGTCTCACATCCCAGCCGCTGTTTTGAAGGAAAGATTGCCAGGTATCTCTGAAACTGCTCACATTTTTGCCGGTGTTGATGTTACCAAGGAACCAATTCCCATTTTGCCCACTGTTCATTATAACATGGGAGGCATACCAACTAATTGGAAAGGTGAAGTCATCACAAAGGACAAAGATGGTAAAGATAAAGTTGTTCCAGGGTTGCTTGCTTGTGGAGAGGCTGCATGTGCATCAGTGCATGGGGCCAACAGGCTAGGAGCAAACTCATTATTAGACTTGGTTGTTTTCGGTAGGGCTGTGTCTCATACAATAAGAGACGCATTAATACCAAACACTCCGTTAAAGCCTATGGACGCCACATTGGGTAAAGAGTCAATTGAGAATTTGCACAAATTGCGTACTGCCAACGGCACTAAATCAACGGCGGAAATTAGATTGGATATGCAGAAAACTATGCAAAAGGGATGTGCTGTTTTTAGAATGCAGGACACATTGGATACTTGTGTCAAGCACATCAATGAAGTTGATAAAGACTTTGCCAACGTAAGAACAACTGATCGTTCGATGATTTGGAACAGTGACATGGTGGAAACTTTGGAATTGCAAAACTTGCTTACTTGTGCCACTCAAACTGCAGCAGCTGCTGCAGCCAGGAAAGAATCGAGAGGTGCGCATGCAAGAGAGGATTATCCTGATAGGGATGACGTTAATTGGTGGAAGCATACATTGACTTGGCAGCTGAATTTTGGTGCCGAAGTGAAACTTGACTACAGAGATGTAATCAAGCACACTTTGGATGAGAATGAGTGTAAGCCTGTGCCACCGACTGTAAGAGCATATTAGATAGAAGTAATTTTGCGCTACCGTTTATACACGAATCAAAGAAAAAAAATTGTATTCAACAGAGACTTTTAATATTGCCACTGAAAACTGTTAATCGAACTCCTTTTCTTACTGAAACGTCTACAAACAAATGCCACCAAAAGCCGATTGGGATAAATATGTTGCTCCTGCAGAGGACGAGGAGAAACAACAAGAAAAGATTGTGCCATTATCAGAAAGTGATATCCAAGTGTTGAAGACATACGGAGCAGCACCATATGCCTCGACTATAAAGCAAATTGAAAAAGACTTGAAAGATGTAGAAGAAAGAATAAAGGAAAACATTGGTATAAAAGAAAGTGATACTGGATTAGCACCAACCCATCTTTGGGATGTATTGGGAGACAAACAACGGATGCAAGAGGAACAGTCCTTGCAAGTTGCCAGATGTACAAAGATTATAGAACCGGTGCAGCAAGTGGTAACTACTCCAGGCTTGCAGAATGCCGATACCAGATCGAAATATGTCATAAATATTAAGCAAATTGCCAAGTTTGTAGTTGGTTTGGGAGAAAGAGTATCGCCTACAGATATTGAAGAGGGAATGAGAGTTGGTGTTGATAGACACAAGTACGAGATTCAATTGCCACTACCACCAAGGATTGATCCTTCAGTTACTATGATGACAGTTGAGGAAAAACCTGATGTGACTTATAGTGACGTTGGTGGATGTAAGGAACAGATTGAGAAATTGAGAGAGGTTGTTGAGTTGCCATTGTTGAGTCCTGAACGGTTTGTCAAGTTGGGAATTGATCCCCCAAAAGGTATATTACTATATGGACCACCAGGTACCGGTAAGACGTTGTGTGCAAGAGCTGTAGCGAACAGAACTGATGCCACATTTATCAGAGTCATTGGATCAGAATTGGTTCAAAAATATGTGGGTGAAGGTGCCAGAATGGTGAGAGAATTGTTTGAAATGGCTAGAACTAAGAAGGCTTGTATAATATTCTTTGACGAAGTTGACGCAATTGGAGGTGCTAGATTCGATGATGGTGCTGGTGGTGACAATGAAGTGCAAAGAACTATGTTGGAGTTGATCACCCAATTGGATGGGTTTGACCCAAGAGGTAATATCAAGGTGATGTTTGCCACTAATAGACCTAATACCTTGGATCCTGCATTGTTGAGACCAGGAAGAATAGATCGTAAGGTTGAATTTTCGTTACCTGATTTGGAAGGACGTGCCAACATTTTCCGAATCCATTCGAAAACCATGAGTTGTGAAAAGGATATCAGATGGGAGCTAATATCAAGATTATGTCCTAATGCTACTGGTGCTGAGTTGAGATCTGTTTGTACAGAAGCGGGTATGTTTGCCATCAGAGCTAGAAGAAAAGTTGCCAACGAAAAAGATTTCCTAAAGGCAGTTGACAAGGTTATCAAGGGTAACTTAAAATTCAGTTCAACAAGTGAGTATATGCAATATAACTAAGAGCAATACAGGATAAATGAGTTTTTCTTTTTACATTTTCTTTTCCTAGCTACGATTTCTATTTTAATCCCACCATGTAACACATCCTAGACCAGATAGTTGACAAGAGGCAATTATACTGTATGGTGGTAATTTATTAACTTGTTCTTCAACTCCAATTGCTTCATTTGAACTTTTCGGCTTTACATTGTAAAATACTTCTTTTTCCACTTTGAATCGAATTTTTTCATCAACATCAATAAACAATTCCGTACCGGCTGAATTCCACACCCAAGCCTGTTCATTTTCTCTAAACTCACAATCTTCAAATAGGTAATCGGAAGGTATCCAAATATCATCGAAAAACTCTAATCTTACTTTGATCCCAGTTACTTTACATTCGGTTACCCATCCCGTTAATACTTCCCCTACAAATGGTTTGAACACAATGCATCTAAATCTCACTTCAACATATGATCCACCATCTCCCGGTTTTAGTAGTCCATCTTTAATATCGAGTAGATCCCATATGGTGATAACCACGCCTAGCTTGGGTACAACTTTGTTGGCATATTTCTTATTGAGTTCATCGGTGATTGCGTGCTGGATTGGGATGTTGAATGTATGAGGTGGAATCCGTATTAGATCATTAATTTCCGATAGTATAAACATGGGGAGAATGGCTTTTAGTGGTAAACGGTGGACGGTGGACGGTAGACGGTGGCCGTGGAAGTGGCAGTGGCGGTGGCGGTGATGCTGATGCTAATGCTTTTGTTGATCTCTTCTGATGAGCTTTCAAAGCGATGGAAAGAGAAGCAAAAAAAAAAAAAAAGAAAGTTCGTTTGAATGTGGGTTTTTACAGTTGTCATACAAACCATGGCACCGAAAACAGGTACAGCTTACAAGGTTAATAAACTGCAAGTGAATATATTAGATGGAAAACACATTAGTGCCAAAAAGGCAGCAAGCTATTTGCATTCTGTTCGACAACAGCATCAGCAGCAGCAGCATCAGCAGCAGCATCAACCAACGAAAAATCCAACTAGCAACATCTCTTCAACTAATGGTATAACATCCACACCGGAGCCATCTTGGAACCCCAAACATTTTCGGTTATTCGTAGGCAATTTGGGTCCCGATGCAAATGACGACCTTTTACGTGGAGCATTTCGTAAATACAGCAGTATGAGTAATGTGCATGTGCCAATGGATAAACAAGCAAGAAAACCAAGAGGGTATGGTTTTGTTGCTTTTGCCAATGCAGATGACTATTTGCAAGCGTTTAAAGATATGAATGGAAAGTACATTGGGCAGTACCCTGTGCAGTTGAAACGGGCAGAATCAAGTGTTCCAAAAAAACACAAAAATAAATCGAAACGATAAATGAGGGAAAAAAAAAAAACTCTGAAGATGAAAAAAAAAGTCCAGATTTTACTGAGCTCACAGGCTTTAATTTGACATCGATCACTCGAGCCATGTATCGCGTAGGGTTTAGGAATTTACATGTAGGGGTCAGCCCTATAACATCCGTTGCCATACGAAGCCGTTTTGTTCCATTGTCATTCACTAGATTCAAATCAAATCTACCCCAGTCAAACTCATCAAGTAATAAGAACAATGTAAACAAGAATGGTGCACACGTACCTGCCAATCCCACTGCTGGGAAACAGTTACCATCCAAAAGTGAATGGGAAAATTTAAAACTTCATATACCGGGTGAACAAACACAAACCAATACCGTCAAGGATCGTGTACCAAAATTCCCTCTTGGTAAAGAAAATGTACCCACGTTGTTGCCTCGACCTGGTGTACCCCAGGTAGGGAAACATTATACTTTCAAACAAGTTATTAAAATCCTACAGAACAAGAAACAACCGGAACTTATTTATGAAAGTGAACCCCATCGATTATACTTTTTAATGTGTTTTTGTTTATCAATCATGTTTACCATTTATGCATGTGTTTTATTTGAATGGGCATTTTGGATATCACGTAAAGAATACGATGAGAATGAAAAGGAGGAGACTAATGAGGCTTTAAGGAATAGGGATTGGGCTCTTTCATTGGCAATGTATTTAATTCCATCCATTACCATGTTTATTGCTGCTGCTGGCGCTGCTGTATTCCCTACTAAATTAGTAAGAAGAATGTGGTATTTACCGGGTCCCAAAGAATATATCAAATTTACCTCGCATCCGTTGATTCCTGGTAGACCAACTCCAGTGTATACGGTACCATTGGAGAACTTGAGTCGTCGTAAAACTGCTCGTGTTTGGACGGGTAAAGGTTTCTATGGAACTTCAGACAAGGGGTTTTTCTTTTTTGTATTACGAGAAAAGATTTCTCCGTTGAAGCTGAAGAGTTGGATTATTGATAGAAAGGGATTTTTCTGGTCTGATGGTCGAGTATTTGATTATTTGTTTGGTAAGGAATCAATTCAAGAAGCAGAAGCTGGTGTGCCTTACGATGAACAAGTTGGTATAATCAATCGTGAAGTGAAGAAGAAGAAGGAGAAATTGAGACAACAACATGGTTTGTTATGGAGATATAAGTTGATGTTGGGTGAAATGAAGCTGGATGTGGGTAAAGTCGGTGGGTTCTTGAGCGGGGGTAACAAAACAAATACCACTGAACGTAAGCAATTGCCTAAGAAATGAGGTTGAGGAATGGTGTATATGTACATATATTGTAAATAGAATTTGTCAATGATAGAGTAAAACATCACCACATGGCTGCAATTGGTAGATAAACACACCGACAAAAAAGTTCATATCGGGGTTTTTTACAGTCAACTGTATAATAGCAAGGAGGGAAGTGTGCCTGATGGCAAGCTATACATTTACAAAAGTTAAGGTGTCACTATATTCGTTCTTATCTTATTGAGACCAAAAAAAAAAGAATAAAAATAAAAAAAATGCTTATTTAGTTTATAATATGATAACTGTTGTAAATGCATTGCGTGTAAAATTTATTTGCTGTGATGTAAAAATTAACATTCTTCTATTTAGATTTGTATGTAGGATTCAAAACTTCCCCTCGTATTTGGGTCAGTCAGTAATTCAGACAATCCTATAGATATTATTTTCTTTAACTACATAGTCAGTTCTGTTTCATTGGAGTATTCTGAATATCTACAATAGCAATCAGTTAGAACGCAGTGTTGGTTGCTAGGTGGGTATTCCTATAAAGGTAGTGTATAAATGTATATAAAAGTGAATTTAATGCGTGTATGCGTGTCTAAAAAAAATAAAGATTATAAAATAACAAATACAATAGGAAATGTGTAATTTTGTGTGATATGTACAGTACTATACATTAACAATAAAAATATAAGATGAAATTTTAATTTTTATTTCAACAACAAACAACAAGCAGAAAAGAAAAAAAACGGACAGACAAAAAAATAATTCAAAATCCAAACCTTACCACTTTCTCTTACTTTCTTTTTTTTACCAACTGTATTTTTTTTTGATATATTTGCCACCCATATTACTAAAACTAGTGGAAATAGATTGTGATTTATCCAAAAGTCCTTTCTTTAGTAACTTAGTTTTAAACAGATACCAAAAGAGATAGAGAGATAGAAAGCAATTGGCAATATACAATTATATTAGGCCGAACGGAGTTTGACTTGAATTTTGTTTTCTTTTTTTTTTTGTCCCCTCCTCCTTCCTTCCTTCGTCATATTTTTCATTGTGTCTGTTTTCTTTTTCCATAGCACATATACATATACACACATACGCTACTAGTCAATAGTCACACATATACAAAGACCAGACTTAAGTAGAAAGAAGAACAAGAAGGATAACTAATCAACCTCCCAAAGAAAAAAGAACACAATAGGGATAGAGATATCATGGTATCTGCAGCTACGTTGAAAGAACGTAGTATAACTACATCATCATCATCATCATCATCATCGCCACCCACTACTACTCATACCAAGAGAAAGGTGAATGAGTTGGGAGACATTTCTAATACTCCCAATAAACAACAGAAACAACAATATACCCCTCATCGCCGCCACAACAATAATAACAGCTCCTGGAAGCGTCGACAGCGACAACTACAACAACAACAACAACTGGTAAACCATACGAAATATATAGATGGCAATGATGTCACTACACCCAAGAGCACTAGTTTAACTACTAGTACTTCTGACAAGCCAATCACCAGACTGAATCTGAGACACCAACTATTACTACAAGAAATGCAAAATGAGGAGCCAGAAGATGAACAGCAACAAGAACGTCCTTTGTTAAAGTGCAAGGTCAACCGTCAACTGCATTCGTCTGGTAACCAAGAAAACTATACTCATCGAGTAGAACATCGTCAAACGTCACCATCACCAACTGACATTTCCTCACCACCAGCTATGAACCAAGAAGAAGAGTATATGTTGCAGGAAATAACCAAGAATTCGCAATACTTTGATCCGTCGATTTCAAATGATCTTGGCAATGGTCATGCTGATCAAAACCAAGACCAGCAATCTTATCAACATAGGCGTTGCAAGTCAGTTACCTTTAGACTTCCTCATGATGAAGAAAAAGGGTTTGAAAACTCACCATTGTTGACACCAAAGAATGATGATAGTGACTTGGAAGAGGAAATATTGGCTAGACATAAACAACAATTGCACATGCAAAAGGAACAAGACTTGGCATCTGTATATCCTTCGACACCTCCTGAATCTTTTCAACATGACAACGACGAGGAGGACGGGGTTGAAACATCGCCTGTTGAACAAGTATTTTCACCACAATCACAATCACAATCACAATCACAATCAATAGCTCTGGAAGCTAAACCTGAAGTACAACCACAAGAACAACAGCTGTCTGATGTGTTGGCTAACAATGCTGACTATATTTCTCTTTCATCCACTTTGCAACTTATCCAAAATCAACGTGATCAAATTGAGCAAGAAATTGTCCAGTTGTCACAACTCAAGACTCAAATCAATACCTCATCAAGGGAAGAGACCATTGGGTTTGTTACTAAGTTATTACAAGGTGGAGACCAATTGGGGTTGCCTAAACCAACACCAGTTGTGACTTGTCCATATATTCAATGGGAGAAATATCATCCTACGTTGGCTAATGTATCGCATGATTTACAAATGGAATCAAATAAGTCAAACAAGAATGATTCTCCTTTCAAGTTTGTCATTTAGTAATCAGATCTTTTGTAATAGATTTGATTCTTGTGTTTTTTTTTTTCTTTCAATCTTGCATGTTGTATCTAGAGTTTATAAGAACTAACTAAAATAAAGCAAAACAAAAGAGTAAAACAGCATCATTTGCGTAGTCGTAGAGTATTGGACTACTTCTAATCTGTTGAAGCTACGATGTGAATGATCTACACCTTTGCTTCTCCCCTCAACACAATTCTTCTCGCTCTCCTAGTTACACTAATTTCCAGATTATCCCTATACAAAAAAAGTAAACAATAGTCCTAAACAAAAATAAGCAGCTTTCCTACGATAATACATGTGTAACTTCGATCAACCACTTTTCACCAAATTACTATTCTCGTCATCATCATCACTGTCATCAACCAGAAAAGCATTATTAGTAGCTTGTGAAGATGCACCAGCACCCACAGTTTTATTGCCACCAGTTCTAGTTTCCCCGGTACTATGCCCCTTTCTCGAATCATCTTGTACATCGCTTGACATTCTTGGACGACGAGGCAAGTTTGGGGTGGTTTCTGGATCATCTTCTTCCTCCTCACCCTTTGCATCACCTCCTTTCTTTGTCTCAGCACCACCTTTGCTCCTCTTATCTTCATTCAGTTTCAAACTATCTTTATCGTTAATGGTAATTTGATCCTTGAAATCACCAGTAATTATCTCGGGATCTTCATCAAATCGAGTACGGTTTTTCTTGTTTTTCCAATCATCATAGTATCGACCACCGCCCAAATTACCAAAATTGTTTCCTCCATCACGATGAGACTTGCTACCAAATTGTTGGCGTGGGGGTGGACGTTGCGAACGTCTTTCGTAATCATCGTTGTCGGCACGGTCATAATCGGAATCTTTACTGACGCTTCCTCCAGTATTGTCAAATTTCTTGGCAAGACCAGAAACCCATCCATTGATTGTAGTCCTTGCTTCTTCCAAGCCTTGGGAGAATGTTTCCTTTATGGTGTCAAAGTCATCGGGTGAATCGTCATCGTAATACTCTGCATCATCATCGCCATTGCGTTGACGGCGTTCGTGACTTGGACGCAATCCAGCAGCATTTCCTGCTCCTGCTTCACGACTACCTTTTTTACCATGGTAATGTCTTTGTCTTGCTTTCTCCTCGCGTCTGCGTCTTTGCCTTTCATCCTCCAATTCAAATTCTTTTTGCAATTTACGGGCCAATATCTCATCATCAGTAAATGTGTGTGAAGTATCACTTGGAGCTCTACTTCTGACAACTCCACTTCCAAATGCAGCACGAGGATTAGTCGTTGGCTGATGTTGGGGGTAGACTGGAATATCGGGTTTGAACGTAGGGTCAGATAAATAGAGCAATGCTCCAAATGCCGGTTCAGGATTACCTTGTGATGCAATAAGCACAGCCGTGATTAATTTATCTTCAGTTTGTGGGAATGCATCTTTTAAATCTTGGACAATTTGTTCTACCGGGTCGGTTGGCCTCTTTGGAGGTACCGGTGGTGCCGACTCTTCAGACTTTGTTTCTGTCAGTTGTGCCTTTTCGGTCGATTGGGGTTGCTTGTCAGATGAATCTTTGGCAGTAGTGGTTGCAACATCCTCCGCCTTCTTCTCGGTGGAATCCTTCTTTTCATCATTATCATCAGCGAGTGGAACATCCTCAATAGGTGCTTCCTTTTCACTGTCTTTGGACTTATCAATTGATTCCTTTTTTGTTGCTTCGCTAACTCCACTATCCTTACTCTCCTTCTTTTCCACCTTTGAATCACTAATTGAATCCAATGGTTCAGCAGAAACTGCTTTCAAGTCATCTTTCTTACCTTTGGCCATTGTTTATGAATCACTCGGATTATGATTAGGTCTGGTGTTCTAATTTTATTGGTCCTTTGACTTTGCCCTTTGGCATAAGTTTTTATCTCTTATATTTTTTTTTTGTGGCGTGGAGTTTCGACGTACCGAGAGTGCGCATTCAATAATGCAAAGGTTACATTTTTCTAAAGGCTGATATCTTGTTTAATGTTTGCAATTGCTAAAGATCAGGAGTCAGGAAGATAGGATTGTTGCAAAGAAAGTCAGCAAGCAATATGAAAGTACTGAATTGAGAGCGCTAGGATGACGGGAAGGGATGATTCAATTTCAACATTGATTTCTAGTACACACTTGATTCTGACGCTACAAACAGAGGAAACAAATAGGAGAAAAGTTTGCTTTCTTCAATTACAGCTTAGCAGTAACTTAAATTAGATGTAGAGTGTCTTTATGTGATAAAATACTCACTGTGCTGTTGTTGATCGGTGGTTGCAAATCCGGTGAATAAAACTTGGTCCACAATACACGCCCTACTACCAAAAAAAAACTTTCCTTCTCATTCATCTTGCAAATCAAAAATTTTTTTATTCGCTCTGCCACTTTCTTTTTGATGGGTTTTCCCTTCTTTGATAGTATTTATTTTAAATAACTCCGACAATAGCTAGAGCTTTATATTTGTAAAAATATACCAAAGATGAATATAGAGTGTGGACAGCGGAGGAATATCAAAGAGAAGGTGGGAAACTACCTTTGAAGGATCTGTTTTAATGAATTGAATTTGAAGTTCCACTGGGTTCAAATTGTCATCCTTTTCATTGCAGACTCACAATTGTTTTCAAAGTAAAAGAACGTAGTTCATTGTAGATATTAGAGGAATACGATCTTGTGAACAAGGGTTCCTATTTTGTTTATTAAATCTATGATACAAATTATTCAACACACCGTTCTCTTGCATGGACCCACTTGTGCCCTGGCTAAGAAAGGCACATCCACCGTGAAAGAAGATATTGAATCAAGCATTAGAAACGATCTTCTACCCCCATGCATTACCACATTTTCAACCTTACGACGATGCAGAAGCCAACTCTTCTCTTCTTTGCTCCTTCACTTGTTGCAACTCTTTTCTTCTTCTAATCAAGTCCAAATTTTCACACTCTTCCCATGAATGTTTATCATGCTTACAGCTGACGGAGGAGTTGGCCGATTGCCTAATTAAACATGTTTGATACAATGCAAAATAAGCAGCACATCTATCTCTCCATTTTAATGGAACTTTATATTTTTGGCAATCATCTTCGGAGACTAAAAAGGACCAAATAGTTAGTAACGTGTATGGACTAAGCCGTGCTCTGCAGAAAAGTACATACGAAGCGGTGGGAACTGGGTTACTGACATTTGTGTGTATATTTGATATGAATAGGTGTAGATGATTGACTTGGGACAAGCTAACTTTGTTTTCAAAGTTTGTTAGAGGATTGGTAGTGTAAGTTTGGATAAAAAGATTTGATGTAAGAGGACCAATAAAATTTGTTGCATAGTCATTCGTTATATACAGGTTGCAAAGTTTTCAAAGGAAGTAGACGATTGCCAAATCTTGTCCACTGGTTCAGTTAGATGAGAGCTGAGACAAAGAAGGTTCAATGGGGGTTCTACTGCTTTTGTTAGAACTACCGTAGTTGCCGAATAACCAGAGCAGCAACACTATTCCAAACCTGAGTTCTTCAAATCTTTTCATTTAAATAATGTACATTAAAGCATTTATATGACAAAGCCGTCAGTTTCACCTAGATAAGTTCCAACTATTACATCTCTCAATACCTATTGGTGTAGTTAACCACCTAACAATTCTGCAAACAAATGCTCTTCTCCAACTTCACTACCTCTGACAAGGGAGCTTTTTCCCGAGGAACATGCTCTTCAGCAGCTCATTCCTTTTCTATATTTTTGAAGCGCCAGGAAACTAACTGTATCTAGTGTTGGTGTTCTTTAATATAGCTGTCCAATCTTCCTTTCAACAAAAAGTATTGACACTTGTAAAACTCATCCTTGGTCTTGTTGCAGAACGAAGTGCCTTTATCAAGACACTTGTAATATTCAATCAAGTTTGAAGCACATTTGTCTCTGTAATAAAATGGAACATTATGGTCATCTAACTCTTGTTGAGAAGCTAAAACATTGAAGTCATTTGTTAGTATTATGTAGCTCTATAAACGAAAACAGATGCAGCTCTGCAAAAGCTGAAAAGGTTAGGTTTAACATACGTATGGACGATGGAAATGTGTAACTTTCTGATGATCCCATTGTTTTAATATGTGCAGTCAAAGACGGATGGTTGATGCACCAGACTTTGAGAAGCTGTGATAAATTTTGGATTAACGAAATTTTTGTTTGTGAAAAGCAAGAGCTACCATATGATTTCAGATTTGAACCAAAGTAGATCCCAATATTACGAAAACAAGATGGGATACAGTTGAAAGATGGAGAACTAACAGATGAGAAGCCTGGCTCTCTGCTGATTTTGAAGAGTTTGGTCTTTTTTCTTCATTGAGTAGTGCATCTTGGAGCGTTTGTAACAATGAAGGAGGGCATGACGAAATGATTTGGTTTCATATTGTGAAGTAAAAGAACATGCTGATCTTTTTCCAGTTTCAACCAATTTGCCCGAATAATAGTAGAGATTGTTTTAAAGTTGCTAAGCCAGAATTGTTGTCGAAACCTTTTCCTATTCGATGAGAAGTTATTGAAACCAGGAAACTCGTTAGTTTTTCGTGGTCTACAGTCTACTTTCTTAGTGCCACATTGAAAATAGCCAAAGGAAAACTGCTTAGAGTTAATTGATAAAATGTGCGCTTATGAAGTTTATCCTGCCAAAAGTGAATTAATTTGTTTGTCTAGGTGTGCTCTCTGCATTTTCTTTGCGGTACTTTTGGAACAAAACATGGCTCAAAAAAATTACAAAGTGTTGGAAATAATACGCAACGTCAAGCTCCAGAAAACTATTTCCAACTGACTTCAAAAATTTACCAAACCCAAACCCCCTTTCATCCTGTATTCCTATTTATAGATCTCAATGCCTGATTGCTAGAACTCCAGCCAATGTTTAATTCTTGGCAAGGCTGTTCACACTCCTCAAAGAAAGGAGTTAAGGAGAACAAAGCACACTCTTAAGTACCTTCAGCTCAAGAATGAAAATGGATAACTCTGCAAATACTTTTTCAGTGGACAGTGGTAGCTCACGGAATTAACTTTGAGCGATTTCTCTATATCCATGGTGAAATTACGTAGTAACCTGAAGCTGTAAACAGTTGGTTAGATAAGCGTTTTCATGACATTGACCAAATAAGAGTATCAGATGCAGCTCTTATTGTGTTTTAGTTAGTTTTTGTCATTACCTCATAGAGTGGAAGTTTTATCGGATGATCTTTGGTTATGAACTTATTTTATTGAGTTTGGATTACGCAGGTTTTGAGCTGCTTTGCATATTACGTCTTTTGTCTTTACGGTTGTGAGGGTTAAATCTTGATGGCGTATCTGCACGTTGCTTTCTTTGACCACCGTGTTCAGTTTGTCGTAACCAAATATCCTTAACCGTCGAATTGCTTAGACGCGGGTAAAAAGCGTGGGGAAAAGGTCATGTAATGAAAAGTTTGTTATCTACAACTTGAATTTGTGTTTGTAACGAAAGAGAAATGGGTACAAAGCAATGCTATCAAAATGAAAATGACAAATTTAGACCAATGGGAGTGAACGTCACCATTCGGAGTGCTATATTCGTATGTTGTTTGATGTAATTACACAAGTTGGTACAAGTTTTATCAGTCTTTGTGGCATAATAAAGTAAAAATAGATTCTAGAAAAGGTAAAAAAGCGCAAAGTGTAAAACAATAGATGAAATTTGCTCTCTGTGAACCAAAAAAAAGGTTGTTACTAAAAATACCATATATTTTACATATCTTGCATATTGATCCCAGATGTATCTTTTAATAGTAGCACAAACAATACAAACGGTGTTGGATCTGATTGTGCTACTTTCTGCTACAATAATAGTAAACGAGAAACAAAAAAAAAGAGAATTGTCGTCGTGTGAAAGTCCAAAAACATAAATTGCGCAGTTTTTTGTATTTGCTCAAAGACACATTCCGTTTTTCGATTGATCAGTTTCCGCCGTTGTTCCCCCAAGAAAGATCACACTGCAGTGCATTTCAGATTACGCGAGATAGGATTTAAGAGCAACATTGATGTAATCTATGACAATGTAGCGTCCGTGCTTAACCGCGGATACAATGCGGGATTTTTCTCTTTGATTATCAAGTTGGCAACCGCTTCCATTTGTCTCCTTTGTGGTGACTATTTGATTCCGCCGAAAAGAAATACAGCTTTCATTTGAAGCTTCAATTTGGCAGTACACTGACAATGAAGCTGAGAGAAACAATGTCGCCTATTCAGCTTTGCTTACTAGTTTCGCAAGCTATTTTGCTGATTGAGCGTTTACAACCATAGATGCTTTTTGTTCCCCATTCTATCACCCGCTTCTCCAGCCTTTTCTTAAACCAAGTATGTCGGTTCGATCATTTCCCTTTCAACACAAATGTAAAGGATTGACGCATTCTGTCATTGCGATTCATACGTTTTACTTTCGCAGGGGGCACAAAAGCAATTTCAATTCCGACAAAAGTTCGATGTACAAAGGTTTGCAGAAAAGAGAGGTTGAGTCAATATTGTAATAGTCGTGTCATACAATATCGCTTCCTTTACGTCATGTTGTCAGCTGTATTGTTCAGGTCGTTTTCTGTGTCAAAATATTTACCATGAAGTGCATAAATGCAAATTTCATAGACTCAACAAGACTATTTGCATATTTTTTACAGACCCTTCTTTTTCTCGTATTGAGCATTCAAATTGGTTGTAGTTACTTAACTTGCAGGTTATGAGCTTTGTCTTTCAAACCTTAATCTTTTTATATGCCTTGTATGGTATATACGAGCAATTTCGAAACTTAACCACCAAAGCTTTTTATTGATTCTACTGAAATTAGTAGGAGAGACATATTCTCCAGAGACAAAGGAGCACAAGCAATTTCGATACGCTTCTATAATCCATGCACTGATTCGCCCCTTTGCACTTACGGCGAGAAACAAAGACACGCCGAACTCCACATTTAACCCGCAAAGAATATTTCCATGCACGAAGAACAAGGCACACATAACAGAGGAGTTTTTTTGTTTTCTACTATTGTTTGAAAACTATAACACCAACAACGTGCCAAGAGATGCGTCATAGCTTACACAATCTCAAAAGTTTTATTATATGCAAGTTACCAGACGACAAAAGTGTCAGCTTAGTGCTGTCAATTTGTAAATTCGTTGTAAATTTGTACAAGAAGTTTGCAGCCTTAGAAACAAGTTTAGGTTGGGGTGTTCAACAAAGCATGTTGATCAGGGTTGCTAACTCAATATACTTCGTTTTACAGGAGCACTGACCCACGTTTTCTCTTTTCTTTTAACTTTTACTTTTAGAAATACCGCATATCCAATTGTCAAGGACAATAGAGGTATTTTGATTTATTTTCGTAACCTTTAGCTCTGCATCAAGTACTTCGTTCCGTGTGGTTTAAAAGTTGAAAAACGATAGAAATGGCATGAAACAATAAAATTGGTTGCTATTTTCTATCTGTATCCTGCATATAATTATTTGCGCCTATTCTTCTTGACACTCGAACCGGCAAAGTGTGGCAATTTCTATTGTTATTCGATGCTTTTTAGCGTTGTAAATCCTACTTTTCCTGCAAAAATTGCAGAACCGGTCCGACTGATTCAATTTTTGAGTTCTAACTTATATGCGGTTAGCGGAAAAGAGTAAATGACACATTAATGCATTTGAAACAAGGGTTGCCGTTGTACACAAGTGCACGTGTTATTGCTAAATTAAGCTTATCTGATACAGAAGTGGTGAAGGAGAGGTGGGAGTTATTCACAACTCAACTCTTTAGCTGCGGTGCAAAACGGCAAAAGAGAAAAAAAATGTCTTAGCTTGGTGCGTGGCGTTGGATCTTGTCACCCCGCTTGTCCCTCCGCCACACACACAGATTTCCACAAGGGCAATTGTTCTTGTCGCTAACGGCAAAAAAGTTAGCTTGTCGAGAGCGACAAGAAAAAAAAGAGCGATTTTGCTTAGATAATGAAGAATTGGCAAATAAGCGTAAGGGATGGGTTGACACAGTATTGCTGAGAATGATGCGCAAACACAGGAATCCCCTTGAAGAACAATGTAACTGTTGTAATTATCCACGAACTGACGTGACCTGTGACCTCAACTCGAGTTGTTCACAAAAAAAGGAATAAAAAAGAGCGCACAAGCGCAATTCAGTTAAAGGTAACACCTATTGTCTAGAACAATTAGAAATGAATTCTTCTACACAATAAAAGAAAGAGGTTTTATTTTTAATTTTCTTTTTCAGTTTTAGCAAAACAAAGTGGATGTATCTCTCTCTCTCTCAATGGTGGTGTGAAACAACGTTTTTTTTCTTAGACAAAGGAAAAAGTATCATAACCTTTAAGGAAAGAGATTTTTCAAGAAAAATTATAAAAATACACTAATCCTTCGTACAAGAGAAGCGATGTGACAACTTTAGGTAGAGAAAGAGAGAAGTGCTTAAAAGTCTTAAAGCCTATTTTTATTTCATTTTTCTTGTGAAAAAAATAAGAACCTACTCCAGGGTTGCATTACGGGGAAAAATATGTCAGTGATTTCAAGAAAGACAAAGATAATATCTCAAACAAGGCGGAAATGTCTTCAAAGTCAAGATTTCCCGCATGTCTATAAAAAAATATGTAATAGATAATTATTTTGAAATGAAACGAATTACAAAAAAATCTGATTTGGTTTATTTCCCTTTGTAAAAGTACGCAAATTACACTAAAACCAAATAGCAAAAGAATAAAACGGTTGTTGGAAAGTCAACAAAGTAACCAGATATACACAGAATGCATAATAAAACAATAGGACAGGAAAAAGAGATATCTATAAAAAGTGGAAAGGGTGTGTATATAGTTGTGAGCGAGTAAAATCTTCATAAAGCAACATAAGAAAAAAATTCAAGAAACAAAAATATAGAAAAGAAAAGTATCAAGCAAAAGAGTTACAAAACCAGTCAGCCGGGTAGTCATGGAGATCTACAAATCTTCATAATAAAACAAAATTTCTTTTTATTTTCTCTCTCTCTCTTGATAACGACCCAATATTATTTTATAACCTTAAAGGTAAAAGTACGATTGAAGTATACTACTAGTCTTTTGTCCTTTATTTACTACTGATTGCATCCATACATATGTACTATTACTCGTTGCCAACTTGTACCAATGAAAAGCTTGTAATAGGGAATGTATTACTGTATGCACCTTTCTTTTTCTTTTTCCTTCATTTTAGCTTTTATTTTTAATTTTTTCTTCTTATTGTTTGTTTGTCTAGATTCAACAAGGATGTTTAGTAATTCATGAAGTCTCTCTCGATTAAGCAGATTCAACCTTGTTAGGAAAAATATGCACACAAACAAGCTTTTCGACTCTAAAGGGTAACAATCTATGTATATTCTTTTAATAAGCGATACAGAGATAGTGAGGGGAATAGCTGAAACTCCAAAGATCTTGAGAAAAACAGGAATAGGCAAAGTGGGGTTTTCCACTCTGCACCTGTTGTTACATCAGGATACTCGTTTCTATTACTCTGTAACAACAAGATGCGCAACTAAAGTTCGGCCGAAGTTTGGCTATAATAGTTATCCAAGACAATAGTGAGGTTGTGTTTTATCAGGACAATTGAATACTGTTGTCTTTGTTAATGGTGATGCGAAATGATTTTTTTTGTTTGTTTTTGCAAGAGAATATTATTTTATCTTTGGTGGTTTTGCATGTGTTGTCCTCGTCAGAAGAAACTGTGTAACGGGTTAATTCAGATGCTGTAGCTCAATAGCCGAATGTGGGAGATTAAAAGTGGACAAAGAGAGATTTTGCTTTTCTTACTCAAACGTATGTATGACTTCACTCTATATTTTGGCTTTTTTATCTTTGGATTCGGTTGCCGCTACGATCCTTTGCAAATAATACATACACAGTTATGGTTGTGGTTTTGTCTCTTCTTTCCCACATTTAAGCTCTTCTACATAAATTGAGTATCTTTCATCTTTAGTCACTGGAGTTAATGCACAGAAGCTAAAACACAAGATTTCACAAAGCAGCATTCCACAAACCAAGCATAAATAAAATAAATAATTAATTTTAATGTGCTCAGATTATATGCAGGTGTTTTTTTTCTGAAAGGACTATTTTCTATGTCGTATGTACTATATGTATGATTGCTTAAAAGATTACACCACACCAAAAAAAAGAATCTTTTTTTTTTCATTTTAAACAAAATTATTATTTTTCTTTCTTCTTTCTATTCTTCTTCTATGAATTGAGGTTTGTGTAATTCATGTCTAAATTAAAAATAGATTAATTATTTCTAACATTATTATTATTAATGTTTAAATTTGCGTAACTATAAAAACAACCAAAAATTAAAAATGTTAATGGTTTTTCAATTAAGTGTTGTGCTTTAGCTTTTATTACGCCAGAATTCCGAAATTATCTAAAATACATATAAAGGTCAAAGGATCCCACCACAATTTTTGGTTTCTCTTGATTCAGATAAAGAACCGTTTTCTTTTTTTTATTTTGACACACGGCTGAACTTATCTGTTAGCTTTTACTACTTACGCCTGTCAATCTTCTTTTAGCATTGGGCTATTCTGTTAAAACACAACCTATGTCATCTGCAGCTACAACTACCGCTTTAGCGGCAACTTCGCCAAGCTCAATCCGATTACCCTCCATTCATGAGTTGACTGGCAAATCAAGACAAGAGTTTCAAAACCAACACAACAAACACAGCCACCACTACCAGCTAGGAAACGATGCCTTTACTTCCCCTAGATCATTTGTAGATGCCAAAAGTCAACCACCAGTATTACCTAGTCTTGGCTTGAACACTAGTGTCCACGACACAGCTACGTCAACGTTCAAAATACCACCAATCAAACCAATGACACCATCTAGTACAGGAGTCAATAACTCAACCAGTAACACACCAACCGGTCCAACTCAAAGTAGTGGCGTCTTTCCAAAACCAGTCTCACTTGGCTCGCCTGCTATTGGTTATAATCACAAACATCAGGCGCAGTTTCCAAGGCAAGAACCACTCGTGATTCAAACGGGCATAGCATCAACTACTGCCCCTCTATCAGCTTCATCAGCTTCAACTACATCGTCACCAACAATGCACCTTCAAGCAAGTCATCCTCATATCCACCACCACCAACAGCTGCTGCAAACTGTTCATCCTCCACCAACACACCAGTCACCACTAGAGTATAACCGAGGCCAATTTTCTCCTCATTATCACCAACCTTCTCGAGCATTCACAACACCAGTTCCACAATATCTTCCACAACAAGTGTCTTTCTACTCACAATTTCACTACACAGTTCAGCATCCTAATAACCACGGCTTGCAGATCGGACAACCATATACAATAACCGAAGTTATTCCAAAGACTACAAATAAATGTCACAGATGTGGCACCACTGAAACACCAGAGTGGAGAAGAGGACCAAAGGGTGTAAGAACATTGTGTAATGCCTGTGGCTTGTTTCACGCCAAGTTGGTCAAAAGAAAAGGTGCTGCTGTTGCCGCTGAAGAAGTATTGAATAACCGTGTTACTAAAGGTAAGAATGGCAGAAGAATAAGTACCAGGAAACAGTTGGGAAATGTGTCCAATGGTCACCACAGAAGGGAATCAACGATTAATGGACCTCAAGGTTTATTAGAACATCACCAGAAAACACCTCAACACTATCCTAATCAGTTTGCTGTTCTTCAGCAAAATCACTCAACCAGCTCTTTACAACAAGCACACTTGGCACCAAATGCCCACATGTACCTGCTTCATCACCAACAACTACCACCCCCACCAAATACTTCCTACCATCCACAAGGGTACATGTCATTGCCGCCACCAGCAATGCCTAGAAGCTAATCTGTATGTTACCAAGGCCAAGTTCCTTCAATACCATTATTCCATCATTGGGATAAATGGTTGAAATACACTACTAGGGATAAGTGGTTATCGATGTTTAATGTTTTACTTCTTTAGAGTCTCCTTATATATATATTCATGCTTACAAGTACACTATTTAGTTTTTAATGAACAGCTAATGAAAAATAAGGAGAAAGTGTAGTAGTAGCTTTGGCCATAGCTAGGTGTCGTTGCTACTGATTTATATCTTAGATAACAGGGGTTACAACTGAACTTAAGCTGTGCCGGAACTGGTTGAGCCAATGGATAAAACCTCACTCCGGATCAATAAGTCACACAAAAACCCTTGCAATTTCATGACAGGAAAAGAATAGATTCACAAACAATTCGAACTGAAACTAGAATGAAATTCTAGGAAAAATGCTCTTCCGGGCAACAACTTAAATTCTCAAAAGAGTAACTACAGATTTATGAATAGTATCTGAAGTCATTGAATAGATTTTAGAAAGCTTTATTGAAGAAAGAACGAAAAATATCTGAAATTTTGACAAAATGGGTAGCTCGCCCTTTTATCGCATAATTTGCAAGCTGGAGGCTTAATTATAATTAAGAAAAAAAAAAATACAAAAATGGAAAAAAAGAAAAGGAATGCTCATCCAGAATCTCCTTTTATTGTTTATTTTTAGATTCGAAACCTCCATGAACAATCAAATAGATCTGAGAACAGGAGGGGTATATCTGGCGTCAATTTTTAAATCTCCACTCCCGTTAAGATTCTTGCACCTTTTGGACTTCAACTACTATAGCTCAAACAGTTGAAGGGTTCGCTTCACATTGTAGAAGTCAACTGAGAGGGTACGACAAGGTTTTTTTCCTCGTCTCTCTTAATTGAGGCGACTCGGAACGCTTTCTTGTCGTTTGGCATCCTGTGAGCAGTTGTATTTTTTTTTTTTTCGTTCTTTGCTTTTGTATTTTTAGAAAGCGGATGCAAGAAGCGATAGTTTGCACAGGGTGCAGCAGAGTCAAGAAAAGAGAAGAAAAGATGTTTTGTAACACAACCAATTGTAAAAAAGAATGAGATATTTTTTATTTTTGTTTTTTCAATTCCCGGCGTTTGGGTTTGTGCAAAATTGCTCAGTACTACATTCAGGCGTTTCTTCTTTTGTTGAAGAAACAATTAGTAAAAAGTCTTTTCAACACAAAAGCCTCAAAGACAGAGCAAGAAATCTTGAACCTGAATCTGAAATCTGAAATTCGATCTTGCGGATCCGATTTTGCTGACTTAAATGTGTTGCTGTTCGTGTAGCCGTTAGCGGAGTTGCGAGACTAACAAAGAGAAATTGACCTTTCAGACTTATTCAGGTTAATGTTCCCCCTAATGCACTCCACTGAGATCGATAGTACTTTTAGTCTCCAACGCAAGGTACCGGCTGTTAGTGGAGATTCGCCTTTTTAGACGAGGATGAATGACCAAAGTTTTGTTGGTTTTACCCTGCAAAGCCTGCTTTTGTATATTATTTCATTGTGTCGGGATGGCAACGTTAACCGACAACAACAAGCTCATATTTTCAGCGCATCCCATTTTGTGTTAGATATATTACCCGACAACAAAAAATCTTCTTCCAATTTATGCATAGACTCCTAAAAACAAACCAAAAAGAGAGAACAAAAACTAGAATTTGAAGATCGTGGCTAAGATTCTTTAAGCAGAGAAAATTTTGCTTTGTTTTTGGTTTTTTCTTCTCTTGGGCTGATGAATGCATAAATTGCTTGAACAAAGTTCGTCGCTTAGCTTTGAGAGTGCCCCAAAAAAAAAGAGGGGGGCCCGCCTTAGTTGCCGCGTCCTATTCATTTTTCTTGTCGCATCGTAAGTTGACGCAAGCATTGTCTGATGACGGGAATGCAACCGGACAAAACTAGCACAGATGAAAATTTGCAGATATATAGTGTTAGAGTGTACGTGGGAGATAGAGAGGGGAGGAGGTGTGTCCATAGGAGAGTCGGAATTTTAATCTAGCTTGTGCTGTCAGGGTCCTTCATGATTCGATTGATTGAGAGCAACTTTAACCAGCCAGACCGTAATAAAAACTGCATGGTAGATGCAATAAGCAAAAATTTATGAATATTACTCAGCAGTCTTTCAGAGTTTCACTGAACTTAGTTTCCAAGATGTTATATATCGTACGAGCTACATTCAGAGATGAAACAAAACCTACTGTAGACTTTATAACTTGCATTTTGGCAACATTAACGCTTCTAAGGTACACGTGTGACTAAAGAAAAAGCGTACCAACAACTAGCAAAACACAGTCTCGCCTAATCTTTTGCATGTTACCAAAGAAAAGTGGAAAGAATTTGAGAGATAGCAATTACTTTTTATGTCCTGAAACATTTCTGCCAAGAATGTTGTGCAAGGAATTTTAGACGATCTTACACCAAACTGTGAATTTTAGTTTCTGTGCTTATTACTGATACAATATATAGTGAGACGATATATTAATAGATCCGGAATTAAGATCTTTTTCTTTTTCCCTCCCAATCAATTACGATATCTCTGACAAAACTTTAAAATGACGTACAGGTGTTACTAAGCTTTATTTTGCAAGGCGTGAACTTGGGTTGCTTTAAATTTATTCTTCGGTTGTACAACTTGTTGCGGCAATTTTGTAATTTGTAAGAGTAGTATCTCTAACGTAAGTAAAGGCAGGATCCATCTCCACTTTTGGCCAGATTATAAATCTATACCGCATTGTTAGCTGGAGAAAATTGCGCGTTTCATTTATTCAGATATTGCACAAAACGGAACACTTTTATTATCTTAATTATTTTTTCCACACGGTCATATTTCCACATTCAATCGTCAACAAATTGACAATTATTGCCTTGCCAGGGCAAACTTTAAGGTTGAGCTTGTCATTGTTGCGTGATGTTGAATTACACTCAACAGCAACCTGATATATGATTAGGTATTTTCTTAACAACCAAAACAATTTTCTAAAATGACGATCTTTATTCGGTTCGTAATTTTCTTCTTACTTTGTTTACGGTTCTGAGCACTTGTCTGTAAAAATCTGACTATTCTGGTTTATAGATTGTGCAGCAGGGGCAACATAAAGTTGCTTAAAGCATTACTACAACAAGACACTGGGTGTGCTAACTCCATGACTCCTTGCTATACACTCTTCACGGATAAAACTTTAAGCAGTCTCCACAGTTTCAGTACAAGAATCGTTTTGAAACTCTCTGAAAACATGCAGAGAAGTCAAAATACAATAGCTCTATCTTCTAAGAGAGAGCAAAGGATCTAAATGATTGCTTTGAAAATAAGTAATTAAGCATGCACAACAATACTACACCAGAAAAAAGTACGCACGTTCACACCTCCTCCCGATGTAAAGTTACTAATGCTTACATACACAATAGAACCCTTTTCTATTGTAATGCAAATAAAGTGGAGAAAATTGATACGGATTTTACGTCTATTGTCAATCATTTGAAATAAGATCATCAGGTTATTATAAAGATCTTCCTGCAAAGTGTAAAAATCACATGTTGGCTTTTTCTGCAGAAAAGGATCCCGTTTCCATCTCTATTCAAGAAGAGATGTCAATTAATAGGTAAGTAACCAAATTGGATAGTGTCAGTTTGTTGCAATTCTCTAAACGATTTCAAGTAAAAGGGATGTTTCCACTTCACAGACTCCTTGCTTTAAACGCATCAGCACACCTCCTTGTTCCTGGAAAAGAATTTTACCATTACACAGACAATATCTTTGCTCTATTAAAAATTGACAATGAAGCTACGTGTAAGTTTGGGTTCTATTTGTTTTCAATTCTGAACTCCACGGAAATAATGGGCTGGAATAGACGATGTACAGGCTCCCCCACGTTATTATTTACACAACAACTAAACCTAAAGCAATCTTTTCGCAGGGCGCTTGTTTACGTACTTGCACAAACTCCACTTTGTCGTCTAATCTAAACATGAAACACGGACTTAGGAGATTACACAAATTGGTCTGTTACTGTACGCAATCTTATTGTAAGCACTCTCACTTAACAGCGCGCATTCATACAATCAGATTTAACCGATTGAACCTTGACAAAGGGTGTTTGTACGTCCAATGAGGGTCGATAAAGATAGAGACAAGATGGGCTCTGTAAGGCCTCTTGACCTGATGGCGAGCATAAACACTAGTGTGTAAACTACACTGTTGCCTACTGTGACCATTCATCTATCTGTTCTATTACACTCTAATGTATAGGTATATCGTGTTTCTGCAACACATGCTTAACCGCAACTTCAACGTTGTCAAACACTCCAACAGTAGGCTTGGCGATGATGCTATCGTAATCTTCGTCCTGGAAAACACCAGTTCTCAACAATATTGACTGCCAACCATTATCATTGGCTCCCTTGATGTCTGATTCTGGATTATCGCCCACCATATATATATCGGTAAAAGGGGACTCCAGTGGAACTGAACCAAGTAAAGGGAGGATCTGCTTGGCATCAAACTTTTTTGATATCAATTTATCTCTCCAATCGATCAAGACGTGGTGAGCAAAGTCATATTGCAACTTGAACGGTTTGCCCATAATTAACGACTGGAGATTGTTTGGCGATGACAATTTATTGGTGGTATTGTATAACGTCTCAGTTATGATCCGAAATGCTCCTTGACCAAATCTTGGTAGTGGGAAATCATTGGCGTAAATATAATCATTGTTGCTGAAAATGATGGGAATCGACGGCTTTGCTCTATCTTCAACACTCTTTAGGCTCCGCTTGGTTCCAATTAAACCATTGTTTGAATTTAGTAAATCTTGAACAACTTGAACGTCAGTCGACATATCTCGAGGGTCATTAAACACCAAGATTGCATCAATAGGGGTTTTCAAGTCAATGTCAATGGCATATTCATCGAAATCACATTTGGTGAACATGGCATGCGGTGACACCGACCTGTTGGCTTTCACAATATCAATGGGCATGATTACATCGTTAAACCCATACTCTTGTGCCACCTTCCTAGCATTATCACCATTACCACCAACAACCAAAACACGATTGAATTCAGGATCTTGCACTAGTGCCTTCATGGGTGTATGGCTTTGAACTACTTGCAACGGTGAAATATCAGGTCCACCATTAATGTGGGTAACTTCCTTGGCTTTCTCCGCTTCTAGTACTCCACCGCCATTAGTCATTAGTATGAACGGTATCTTTTCACGATTGAGTAATTCCAAAGCTGACCTCGCTTGTGGGATTGGCTTCTTGCCTCGGATTAGGACTCCATCGATGTCAAATACGAAAGCAATATTTCTGTTTGCTTTGTGTAGGGAAGATGAAGTGTGAAAGCGAGACGATAGTTGAAGTAGTCTAAGAGCACTTGTTTGTTTCTGGACTCTACTGATGGCTAGCATTGTTGAATGGATTCTTGATGTTTTCTAAAATTGGACTCATGATTGTTGCCGAATCGCGAACCGCGCAAAAAAGGTGATTAGTTCCGGCAGCTGCTACCAAAACTACTCTACAGCGAATGAAGTCTATGCCCTTGTAAAGGGTTATATTTAGAATAGAATAGCTGCAATAATCAGCTGATTTGGTCATGCCAATTACAATCCTCTTCTAAATTCCTCAGTATTAATAGACTTTAAAATCTGATCTATATCTATTTCCTACGTAGATTTCTATAGTTCTAGAAGTTATTTCTATACTTCTATAACGCAACAATCATTTGTTAATTACAGTCCTCAATTTTATCTATTTATTTATCAAACTCTATACCGACCCTCCATTCAAGCACCAGTCTCTTCCTCTATCCACCTGAAAACCACATAACTTCCTTTCAAGCCACAAGTTTATACATCCGGCAATAGCAATCCCCATTCCATCACTCACGCTCACACAGCCCAAGCTAAACTCTCGTTTGGTTTTAGGAACGCCTTCGCTAACTGAAACAAAGGTGTTGACATATGAAAAGCCTCCTAGTAGCCCTTCGTAAAGAATTAGAATCAAAAGCAACCAAATTGACGTGAATGGAAGGTCATATATTGACTGAATGACCGTTATAATAACATTGACAAATTGCAACACCGATAACAAGTATAGTCTCTTTATGCGTATGCCAAAGGATATTGACGACCTAGAAATGAATACTCCTAGCTGGTACAAGAATCCGTAAACAACGTAGATGTCTCTGTAGTTAGAAAATAGCCAATGGGGAAGATCCTTCAAAGGAAAAAGTAAAGTAGGTGTGATACCTTGGTTGATGACGTATTCTGAGATGTAGACTGTGCTCAATGGTATCACAAATGGAATAATCAAGGGCTTAATCTTTTCCACAGTTACCTTTATATGCCCAGTGACAGTCGAAACTACGGGTAAGTCCAGATCGGCCGTGCCGATTCCAATTTCTTCAGTTTCTTCATTAAATATCCCATCTCCAATCTCATGATATTCGTGGTCAGGAGCAGGAAGTAGCAAGTAATAGGTAGCCAAAAATCCCAAAGGACAAATAGCAAACATCAACAATACAATTTTAACCGGTATGCCGATCATGTTGGTCATCAACATAAACAAAAAGCTACCACAGAGGCCAGCTCCTCCGGTACCACTAGAAAATCCACTAATTCCTATTGAATTACCCCCATTACTTCGGTCGCCTACCGTGTAAAAGTGAGTCAATTGTAGAAAACTCACTTCTCCCACCCCTGAAGATAATGACGCCAACATAATGCCAAATACTTTCATGCCGATAGACTGCTGTGGACTCAATGATATTAGTAACATACCGGTGGTTGATAATCCAACAAGTGAGTATAGTCTTATTTTGTAAGGAATGAAATGAATGAAAAATGGAGCAACCAATTTAAAGGTGAAAGACGGCATAATATCGGCCAACAACACGACACCCTTGGGTGTAGCTGACCCAACTAGATCTATTGCTGCTGATAAAATAATAACATACAATATGTTGTTTAGTAGTCCAAAAATAAAGAATGAAGTAAAAATTTTAGTTGAGATCTGTAGCGGTATCATTAGTGGTGGATTATCGGGTGTAAATCAAATGTGAGTGTAGGTGTATTACCCCGAGAATAGAATGTATGCGGCGCACCTCACTGGCCTGTTGCTTTTCTTGAACAGAGTCGTAAAATAGGTTATCTTTTGGTTTGGATAAATTAAAAAATTGAAAGTAAATATTACACAAACATGAAAATTATATCACGTGAATTTGAATTCAGCTTAGAGACAAAGTGATGTCAAGTACCTGCCAAAAGAGGAAATCAGCATTCATGACAAAGAAATAGAGTGAATCTAGAATATTGCTCGGAAAAATTGACACTTGAAGGAGCTAAATGCTCCACGTGCGGCGACATTTACAAACTTCTCATTTCAACTTCTGTATAGTTCAAGAAGAAGAGGTTTACGATTGGATCTAGTGTATGCATGGGATGCACTATGAATATACTTTGCCAACGCGTAGAGTTGCGGTTATTGAGTCAATCATTTAAGAGCTTGTTACGTAATTATAAGTACAGAAGTGCGTCATTACCAACCACTCTTTGTGAGATATTATGAAAGCTATAGCTTTGCCATATAAAGAGACACACAGAAAGAGAGAAAGACCTAAAGACATTGAGGGTGAAAAAAAAAATTTTTTTTTATTTTTTTTCTTCCCCCTTCTTAGTCATTTTCAGACTAAATGCAAATGATTACATATTACATATTCTATACTGACTCATTCTTTAAAATTTTTTTATTCTTGTACTTTTCCTTCTTCTTATTCTATATAAGACACAGTTTTCAAAGGTTTCATCAATAGTTAGATCTATTTCTTTTCTTTATTGCTTGTTCCAGGATATTTATCTAAATCTTCTATCAAGTTCAACTTTCCACCTGCCAAAGACTTCAAAACTAAAGTGCTGAAAAATTTCCATCTCGCATTACAGAAATTTTTTCAACCAAACAAGTCTAAAAAGAAACTAAAAACTAAACAGTTATACAAGAACAGCATTTTGCAATACTTTCTTTCCCTACTACAATGAGCAATACTCCACTTCCAGCTGAATATGACGACACAAGGATTCTTGGTTACGATCCATTGATTCCACCAGTTGTGTTGCAGAATGAAATCAAGGCATCATCAAAGTCTTTGGATGCTGTCATCAGAGGACGTTTCGAATCGTCTCAAATTCTTAAAGGTACCGATGACAGATGTCTAGTTATAGTTGGTCCATGTTCTATTCATGACACCAAAGCTGCATTAGAGTATGCACACCGTTTAAAGAAGTTGAGTGAGGAGTTGAAGGATGACTTATGTATTATTATGAGAGCTTACTTGGAAAAGCCAAGAACCACTGTCGGTTGGAAAGGATTGATTAACGATCCTGATGTCGACAACTCTTTTGATATCAACAGAGGATTAAGGATTTCTCGTCAATTATACGCTGATTTAACTGAGGCCGGATTGCCAATTGGTTCCGAAATGTTGGACACGATATCACCACAATACTTCCTGGACTTTTTAAGTTTCGGTGCTATTGGTGCTAGAACCACCGAATCCCAGTTGCATAGAGAGTTGGCATCTGGCTTAAGCTTCCCTATTGGTTTCAAAAACGGTACTGATGGTGGCTTAGCTGTTGCTTTGGATGCGGTACAAGCTTCATCAAAAGGACATCATTTTATGGGTGTGACTAAGAATGGTACTGCTGCCATCACCACCACCAAGGGTAACGACACCTGTTTTATAATTTTAAGAGGTGGTAAAAAGATCACCAACTACGATTCCGAATCAGTAAAAGCAGCAGAGGAAGCTATTAGCAAGTCCACTGATCCAAGCATCAAATTGATGGTTGACTGTTCTCATGACAACTCAAAGAAGGACTACAGAAACCAGCCTCAAGTTTTGGACACAGTTGCAGAGCAAATTAGCAAAGGTGATGAATCTTTGATTGGTGTCATGATTGAATCCCACATTAACGAAGGAAAACAAGGAATGCCACCAGCCGGTCAAAATAAGGACGTATTGAAGTACGGTGTCTCAATCACTGATGGATGTGTTTCATGGGAAACTACTGTTGACATGTTGACCAAATTGAGTAAAGCTGTTCAAGCCAGAAGAAGTTTGAAGCAAAAGGCAAACTAAAAAAATAAAGGAAGATGTATATATATAGGATATTTATTAAAGGTTTAAAGGTAGAGATATTGTGTAGAATTTTCAACTCGTCCCAACGGATGAAGGGATTGGGTTGTCCTTTAATCTGTCTATGTCATTTCTAAATCAACTAAACCATGGAGCGGGTCTTAATAACTCCTTGATTTCCACGTTACTTTTGGGCTCTTGATCGTCCCCAAGTTGAAGCAAAAAGTCCGAGATAAGAGGGTTACTCAACGCGTAGCCATTAAGCCTCGAGAACGGGTTTCTCTTCTTCCTTTTGGTTTTCAAGTTTTGCTGCACCCCATACCAATCCTTCTTGAATTGTTGAACTGCATTTTTATACTCACTCGACTGTAAATCCTTGAAGTACGCCTCTTTCTCTGCTTCAGCTGGATAAATGGGATGCGGACTATTTCCGATATAGTTGACTCGATCTTGGGGAAACTTGAGTGCTTGTGACAAATGCAAGTCTAAAAACCTATCACGTTTGAATTCAAACCCAATAATGGTTATCTGTTCCGGATACTTTTTCCATACTTCGTAAAAACGACAAATCAGGAAAATGACATTTTCAAATGAATCGCGGGCATAATTTTCCGTGGTTACTCTATCTACGCCCACTTCATTTTTCACAACTTGATCAATAAGTGCGTAATAGGAAAAGGCTTCTGATGTTGGGCCTGCCTCTTTTTTCGTTTCCCCACCCGATATAATCAAGTATGATTGTGGGTCTTTTTTCAATTCTCCCAATGCCTGTTCTAGATGTTCCAAAAAACAAAGGTGATCGTTTCCGTCGAGCTGGAAATCTGCCAAGTACCATGACTCTTGTTTAGCCTGTGGCTGACCTAGTTTGTAGATCCCATGGCATGGAACAATAATTAGATGGTTGATATCTCGTGTCATGAGTGTTGACAGAGAAAGCGCGGTGATGAATTCTATCACAATCGATTTTTCATTTGCAACTGAAAATGTTCTTAGAGTTCAATTATATTTGCCTCTAGGTCTTGTACATTTCTAAAATCTAAAAATAGAAAAGCTTTCTACAACTTGATGTCCCAGCATCTAAATAGACTACTGCCCTGAGAGTCTATGCCAAAATATGTTGGTGCAAATAGTGATAACATTGCACCAAGGCCAACCAATGACAATATGCAGCAATAACGACAAACACATGAAATATTTGATGCGAGTGACCAAATATGTCAAACTTACCAGCTTGTGGATTAAGTAACATTAGTTGTTCATCCTCCTCTACATGCGTCAACCTCTCGGGAAATCTAGCTGCATATAACACAGCACCAAGTATATAAAACACCCCTTCTAAAATCAACCATTTTACGCCTGCTCTTTCCAGAGTTGTAGCAAAACCAAATTTATAAATTCCGAAAGCGACTGGTAACACCCCTGAAAGACCGAACAAGATAAACATTGTTGATCTGAATGGTCGGTAGTGATTTTTGGAAAACTCTGGATGTAACGTGAATATTGTACACACAATTCCAAAAAACAACGTCAACGATACAAATATCCACTTCTCCAAAGGCTCATCATAATATGAAAACAAAATGATGGAAATGAGGGAGCATGTGATCAAGATAACAATTCCAAAATAGTCCAATTGGTTACCAAATCTGCTGACTTTATGTGAGTGTGATTTCAAGGTGTGGAAAACGGACGACATAAACATACAAAACGTACAGGCTAAACCAAACTGGATAAAGTTCAACTTCTCCCAGATACCCAAGTAGTTGTCATAGATGCGAAGTTGGAAATTGATGTAGTACAATATCAACCAGAACGATATGCTTGAGGGTATCAAGTGTGAATAGATATTGACAGTCTCGTTGTGCAAGTATCCCAAAGACTTGAAGCTTGACCAGTACAGTGAATGTCCTTTAACGTATCCGGAACGGATGTAATGGTTATCTTGTTGCCATTCGTCTAATTCATGGTAATAAGCTAACCTCCTTGCAAGTGGACTGTCAACGGTTTTCGCGGAATTTCTTGGCTGGCTTTGCTCTTGGCCACGACCCTGTTTGGAGCCCACTGAGGAATCTTGATTTTGTCTTTGTCTTATGGTAGATGTTGGTTCTGATATCATGAGTGAAGTTTGAAAGGAGTGACCGGTAATCAGTTACGTTGCTTATTTGTTGAGTTTTTAAAAGGCACATGAAAAAAGTATAAAAAATTAAAGAGTTGAAGTTTATTTTGCAGATTCCGTTGGAACAGGCTATTGCTTTTTTTTTGTGACACTCTTGATATTGTTGGGTAACCAGGATTCACAAGGACTGTGTATCATATCTAAGTCTATTTAAAAGAAGGCGGAATACTCTCACAAATTTCAGAATACTCCTTCAATTTCTCTCCCACATTGATAACACCAGCTGGGATGGATTTTCTCTTGAATCGATCAATTCTTTTATCGAAAATGTCACCAGTGTAGAATATCTTCCACTGCGACTCAGGGGAGCTCATGCACCCGCAGCATCGTTCGAAATACCATTTATTAACGGGATTCACTTTTCGTGATCGCCAAATTAGTTCCAGTGGATGTGATTGTAAAATTATCTTGAATATTATATCGGCCAAGCCGGGGAGACCTTGGTTACGCTTGGCTATGGCAAACTTGTCTAAATATGCAATCTTGCCACCTTTGCTTTGCTCCCAGGTTAGTATAGCAGCTCCATCATAATTTCCAACAAGTATGAAAGTAGCCAAGTTCTTGTCAATGCGTTTAAAGTACTCGTCAACTTCGAGAGTCTTCCCAAACGAATCGTCCAACAACTCCACCAATTTTGCTTTATCCACTAGTTTGTCTTTAAAGAGATTCTCCATCGTGAACTCACCAGCATATATGTCTTGTTCAAGTATCTGCACATCTACCCCCTTTTTGATAATCGTCGTTGATACTTGTGGAGTTCGCTTGTTCAGACTGGGTAACGATGACGAGATTATTGACCGGTCGGTAAGTACATTGTAAATAATAGGATTCAACTGGTCGTTATTGATAGACATGATTTCAGGAGTAGTGATAATACCAGTTGTCTCGTCATTATCTGATCTATCTCGAATAAAACTTAGTATATTGTTCATGCTATTCAAATTGGCCACATGCAAGTCGCGCACCTTGGGGTTGATATGCCCAATGAAAAGCTCAGATAAAATATCAGAATATTCCTGAGACAAATTAATAAACACATGGCTTGTTTGGTTTCGTTCAATGGAAGGGATACCACCCAATGAATCAATCATTACAATCTTCTCAATCGACAATAAATTGGTTGTCCGCTTTTCAACCAAGGCAGAACACAAGGCAAATAACAAAGAGTCACTCTTTAAAAACTCTTGAGAATTGATATCCAGATTGTAAGCGATGGGTTGAAGAACGGGGATTGTACCTTGGTATAACGGGATCAATATCTGCTCCAAGCTATCAATTGAAAGATGTCCATTCTTTTCTGTAAACAAGGACCTCAAGATGGTAACTTGAAAGTCATCTTGCTCTTCCGGCTTTCCAAGACGACTCAACAACTTATTTGATTGGTCAGTAATGTACAATTCGTTATTCTTGAAAGAGTTATCGGGCAAGTGGTCAAAGTCGAGTAAAATTATGGGTGAAATGCCCAAGGTGATCAACCTTTTGAACGTCTCCGCTATGCCCAACCATTGTTGATTGGCTATCCCGGTAAACTTTATCTTGAAAATGGCCAATCGCAAAGGAATCTTCTTCAATAGTCTTTCATCCTCATCATAAATATTGATAAACGGGTTCTGGCGATTCAAAAATCGTTTTATAAATAATTCCCGTTGATTTTCCCTCTTGTTTAACGGAACTATCTCATTATTGGCAAAATCCAAATCACTGAAATCAAATTGGTTTTGGTACTTTGTAAGATAATTTTTAGCCTCTCGTTTTGTCGTGGTCGATTTCAAAATTGACAATATTAGGTTCCTTTTGGCATCAGTTACGGCCTTGTGCGTTTCTATATTTGATATGAATTGTCTATTTAGTGTCCTGAGTTTGCTCATGGGCGGATGATGAGTCAAAAAGATAAAGAGCGCAGAGTACAGAATAAAAATAAAAGTGCATCGATGTTTGATTTAAGCGCGGTTTGGTTAAATCTACATCCACCACAGTAAAATAAATACTGTTCAGTAGTTTACGTAACCTAGCAGCATATCCATTGAGCCACAGCAAATAAACTTACTCCATGTGCTACTCATCATCTGAAATATCCGCCATATTTTCCTCATTTGTTCCAGCATCATGCTTCAAAGTTGTGTCATGCAATTGTCGTAACTTGTTCATAACAGGGAGGACAAATGGTCGCATTTCATTGATCTCCAACAACGACAACCCATTCAATTGGATATTCGACTCGTTCAACTCTTTCAATCCCTTCCGCGACTTGATTAATCGTATCTCTCTCAAATCCTGTATTATCGACCGTAGATTGGATATAGAGTCAGGCAAGTCATCCGATGCTTTTGTAAGTAGGATCTTTGAAAGTTCAAGCCAGTTCCAAGGTAGGTCGCTGAACTGTGTTGGTTTCCTTATTTCGTCATCATATTTCTCCTTCAAATAATTAAAATTAAGCCATCTCGGTGGAACTATATTACACTTGTCCTGTGATTTTAAAATAAGAGCAACCCAAAGGGGAACTTTTTCTCGTCTCATTGCTCGCAAGTTTGGTACTGTTGTCTAAACCACTGTTAGTATGCTGTTTTTGGCAAGACACTGTGTGAAATTCAAAAACATACACCAATTAAATTTATTTTCTTGATCGAGTATCTGGGGAGTATGGTTATTAACTCATTTTCAGCTAGAAAGTTGATCTCTGTAGGGGTCAAGTTTCCCTGTAAATGCGTTGGCAAGACCATGGTGTGAGGTTTGATGTAAGAAAAGAATCGCGTCTTTAAATTTATTCGTTTTTATTTGTTTTTGTTTTTTACGTTTATTCAATAAGAGTAATAGTAGTATTCAAAGATTGGGAATGAAGAATTTTAATGCTGGATGTTGGAAGAAGATTAAGGGAAGAAACTGGAAGATTAGCATTTAAATAAAGTAATCCACCAACTAACTAAAGACCTAATAACTATTACATAAAAACAAACTGACTTGTTAGAAACTGTTTTTCCTAGTGATGACGATCTTTTGTTACAGTTTTTTTATTGCCTTTCTCTATCCTGAGGTAGCGTATTTTGGCAACAGTCATCACAATTCCTGTTGGCGTTTAAAGATGTTACACCCTTCTCAATGTACTCCGCAGCAACGATAGTATGTATGACAGGAGACACAACAAGAGACAACGGTTTTAGAGAAACATCAGCAACCCTATCTTGATACCTTTGTAACTGTTAATGTTAACGTCAAATAGGTAGATCTAATTACTTGTCTTCGCTACATTTCTACGAAGCACTGGTTATTAATGGCATTAGTACACTTATCTTTATAAAGTAGCTCGTGTTATAGAAAACCCCTCTGACTTCGCCGATTACTCTCATCCCGTCATCAGAACCCTTCTTTATCCTGTTTGTCACTCCTCACTTCCAATCAATCACCCCTTTTCACTCCCGTATTCAACAATCTCAGCATCGTACACAATATCAGCCTCATCGATATTACTTTGTGGGCCCTTATACCACTTATGGGCATCTACAAAATACCAGATGGTCACAAGAACCATAGGGCCAAAATACACCAACGCTGTCCAATTCATCTTCTTAGCTTGCAAGTCTTTGCCCTTGACAGTAGGGAAGCACAATATAGGAATCATCATGGCAACAAACGCCACTGAAA